ATGAATTTTAATTTAAAAACTGTATTTTCTTGAAACCTTTTTCTTGTTCTTAGTTTAAATTATATTAAATAAAATTAAATAAATAAAAGGTATGACCCTTAAATTTGGTGACTGTAGCTTTCGAATTGCATGGGATGTCTATCTGTATTATCTCTATCTATAATAATATTATAATATTCAAACAATTGCTCTTAGCGTATTATGGTCTTCTTTAGAGTGCTCGACTCGAATTGAAAATATCCCGGTCTATCTGTTTTTGGTTTCGATTGCATTTCTTAAGCCAAGAATTCAGAAATCATTATGCTCCATATACCCGAACCGATGATTTTTCGTAAGAAATTGGGCCTAAGTTATTTACCATTGTTCAGATAGCTCTTAGGCAATTCTCTTGACTCAAACATATCAATTGCAAGTGAACACTCTAGAAGAGAATGTTTAAGGCACAAGGAAGCATCGATAAGTCATCCATTGTAATAATAAAATAAACTAAATAATAATATTTACAAATCAGGCAAGTGAGAACTGCAACTTATGTAAGTCTGTGTGTGTGTGTGTGTGTGTGTGTGTGTGTGTGTGTGTGTGTGTGTGTGTGTGTGTGTATGTGTATGTGTTCACGCTAGAGCGCAAAGTTGGAGTGTGGCCGTATTGTCTCAATACAAGCAAGCAGTGCAAAATAGTCTGTGACTCACTTTGACAACAAGCAGTGCGATAAAGCATCGATCGAGTTGGCACCCCGGTAAAAAGAAATAAATATTTTATGGTCAATATATCGGCAGCAGTTTCATTTGGCATGTACAACGGTTAACTTGATCAAGTTTTTATCACTTACCTAATTTACTTGAATTACTGACCTCGTTGTGATGCGTAATTAAAATATGCACTTTGTTAAGATTTCAACACAATCAGATCTTGATCTACCTACAGCTGTTAGAAAATGCGGACTGCAAGACATTCAATTTGCTCACTTTGGTATTCGGGATGATGAGGATGAGGTTGAGGTACAGTTGCTACCGCTTTCAATTGTCCCAGGGATGCTAACCCCTAAAAATAGGTCTTGGTTCATCTTGGCAGAGGTCGAGGGCTAATTTCTAATTTTTCGGGAACGAATAATGCTGATGTTGAGCAGTGGGTGCAAGAGCTAGAACTGTCTGCACTTGCAGTACAGTGGAACAAGTTGCAACTTATTGTACCAGTGGTGTTTGCTGTTAAACATTATCACAATCGACTGGATTTGGGCATTGCGCATGGCTGCTGCCAATAAGACAAGTGGCAAAAAAATATAGCCAAGGACCACCGTTTGGATTCTCATTGCGATGCCAATGGTTTGGATTGAATGACTCACTGTCTGTGTTTTATCATTTGACTAAGAAATGAGACACTACATTAAGTTAAGTCCATACATTTGTTGGTCTAGATTGATATTTTTGTGCAATGTATATTATGGTAATATTTATAAGAATTGGTTTCTATAATTTATTTATAATACATCTAGGGTAAATTTGAAATAGTTTTAAATGACTTAGACTCAGATCTGGCTAAGCAAACGCATTACAAATATGATTTCCCTACTTTTTCGATTAAATGTTTAAACAGCTGTTTGTGGTTATATACTGGCAGAACAGTCAATGACAGTTTGAAGACGCAATTGAACAATTATTTAACAAAATTCAGCATACAACAAATTGACATTTCCGATTCAAAAACAAAACCAAATATTCCTCTAAAGATTGCAAATAGATGAAACACAAAACAGATGCTTTTATTAGTACATGTTCTACATATTTGGAAGCTCTCTTATTGGCTTCATGTTTAGTATTTGAATTTGAAAGAAATTATTGTATTTTCCCTTGGAAATTGGTAAGAAATTGCTGCCATCTGTTTACTGATCGCTTTTCAGCGAATGAGGTCTTAAATGCGTTGCTCTTATAACAATAGATTTGAAGACACGTGCGTATTGAGTTAACAAAGTCAATATTTAACCTTTAATGGAAGTCAGAAGGGGCTGGAGTTCATTAATATGTTTTTCATGGTTAATCTCAAGCAATTACCTTGACTCAGACAAGTGTCGCATGCAATGTTAAATGTTAACCTGAATACTCTAGAAATGGGTAAAAATACTATAAGGTTCGATATAGCCATGTCCGTCTGTCCGTCTGTGTGAGCACGCGTATCTCAGGGACAGGAGAAATATAAATTCTCGTATGCAGTGCGCAGATCAAGTTTGCTTCATTTAATTGATAACTGCCTCTCGTTCGCGAATATCGATATATGTATATCGATTTGCGATTACAATAAAAGTCACAATTATCAAGGCAGTGGCTTTTAATTTATATCGATAAATTATTGATTAACTGTTCAAAGACCCAAGCTAAAGTCTAAAACCTTTTCTCATATTGAACTCATTAGTATCAGCAGCCGCAAGTATTTTGTTTTATGTACTTCCAAGCATGCTTACATATGAGTGCGACTTTTTAATGGGTATATTTGGCTATAAAACCAGAATATATTTAACAGCTAGCCATATCAAAGTCGAGCTCACTTGACTCCAGTTGATAAATGAAGTTTACTTAAATACTTAAAGGAAGGAGATAATTGTATTTGTTTTGCCTGGGAACTACTCGGAACCGAATCTGATCTAGTCTGCTCGAACTTGTCCCGAATACACTAGAGTCATTCAGTCATAATCAAACGCTCACAACGCTCAAAGATTCAGCAGTTAATCTTTAAAAAAATGCTGCTGCTGCATGTCCTTATCCAAACTTACCTGTGCTGCCTTACCAATTTGTTTAAGTGCATGTTGCATAATGCAAGCAGCTGTTTTTGTTGATGCTGCTGTTGACGTTGTCTTATTGACTGGCTTAAATGGAGCTCTCGGTCACCGTTTCATCAGATTTGCAGCGTGTGGATGCCTTTCATTTGCAGTCGGGCTGCATTTTTTCATTTGCTTTTATCAATGGCAAAAGCTTTTAAAAGTTTTTCGAGTATTTTCAAATTTTGTTATTGTTGTTTTGTGTTGGTTTTTTTTTTTTTTTGCCCGCCATGGTTCAAAAATTCAGAGCTACTCGTTTCGGGTTGATTATTTGAAAGAGTACTTTAAAGTGGTAGGTTTAAAGGCAGAGATACAAAATATTGTTTGGCATTTCCATACATCTCTATTTTAATCTGTTTCACTTTATCCCTCCTCTCTCCGCGTCTCTTTTTCTTTTTTTTTGTTTTGCCAACTACAGAAACAATGATTTAATTATCCTACAATATTGTTGTTGCTTTTCAAGAGGTTTTACTTATCCGTAGGCGACAGTTAGAAATCTTTAAATTACTTCGAAATCCTTGTTGAAAAACAATCGAGTAATAATTATTGTCGGACTATTTACTGTTTCTGTTTCTTCTGTTACTTATTTTATTTATTTTTATTTTATTTATTGTTTAGCGTGGGGTTTTAAATTAAATTACCTTATTAATCTTATAATGCTGCTTAATATTACTTACGTTAAGAATACAAATAAAACAAGCACGGAAATTTAAATCATTTAAATGTTGAATTGAATTTCAATATGAAAACAAAGAAAAACCTTAAACATGTACAATCTATGTATTTTTAAAAATAGTTATCGATATTTTGTGCACGACACAAAACTTTGTTTGTGTACCGTAGAAAATAAAAACAATTACAAGGCCAAAGGACAATAACAATAACAACTACAACAGCTAAAAACAATAACAAATTGCCTTCATTTGGCGGAATTGTGCCACAACATGGTTATTGTTGAAGGGGCAAGGAGAGACAGAGAGTGTGCTAGCTAGTGTGTGTGAGAGAGAGAGAGAGAGAGAGAGAGAGAGGGGGGAGATAGAGATAGGCAGAGGCAGTGATAAAGACTAAAACGAAGCTCAAGTCCTGCTCGTGAATATTTGCGCAGCACGCAATCCATAGATACACATATATATACAAATATATAATATATATATACATATATATCCGGGCCGTGGCTGCCTCGTTATAATTGGACCCACGCACGCAGCCTGAAGGCATTTTGTATTCAATTATCACACTCAGAAAAAAAAAAACGCCCTGAAATTTTGAAAGTCACGCTGAAAATTAACATTATTTACTTGTTTTTAGAAATACATGCAAAATATACGAAAACACTTTTCTTAAAATTTGAAAGCCTTGCTCTAAATCGTCAATCCGAAAAATATGGTGGTTTTTTTGTTTGAAATCATTTCTATAAATAATTTCTATTGTAACGAACTGTAATTCTAAAAAGTAGAAATGCGTATGGGAAATCAAATAATACTAATATTTAATTATAAATATAAAAATACAAGAGTTGTAATGTATGAATTCTCTAGGTTTATATAATGGGTATACTCAAAGAAAAACAACATCCCAAAAATTAAAAATATATTTTTTTAATTTTGGAAATATGCACCCTGAAATTAAGAAAATATAAATCCTGATCTTAACAAATGTACTTTGAGAATAATAATTTACATTACACTTGGGGAATTTCTAAAATTCAGGGCGATTGTGTGTGTGCGTTTTTTTTTTTTTTTTTTGAGTGCATTTTGGCCGAAGCAGTTGCTTAAAGCAGACTGCTAATGGTCACCTTTGAACGGTGCGGACTCAGTTTTATTTGGAATTGGAGCGCAGGCCACATGACAAGTCGCATGGGTTAAATTGTGGTGGTCAGTGGAATCGGAATAGTCCCGGGAAAAACACGTATGCGTATGCAACAATATAGAGATTAATACAATTATTAATAATGTATGTGTGTGAGTGTATTTTTTTTTTATTTTATTTTTTTTTATTTATTTGGAGACGCCTCTAATAACGGCAGCTTATCATTCTATTAATATCAATGCTGACTGGCAGAGCAATTACAGCAGTTAATTAAATGCGGCCATCGCAGAATTCAATTATTTCCTAAGGGCTTGCACTGGCTTTGTCCTGTATACAATTTAAGCCGTTTTCAGTTATTTTTATTGGTATTGGTATTTTTCAGAAGTCACCGCGCCGACTGTCCAATTCATCGGTGCAGGCACTGCCAGAGGGTCGACGGCATTTAATGGATTTGGATGAGGGTGATCTGTTCATGGAGCTGATACGGGATGTGGCCAATGAGCTGGACATCGATGTGCTCTGCCACAAGATATTGGTCAACGTTGGTCTGCTAACCCATGCGGATCGCGGTTCCCTCTTCCTTGCCAAGGGCACGCCCAACAACAAGTATCTGGTGGCCAAACTGTTTGACGTCACACAAAAGACAGGTGAGCAATTAAAAAGCGCATTCCTCTTTTTCCAATCTGAATTTCGATTTACATTTATTGTTCAAATGTTGCCAGGCAACAAGGACAAATATGGCAAAACTGACAGCATTGGCACTCTAGTTTAATTAACACAAAAAAGGAAACAAATCCAATCAATCCGTTAATTGAATGCTGAATGTTAAAATGAATGACTGCATCTCAGCAAAAGTCACTTTTAAGCTATCATTTCATTTGTCTGCGGCTAGCAATATTTGCTTTTAATCACGAATATATTTAAAAATAATAAATGTACTGGATTTTTTCTATAGCGACTCTTTTGAAATCGGTTAGTAATCAATAACTTCAGAGAATAGACTTTGTCACTCGTTCGATAAAATTGTTAAATTTCGAAAGACTGAGCCAAGATTCTTGGGTTTAAATAATATTTGAAAATCTATCTTCTCATTTGTCCATGTCTAGAAATAGTGGCTCTTACTCGTATCTAAGTCAAATATGTATTTTAAAATACCGAATGTTATGTTGCTGCTTTTTAAATAAATTACTAAATAATAAATTCACAACATTTTCAATCTCTCCATATCTCCATATCATACTTGATAGGGTTGTTACATTTTTAACTCTTCATTTTTCCATTTATTTATTTTTCAACACAACCCACACCTATATTAAATTTTTAAAAACTCACCTATCTATTATAAGCTCAGAACGATATTGAACTAAACACAATTATGTGTATTTATATACAAAATAATTTAATCAAAATGAATTTAAAAAAAAAGTTTATTGTAACGTTTAGCTAAATTTAGATATTCCCACTTATTGGATTAAGCGATTAAAAAGTTTGTAAAATTTATTTTAAAAATGAGAAATCAGCTACAAATTTTTGTAATTAATTTTATTTTTATTTTTTTTTGTGATTGTAGACTTTATTTGATTGCAAATATGCGTTAGGCGCAAGTGCCAATAAAATTCTCGGCTCGTTAACCCACACAAATTGGCGCTCATTAGCGGCTCGGGCAACCACTTGGTACATTTTGGCCCACGGATCGGGGAACGCATTAGCAAATTAAGCTGAAACGGAAGCGGGCATTAAAAGTTTTTTGGCCATAAAACTCAAAAGGTTGCTATCGAATGAAAAATAGATGCTGGCTAAAGCGTGTTCAGGCAGGCACACACACACACAGTGATATATATAAATATATATTATATATATAATGAATCTCAGTGTGTGTGTTTCGTGCGTTAAATCCGCCTCTTCCGCTACATAATTCAGTTGGCAAAATGTTCTTCTTGTTGTTGTTGGTGGGTAAAGACTGAACAAAAAGTAAAGATTAGAGCCTAGAGCACAAGCAAGGTTTACTTGCTACGCACACACGCACACACTCCCAAACACACACACGTGCAGATTCAATTACACACATATACACATGAATTGGCGATGCAAATTCATCGACTCCATTTGACTTTTAGCCTCGATTTTCAACTGGCATTTATTTTGTATTTTTTCTGGCTTTTTGGGTATCTTATGCGTGGCAGACTGTCAATAAATTAAATATTTATTTAATGATTTATGCGGCCTCTTTGCAGCACTCAAGGATGCGGTGACTCGTGCACGAGCCGAGGAGATAATCATACCGTTTGGCATTGGCATCGCTGGCATGGTTGCCCAGACAAAGGAGATGATTAACATCAAGGAGGCGTACCAGGATGTGCGCTTCAATTGTGAAATCGATCAGAAGACGGGCTACAAAACGAACGCCATACTCTGCATGCCCATTTGCAATTACGAAGGCGACATCATTGGCGTCGCACAAATCATCAATAAGACCAATGGTAAATCGGCAGCAACACTAACAAAACGACTCAAAATAAGAGAAAACGTTGCAGTCGGCCCGTTGTGTAACCGACTGCGAAATACTTTGATACCATAAGTTAGACCAGCAGATATTATGTAGCAAAGAATAGGGTGGGTGTAGCCAACAAATACTGTCCAAGATTGCCTTTCAAATTGCGATAGATATAAGGTAGTAGCTTATGAGATTTGTAAAATATTGGGGGAGGGAGTGGGCAAAACAAATTATAAGAGAAGATTCCTAGTAACTTGGTCCTTTAGCTCTTAAATTAAGGGAGATATAGGCTTTTAAAAATTTGGGATGGGAGTGGCCGTGGCCAAAAAAAATAATAGAGGACGATCTTAGTAATCTACATTCCAAGTTTGATAACTGTAGCTCTTAAATTCCGAAAGATATAGGCTTATATCATCTTTAGGGGCGGGAGTGGGCGTAATCCAAAATTTTGGAAGGGTGCTACTGGCAATATACCTTTAAGATTAGGTGACTCTATTCATTGGGGGCGGCGGAGGTGGGCGTGGCATCGCCAACAACCGACCAACCAAATTTGTTGACTTTGGCCATAAAATTGTGGGAGATAAGTGGCTTTCTCGATTTCCGAATATCGACTTTAACGAATTCCTAGCCCCCTAGTAGACGTGGCAATCCAATTTTTAGACTTTGTCTGACGCGGGCACAGACCAGTGTATGTTCCAAGTTTCAAGTCCCTGTATCTAAGGGTGTCGAAAAAGTTGTGTTCATACAGACGGACAGACAGAAACACAGACATTGCACAACAGCAATATACTATGACAACCTCGGTATCAAAGTATAGAAATAATCCAAATTCGAAATGAACTCACTTGTGTTTGTGTGTTATTTGGTTTAGGTTGCATGGAGTTCGATGAGCACGATGTGGAAATCTTTCGCAGATATTTGACATTCTGTGGCATTGGCATACAGAATGCTCAGCTCTTTGAAATGTCCGTCCAGGAATATAGACGCAATCAAATCCTTTTGAATCTGGCGCGCAGCATTTTCGAGGAGCAAAACAATCTCGAGTGTCTCGTCACCAAAATCATGACAGAGGCACGCGAGCTGCTCAAATGTGAACGCTGCTCGGTGTTCCTTGTGGATCTCGACTGCTGTGAGGAGGTGAGTTAAAATTTGAACATTTTAATGCCTACACTCAGAAAAACTGAATGAACAGAACTTTAGAACAAGAATCCTACTTTTTGCGTTAAGCGTTAAATTATTATTAAACATTAGTGTATTACGTATTTCACATAAGCAAAAATAGTTTACACAGTTTATTAAATTCATGTAAATTAATTTTATCAACTGCGCTAACTCTAATAAGAAAGCCGTCCAATAAACTTTTATAATAATAGAAAATAAGAGAAACAACAAAAATTAAAGAAAAACAATATATTTTTGCATTTATCGATTTAGGACAAGCTTTTCTTATATTTAGAAATTACTTTTAAAAACACGAAACCATTTCTAATTTTTAGCGCGATTTTCTAAATTTGAGTGTCATGTTTTTCTGAGTGCAATGATGGCCATAGCAACTTCAGCTCAGCTCCTACTGCGATGATATTTACAATTGTTCAATTATTTGCCAAAATGAATGTCTTTGTATTTTGACTTGCTTGTCCGCCCCATTCTTAGGGGCGTGGTCGTTTTCTTGTCAGATTCATTAAAATGAAAGTGGCTTTAAATGCAAACGCGGCCATTTTGTCTGTTTGACAACTTGAAGTGAACACACCCCAAGGAAATTAAAATGGAGCAATTTACATAATTCTTTTTTTGTTTAGGGTTTTTTTTTTTGTGTTCTTTTATAACCACCGAAAAGGTAACAAAGCAATTCCCATTTAGCTACTAAGCAACGTGCTTCATTTTCCCTATTTTTGGCTTCATTTTCTCATATATAATATAATGCCCAAAGAACGGGTAATCATCAAACACATTTGTCTGGCCTCCTGTTCACTTAGTTAATGTGTGTCTAGCGGGTGTTTGTGGCTGCCAAATAAGCCACGAGTCAACATAAAACAATTGTGCAAGCGAACACCTTTGTAATACACGCGAACAATTAAATTGTAGACAGTTTTAATTTCATTTCACACACAACTCTTTTACCGACATCTATAATACGGTGGAATTTAAAAGACTCACAAGTTAAACAAATAAATGTTTTAATATTTAATATAAAAACTCTTCTAAAAAATAATTAATGGAAAAATATAACCAAATATACAATAAAGAAGTATTTAATATATTAATAGAGTTCTTCGAAAAATGTGAAATAGAAACCAATTAGTTTATTTACTTTATTTGTATACAATACAGTGCAGTAATATAATTATTTAAGAAAAGTCAACAATTGAAACAAATTTACTTCTTTTACTATATATGTATATAGTACAATAATAGAATTGTAAAGTGAACATACCATTCATTCATACCAATAAACCTGCTCCACTGCCTTAGTTTTTATTCCACTCTTCCCATAATATTATAAATGGGTAATCGTCAGGCACATTTCTATGGCCTCCTGTTCACTTATTTAATGTGTGTTTAGCGTGGCTGTCAAATAAGCCACCAGCTCAGCTCTGTCAATAAAACTCTGTCAATACAAAACCATTGTGCATGTAAAAAATCTTTAAAAAACACGTGACTAAGCATTTAAACTATAAACAATTTAGATTTGCAAGCATTTTTTATGGCAAAGTATTCATAAAATCCACAAACGCTAACTGTTAAGAACCATTAAAATCCAGTTAAACAAATAAATGACTCAATTCAGAACTTGCATGACATTCTTGGGTACACTACCTTTTTTCTATGTCAACAATTGTGTGTTTTGCTGTATAAACTTGAGCTGTTTACCTTATATATATATTATAATATACAATAATAGAAAGCACAAAAAAAAATTAATCAATGAAAAAAAAATTCGTTTTTTACTTTATATAAATAAAAATTAATTAATTAATACAGCAATAGAATTCTATGAATATATCAAACATATAAAACCATAATTGAAATAAAATTAAATATAACTTAATATCTATATAATTGATACAATAATTGAGATCCGTAAAATAAACCTACACATTAAACACATTTCTTAGCATGAACAACTTAATTCCCAACTGAAGCATTTTATCAAATTAATACGAGCCATTAATCACATTGCATTTTTAATTGCATTAAATTTCATTTTAAGTGCCGGCACTCAAATTTATAATTTACTGAAGTGAAGCATACAAGTTTTGTTGTATGCACTAATAATTTTCATATAATTATAAATAATATGCATTCAAAAATTGTTGTGCTCATATGAAATATTTAACTGGGTATATTGCTATGCAATATACGGAATTATATTTATTTCATTTTAATATATACTTATATATATTTTATTTTTTTTTGGTTCAGCTAAATTAAGTGCTGATTGCTGCTGATAATTTATTCATTGCTCTTCGATTACCGTTCAAATTGCCAATTATCTGTTGTGCGATAATAAAAATATATATGCTCTACATATATTTATATATATATATAGATCTATATATATGCCCACTTCAGGCTGCCAAACTGTTGAAATATAAATATGGCAAGTCATGTGCAGCATTTATCCATTTAATTATGTGCAGGAAAAGCAACAAAAAAATATGATAAGAGACTCCAGCGGCAGCCAGGGCAATTTATCAGCGGCGCCACCGCTGCAGCTGCTGGGGGAGCTGTTTATGCCACATTTGCGGCAACCACTTAATGTTCGTGTACTTTGCATTTTTGCCATTTTCCAGAGCCATTTGGAGAAGATAATTGAGAAGCCCCATCAGCAGGAGCAGCGCACCATGCGCGCCATTAAAGGCGGCGATAGTTTCGAGGAGCAGGTAAATGAAATGAAATTTGAATTTTAAATATTTTAAATTATTTTGTAATCGCTCAGCAAAAGATGCGAAATCGTTTCACCGTCCTCTTCGAGCTGGGCGGTGAATATCAGGCGGCGAATGTCTCCCGGCCCTCGATCAATGAACTGAGCCACTCGACACTGGCGCAAATCGCCCAATTTGTGTCCACCACCGGGCAGACGGTGAACATCTGCGATGTCCACGAGTGGGTGAGGGATCACAATCAGATACGGGATAGCGAAATCGATAGCACCCATGCCATACTCTGTATGCCGATTGTGAATGCCCAGAAGACGGTGATTGGCGTAGCTCAGCTAATCAACAAGGTGCGTAAAAAATCCAAGTCAGGAACATGCAGGGTGTAACTGACTGCGAAATACCCTTATACCAACAAATAATACCAGCTAATAGCAACTTCAGCGAATATTTCTTTTTTTACCCGATTTTTGAGGGAGGGTTCTAGAAACAGACTGTTGAGAATTTTGGGACAGGAGTGGGTGTAACCGCGAGAAGTGTTTTAGACGAGGTTCCTTTTTATCTACCTTCTCTCTTTTAGCTCTATAATTGCGGAATATATAGGAATATCCAGCGTGGTCAGAAAAAGTAATAAAAAACATTCTTTATAGCAATCGTAATGTTTCGCAGATTTGCGTTTATAGTTTGATGTTTTTATCGACTTACACCATCAAATATGTATATCGGTTTTGGGAGTTACCAGGAAAGTACCTTAAAAATGTTGTGACTCCAGTTGGGAATTTCAGAATTTTAGGGGCGTCGGATGTTTGAGTGGTCTGGAAATATATACACCGATCTTTGAAGGACATCGCCAACAACTTACCAATATATAAATAAATAAATAGTATTTAATTTCTGTTTGAATGCAGGCGAACGGTTTACCCTTCTCCGAATCGGATGTGTCGATATTCGAGGCATTTGCCATATTCTGTGGCCTGGGCATCCACAACACGCAGATGTACGAGAACGCCTGCAAGCTGATGGCCAAGCAGAAGGTGGCGCTGGAGTGTCTCAGCTACCATGCGACGGCTAGCCAGGATCAAACAGAGAAACTCACCCAGGATCCCATTGCCGAGGCCGAGTCCTATAACTTGTACAGCTTCACCTTTACGGGTAAGTCGAAGCATATCAAACCAAACCCATCATAAATTTATATCTACTCCCTCCCAGATTTTGATCTGGTTGACGATGACACTTGTCGTGCTGTGCTGCGCATGTTTATGCAATGCAATCTGGTCTCACAATTTCATATACCCTACGATGTAAGTTGTGTAAATCAGCAAAACAAATACAGAGTACTCATCAAATCGTACTCAATTCTAATGCAGGTTCTCTGTCGCTGGGTGTTGAGTGTGCGGAAGAATTATCGACCCGTCAAATATCATAATTGGCGGCATGCTTTGAATGTGGCTCAAACCATGTTTGCCATGTTGAAGACGGGCAAAATGGAACGGTTTATGACAGATCTGGAGATATTGGGTCTGTTGGTGGCCTGTTTATGCCACGATCTGGATCATCGCGGCACCAACAATGCCTTCCAGACCAAAACTGAATCACCTCTAGCTATTTTATACACAACCAGCACCATGGAGCATCATCACTTCGATCAGTGTGTCATGATTCTGAACTCTGAGGGCAACAACATATTCCAGGTGATAATTATATTCTCTCAAAAGTTTTTCAATTTGTTTAGAGAGCAAATTGTTTAAATATGGTAGGGTGTGGTATTCCAAATTTAAATATATAAATAAATAAATACATATCTATTTTATACAGCAGTATTTTATATTAATCAGGTTAAATTTGATATCGCAAATGCATAGTTTATGGCCTCATTCCACTATTAACATTTCTTACAACTTTCAACTTTTTTTTATTTATTTATTATGTAGGGTTTTATACTAAACTTTTTTAATAAACTGTTTTAACAATCATTTCGGAAATATGACAAATAAAAATAATCCGATCAATATTATTTATTATCATATTTTGGCACAAACACGTTAAATGCCAAGTTGACTTATAATGGAATCGCTAAATATTAAATAGACTTCTGTAATATTATTTCTTTTGGCTCTTAAAATATTTCGTTATGTAAGAATCTATTTTAAATAAAAGTTCAAAATGTTTGCTTGGCCTGAGGATTATCGATCTGTTATGAAGATCGTTTTTTTTTTCATATATATAATAAAATGTATATTTAATCTTTGATAGGCACTTTCGCCCGAAGATTATCGATGTGTAATGAAGACTGTTGAGAGCGCTATACTTTCCACCGATTTGGCAATGTATTTTAAGAAGCGCAACGCTTTTCTCGAACTAGTCGAAAACGGCGAGTTCGACTGGCAGGGCGAGGAGAAAAAGGATTGTAAGTACTCAAGGCAAACACTGCGTATGCGTAATATTTTAAAACCGATCTCTCTCTCTCTCTCCACATATATATGTAAAGTGCTTTGTGGCATGATGATGACAGCGTGCGATGTGAGCGCCATAGCAAAACCGTGGGAAGTACAACATCGTGTTGCCAAACTTGTTGCCGATGAGTTCTTCGATCAGGGCGATCTCGAGAAGCTGCAACTGAACACACAGCCAGTGGCCATGATGGATAGGTACGTCGGCATCAGTTTAAAAAGAAAAGAATATATGGGGACTTTTAGAAATAGACTTTTGTGAATTTTGGCGACGGGAATGGGCGTGGCTCAGACGGGGGCCTGAGGGCGGTAGAGGTGGGGTGGGCGTGACTAAAGTTGATCTTTGAAGGATATGGTCAGCAACCTACTAATCAAATTTGGTAACTATAGCCTTAAAATGGTGGGAGTGTGCGGCTTTATCGATTTGCGATTATCGATTTTTATCGATTTTCTAGCCTTCTAGTGGACGAAGCACACTAATATTCCCAAACTTTGTCTGACGCGGGCACAGACCAGTATATATTAGAAGTTTCTATATTTAGGGACAGATGGACAGACAGCATGATGGACACTGTACAAAATCAATATACTCCTTTACCTTCGGTAACAGAGTACTAAAATGAATAATCAACTAAATAAATATCGCAGGGAACGCAAGGATGAGCTGCCCAAAATGCAGGTGGGTTTCATCGATGTGATCTGCTTGCCGCTCTACCGCGTGCTGTGTGACACCTTCCCGTGGATAACGCCGCTGTACGAGGGCACGCTGGAGAATCGACGCAATTGGCAGGATTTGGCGGAGAAAGTGGAGATGGGTCTGACATGGATAGATCACGATACGATTGATAAGCCGGTGGAGGAGTTTGCCGGCTGTGCGGATGAGGAGATCAAAGACATTGAGTTCACGGTGACAACGCTCAATTGCAATCAGCAATCGCAGTCGCAGTCGCAATCGCAGTCGCAGTCACAGCATGGCGGCGACGATATCCATACGCCGGAACATCAGCGGAGCAGTGGCTCCAGATTAAGCATCAAGAAGACAGGCGCATTGGGCAAAGTGGTGCGTTCCAAGCTATCGAAGACGCTGTACAACAGCATGGATGGCTCCAAGCCGAAGACATCGCTCAAACTGCTCGAATCGCATGTCAGCGAGGATATGGACGACAAGAGTCCGACAAGTCCATCCCAGCCGCATTCGGGCAGTGTGGGTCGCATGTCTGCTTCCTCGTCCACATCCTCGGCGGGCACCGTTGACAAGACCAAGAAACGTTCCAAGCTCTGCGCTCTCTTATGACGAAAGCCATCCAATTAGAATTTGGTGACCCCCTCCACATCTGCTGCGGCCGGCAGTGAGACTGACAAAGCCCCAGCAGGAGGGGGGCTGACCGATTTCTAATTCTACACCCCACAAACCACAAACGAAACCGAATCCGAAACCAAAACCCAAACCGGGCTGGACAGTGTGCTTAGCAACGGAATGCCAGCCAAACAATCCTACAATCCTGTAACAAAAAAACAAAGAAAAAGAACTTGAACTAACTAACTAATGCTGTAACTAGTCTACACCCGGACAAAAGAAAAATCGGTCTGAATTTTAGAAATTCGTCTTACTTTACGCGCCAAGCATGACTAACTTTGTTATTCAAAAAGTATATTTCCATAAACCAAGGTTTTTCTTTGATTATTTTCGGGCTGCATTTTTCCAAAACTTATCAAAAGTTGATCTAATTTTCAGCGTATTTTTTTCAACTCTAAAATTAGAATTTTTTTGATTATGTATTTTATGCATTTTTTTATAAGTTTTCAGAGAGATTTTCTAAAATTTAGTGCGATTTCTTGAACTGAGTGTAACTAATGCAGTAACTAGTCTATGTGTACTAACTAGTTGAAAACCTTTGAATGAAATCATTATTGGTTACCAAACAATTTTGGTTGCCTGCTCTACGTGTATATGTCTGTAGGTAGAGAGAATACACACACGCACTCGCACATACCCGCACACATCCATACAGCAAAGATAATTGCAATATTATGCCTAAGTGAATGTCAAATCATGTGATCTATTTAAGGTCCTAAAGGTCAAAGCGCATGCGCATCAAACCTTTTGGTATATTCTCTCTCTCCCCTTCTCTCTCACTATCTCTTCACCTCTCTCTCTCTCTCTCTCTCTCCCTCTCTCTCTCTGTTTCTCTCTTTCTCTTGCTATATGAATGCTATATTGAATGTGAACTTAAGCTCCTAAGTGTTTGAACTCACTTGCAGCAAATACAAAAAAAAATAAATAAAATAATGAAAAGAAGTAATATCTAATTAGATTATCAATGCATTTTTGTGTTAAGTAGTTTTTCCTTTCGTAAACCAAATCGTGCTAGTCAAACGTATAAAATACCAACTATATACCAAACAAACAAATACATTTAAATATTTATAACTTTGTATATGTTTAAGCAACAAAAGAAAAAACAAAACAAAACAAAAAATTGTGAGTCTATAATTGCTTTCGAGGTTGATGTACCCAAAACTAATACAACTAGTCCGCATGTGATAACTCCATATACTCGTGTTGTACTTGTGGTTAAAGCTCTTATTAACTAGTTGACATAATTAAATACTAAACATTATCCATATTCTAAATAAATATGTGTAACTTTTCAGTAGGCCGCTCCTGATTGTAGCTATTAGTTAAACCAGAATTTGTGAAGAATATAAACTATAGCAATATTATATGATATTTTAAAGAATAGCTAAAATACATAATACATATATAAATATCAAAAAGGACACGCAAAGAAAAACTATTGTATTTTTTGTCATTTGTGAGCACCGCACAAGATTGATTAAACGCACAAAATGGCAACGGCAAATAAATTAAACATAAAATTAAAAATATTCTTAACTACGCAAGAAAACACAAACTAACGTTTTTAAAAATTAATGTACATTTTGTCAATTTTGGAATTCAACTCAAATCTAAATGGCAAATAAGCAACTATTTAGCAAATACCATATTAGCACCTACTTACAAATTGATTAGCTCTAGTTACAATAACTAAATTCTCATTCTCTCTAAATGTTGAGCAAAAAAAGAAAGAAAACGATAAAAACAAATTTACTTTATGTGTGTATAAAGCGGTTAAGAATCTAGCATATTATATAAACATATTTATAAATACATATATACATATATATATATATAGATGTATATATATATATATATATATGTATATATGTATGTAACTAAATGCTAAAGCTTCGATGTAAATTATAGGCACCTCATTTCAAAAATTGCAAATGAATAAAAACTATTTTTCTAGCTTTTCTGTCGCGCCATTGAGAATCAAAATCCAGACAACTTTATAAACGAACTTAAGAACTTCTTTATGAAAGTTTTGCAATTAAAATCGATTTGAAAAACACCTCTCACTACACTGGACAAATTTATGTACCTTATCTCAACGTTGTAAATCAAATACCCAATTTGAGTTCATTTCGAAACAATATTTATATTGTTCTTTATCTGTAACACCACTGTTATTTACAAGAAAAGAAATAAACTAAAAACTGTACTAGATTTTTCGCCGATATATCAATATTATAACTTGGCTGCAATTAATAAACTATTTTTAATAATTTGTGTAACTATATAAGACAATGCAATTGAATCAAAAATAAATCACACCATTGAAAATTCTAGCCTCTGCTATCGTTGTGTTTCAATAATGGAATTCCACAAAATGTTCTGCAATTTAAAGTGTTGCTCCTGATCGCCAAAAAGGGAACGAATAAGTGGAAATTAATTCGTTACAGACTTGCAAAGAATGCTACCAAATATCTGCTTATCGGTAAATCATATATTTCTGAGGAGTGTGCTGTTTATCCTGCGCTTCAAAGATGGAAGTCAAGTTTTGCAAAATAAAGAGAAATATTTTTATTAAACAGTGTAGAGACTTAACTGTTTCCTGAAACCAGAGAATTAAATCAAATTCACTCAGATAATGACCAGAAATTAAACAATTACATAAGATTCACACAAAACAAATTACACATAAATATTTTTGTTTTCCATACCCTGGCTGGGAACTTTATTCACTTTAGGTCTTTGTCTTTGCTGTAGAGCATAGCCAGTTCACGCACCATTCCTTTGTTGGTGAATTGACTACATTTTCATCAGCCGAAAAAAATCATTTCATACCTTTAGGCGTCCCCATTTAAGGGTCCGTTGAGTTGGAATCGAAGAGAAAACCTCTTTTGAAATACATGCAAGGATTAAGGGATTATCTAAGAACCCAAACACTTGAAAATATAACTACGGAGCGAAAGGAAGTATGTCGTAATCTCAAAATCAATATTTTCCCGGAATCTGCGAGGATGATTTGAATGTCCTTCAGTTACTTTGTAGCCCCGATCAAAACAAAAGTTTGTCTTGTCACAATCCGGAAAGCTGTGGTGATGTTATTAGCAATTTTCTGTTTCAAAAAAATTCTCGTTATTAAAGTTGCTTAAAGAAAATTCGTCTTTTTTAATGCCAATATTCAAATTCGCATGCCGAGGGCTATTTGTTATTGAAATTTGAATGCTTGAAGCGGCCGAGTTTCGCCGCATTTTTAAATTTTAGTCATTGCCCCTCGACCTTATACCACCAACTGAATCCTATAATCTTGCCAAACTGCGCAAGACTACTGAGGCAAATGATCAAGACGTGAAATTCCTGCAATAAAATAGAGTTTTTGACACATAAAATATAATATACCTGCAGCTACTCAGACTGGGATAAAATCGCATAAGAATACTCAAGCTGCTAAGAGAGAGTTATCGATATAGCAAACTTCATCTGCGCATAATATACGAGAATCTATATTCCAAATTATATTTTCGATTATCTAAAATTCGGGGTAATTTTTTTCTGAGTGTAGCCAAACGATATCAAATTGAAATTGCAATGCTCACATTTATTACTTTTTTTCCATATAGAATTTGTCACATAATGTTTATATATGTGTAAGTTAATGCTAACCCACGACAATAACACGAGGAATGTTGTTGCGATTAACGTTGCGATTGTTGTTGCGATTGTTGTTGCGATTGTTGATGCGATTGTTGTTGCGATTGTTGTTGCGCCTTATTTTGATGCGACGGACATTTCTGTATCTTAAGTTGCTGATGCGGATGCGTCGCCTCCTCCTCCTGTTGCCGCCACCTGTTTGGGTTGTTGCCGCTGTTGTTGTTGCTGGTTCCGCTGTTGTTGTTGCTTCTGTTATCGCATCTGTTGTGGCTTCTGTTGTAATTTCGCAGTCTACATGATCCACATTCAACGGATCGTCGCAATCCGTGCAGCCGACGGGATCGCCTGGAGCAGTACATGCAACTGCCTCGCTTTCTCTGATCACGCAAATGGCCAAAATGGCACTGCCCAGGAATAATGCAAAGATTCTCATTCTAGTTTTTGCAATCTTAATATGTTTGGCACTTCTGCTGAAATTGTGCCAATTTTTCTGCTTTTATACTAATTGCCAGGAGATCTTTTGTTTTGTTCGTTTTTTTCTAGTTTTTTGCAAATTTACACAGTTGTTTCCAAACGTTCCGTTAATAAACAATTTTCGTCATTCCTATTTTGTTGACTTTCATTTGTGCAAAAATGCCTATTGTTTTATATCCGCTTAAGTCAACATTAGCTAACTTCACACCACCGAAGCAATATATATTCAAGTGCCTACAAGCAGAAAAATTGTCAAGTTATTCTTGTTTTTCGATAAACTTGCTAGATATATGAAAACTCTTTTCTTCTAAATCAACAATCCCAAAAATATGGTATATCTATTTTTTTTAGAAGTATTTTCAATTGTGAAGAAAAACATTTCCAAAAAGAAGAAATTTAAACAAGGATTCTTGGTAACAAATCTCTTAGAAACTATCGAATGTACGTATTTTTAGAAAACATACAAACTATTTGTGAAATCTTAAAATACTAATGCTTAACTATAATATAAAATAGTTAATGGAAGAAATGTACAGTAACAAAAGATCAGCCTGGAAATTATACGTATTTTTTCAAAAAACGATATTCAAAAATTTACTCGGAAATTAAGAAGAGAACTCTGATTATTTAAATATATACAAAAGTTTTGCGATTTCGAAAATATTAAATATACTTTTATTAGGTAAGAGGAGTATATTTTGCTTAATATGATAATTAATTACCTTAGTCCTAATTAATTACCTTTGCAGCAACAAAAGGTACACATTTAAAGGCAGTAGCTTCTTATTAATATAATATATATTGACAACTGGACAAATTTCATCATCATCAGATCGAATACAAAACACCCAATTTAAAGTGTAAAACCTCAAATTGAGGTTTATGTACTTCCACGCAAGCTGGAACTAGAATCATTCAACGAAAACATGCCTACTTGTTGGGATAAGTTTTATTTATTTTAGGTTCTAATGCTGGCAAATTAAACAACCAGCTTAATATTTATGAACATTTTTCACAAAACTTTAGTACAGGCCGCGTCAAGACCAAATTTCGTTTACAAATTATTATTGTGCAAATATTAGTTATGTTTTCGGCAAGCCTACAATAAAAATAACTTTGTTTGTCTAATCTATCTGTTGAATGAAGGAATTTCCGCAAGAGACATTAAATCAAATGTATTTATTTTTATTGGCTCTTAGTCTAAAATTAATCAGTCGGGGTCGAGTCGCATAAAAAGGATATATTTAACTATATATATACATATATAGATATATATATATATATATATATGTTTACATATGTCGTCAAACCCAACCCAGAATGCTCAACGTAATCAAATAGCGCAACTCGACTGACTGACTCTCTGTCTGTATGTCTGTCCGTTTGTCTGTCTGGATGATGATGATGCTGTTGCTGTTGGTTTTTGTGGCACGCACATAAAATGGTGCATAATCAAATATTGGCTGCACTCGGAAAAACAATTCCTAAATTTTTTTTATAATTGCCATAGGTAAATAATCTTATTATCGAGAAAGTAAATTGAGGTTTGTGGCTTTCTAGAAAAAACAGGCTTTGCTTTTCTTAATTTCAGGTTTCAGGCTTTTTATAAAACTTAAAATAAAATATGTATAATTCCAACTTTTTGAAATCCATTTTTTTTAATAAAAGCAATTTCTAAGAAAAGTAGAAAAAAAAAACAAATTGTTGTTATTTTGAGGACAATTTTTTTCTCGAGTGTATGAACGCCAGTCACCTTTTTTTATTTGCCTGTGCTTGACATATTTGTGCTGAAACCGACACGGATGCGCCGTGGAACGCCTGATGCGGTTTCCAGCTGTGATTTACCTAATGATTTCACTGCCTCCAGCCGTATATAAAACAAGGATGCGTTACTTACATTTGCTCATTCGCAAGCTTACACTCGCAAGCTTACAGTGGATTAGTCCAGTTTCTAATCCTTTACTGCTCTCTTTCACTTTCTCTCTGTGTGGCAAATGATGGCTCATTACGTTGTGGCATTATCGCTGCTATTGGTGGTGGCCAGTTGCTCGTCGGTTCTCAGCGCACCCGATGAGGAGCGCTATGTGTCCAAGGATTACAATCGAGATCTGTACGATTGGCTAACTGCAACACGCTATGCTGTGGCCGGACAACCCTATAAATATCCCTACTATTTGGGCAACTCGGTGGCCAGCAATATGCGGTTGCCAAAGAGGAACTCGGAGCTAATTAATTCGCTGCTCAGTTTGCCCAAGAACATGAACGAGGCGGGCAAGTGACGAGCTGTGTGGATATTGGATTTAAACTGGAGTCCGACTAATACCGATTAATTATGACTTAGAGAAGAAAGACACTATTTAGAAAAACAAAGAGTACATACATATATCGCTTTAGAAGTACTATCTATTAAAAATTATATATTAAATGAAATGTGTATAACAAAAACACGACACTTTATTCTAAACTGTTTTTTTTTTTTGCTTTAACTTTTCTCAATTGCTTTTAGAAAAGAGTGTATACCTTTATCAATAAATTTGAAAAGTAAAATGTGCAAAGAGACAAAAACACAAAAATCATTCGTTGTTGCGCAGAATTTAATTTTTCTTCCCAAAACAGAAGAAATGGAAGCAATAGGTAAATTAAAAAAAAAGGTTTTTGACGAGCTATAAATATATATTGAGAATTTGTATTTTTCAAGCAGCAGTACTATTATTTTGAGTGCAGCTGTATAAATTCCTTTCTTTCGTCTACCATCTTTTCAACTTATTTTCCCCGCATTTTTTCAACTAAATAAATATTATATAATTTGAAAACACCTGTAAAAGAACAAACAAAAAAGCAACAAGAATTTTAATGTAGATTTTTTCTTTTATTAAAAATGAACAGTTCTTCACTTGGTTATATATATGTTGTATATATATATATATATATATATATATATATATATATATATATATATGTATGTGTGTGTGTGTGTGTGTGTGTATATGTATGAAAGTTCATTTGGCGCTATTTGAAATCGTTGAAGACTTGTTGTATATATATTTATATTTAACTTTACGCATATATATGTACTTTACTACCACTATTCAAGTGGTTTTTCCTATTTGCTGTTATTGTTGTTTTGTTTGGTTTTTTATGTGCTACAATAATTATACACTTTGTATTTGCACTAAAGCAGAATGATTTTAGACAAGTTTTTTAAAATTAAAATACTCTATAAACAAATTATTAGATTAGTAAAAACAAAATAACATATGCAAATATATATGTGTGTGTGTGTATAAGTAAATATATGTAACTATGTTTAATTTTAGCTCAAATGCAGTTTCAGTAGCTTTTCACTTAACGCATAAATACTTGTTACCATAAAACTCTTGTCTTTGCCAACAACTACAACAACTGCATTAAACTTATCGACTAATTCACGTGCTCCACATAAATTCTTGATTATTATATAAATCTTGCACTTTTCTTTTTGATACGTTTTTAAAGCTTAGGCTGCATAATTTATAGAGGATGGTTTTTCTTGGAAAAAATGGCTTTGACTTGTTTGTTGTTGGTAACAGCAGAGTTTAGTTGTCGTCCGTCCGTCCGTCTGTCCGTCCGTCGTCTCACATGAAGAACTCATTGGCAGAATGGGAAAGCGGAAGTCACGTTCGCCCAGGACGATCGAATATGGTAATTTCTATGACGCGAAGACCACGAAATGTTGGATCGATCAATTGCAGACCCTTTGGATTATAAATGCGCTCATTCTGCGAAGCAACAAATTTGGATATCTTGCGCAACGTCTGCGAGAGAAAAATATTATACTAAATTAAATATGATTATTGGGATTGATTGATTTGATTTGCTTACCTTTTCGTAATGTGTCTCGGAGCACATGTATATCAAGTATGCCGTAATGCAGCCAATGCAGCCCTCGCAGTAGGTGCCGCAGGAGCCCTCCTCTGCCTCCGCATAGAATTCGTTGAGCCGATTAATCGTTGCCTCGAACACATGACGTTCAATCTGTAAATAGAAAATGAAGGCAGTCACTTTGGGTTTCAAATTGCTCACTTATATATTGTAAAAAAGAAGAAAGATGTATAAATGCTAGCAATAGTAGTAAAATACAAATATGGAGATATTAAATAGAAATGGCACAAATAACAGAACAATTTGAAATGGAGATAATAAATAAAAACGCCAGGTAGAAAAACCAAAAAAAAAAAAATAATAATAATAATGGAAAAATAAAAAAAGAGAACACAAATCAAATCGGTAAAATATTAAAAAAGAAAAAATAGAGGAAACAAATAGAAACGGCAGAATAGTCAGAAAAATTGACGACTTTTCAATTTAAATAAATAATTATTAATCACTTTATGGAATTCCATTATGGGTTTTATTTAAGAAATTAAATTAATATTTAATATCTTTGAACACCTTCTACGCTAGTTAAAAATTCTTTGTTGTTTTTATTTTCGAAATTTGTTAACAATAAATTAAATACTATTTTTATTTATCTTGCTTGTCAGTCATTTTTAAATTGTAATTTCAATTTGGCTTTATTTACATTTTGGATGTGAATGTCATTATAATTAATGTGGTGAACCCCAAAAATAAAGCTGAATATTTGAAGTACAACAAAATGATTTAGGAACATCCCTGACTGAAGTAGGAATTATGCTGAATTTTCGGCAGTGCAGCCAGCAATGAAATGTTGCATCTACACAAAATGCAAAAATGAACATAAAATTAATTTTTATTTGCAGTGCTTTTTAAACTGTAATTTAAATATTAACTGCACTGGCTTTGTTTACATTTTCGCTGTGAACGCCAAAAATATACTTTTAGTGATGGACCGCAAACAGCATCAAAATAATTTAGGAAACATTCACAACGAATGCAGTAATTTGCAAATTACTAATGATTGCTGATTAATGTGTGTTGTTATTATTATAGTTATTTTATTCGCAGTTCACTCACCATGCCATCCAGTTCGGCTGGCAGCCGTGTGTGGAATTTGACGGAGGTGCCGTCGCTGTAATCGCGCTGTATGAAGACCTTGCCACCATGTTGCAAGATGTTGGTTGGATTGCCACCCGATGCCGCCGATGGAGTGCCACCGCCTTGGGACATTGTTCGTCGTCTACTGTAAAAATGCCAAATGCCATTAAAAAGCTCAACTCGCAGCAAACGATACATTTGATTAATTGCAATCATTTTACAAAAACGGAAATAAAATATAAATACACAAAAAACAGAAAACAAAACAAAACAAAATTTTCTACTCAGATAAATTTTGACATTCGTCAGCACGAAAAAAAAAGTAGGCCGAGGCGATTAGGGGCGTGGCAAGTTTGCTTACTAACTGATAACTGATTATTGTTATCAAATTTCCAATTTCTGCCAATTTATTAAATTAATATCACTTTTTGCACTCAACGCTAAACAAAACAAATTAAAAACTACATTGCACAATTTAAGCGTTTTGTTCTCTTTTTAATTTGCGACACTTTGCAGCCAAGTTCAACATTGCAAAGTTTATCATCAATACGCAATTGAAATAATTGTAATATTGGCATATTTGTTAAAATTAGTGAAGAATTTGCACTTACAATTCGCAACGCACGTGTACACAATGGCGTCTGACCATTCACACAGATCGCGTACAACTGAGCAGCTGTTTAGCAGTGTGACCAGTGTGCGGCTGTCATAACCATGTTATCTTTAATGCTGCCAGATTATTGCATTTTGATGTGTAACCGAAAAATCTTAAAGGCTTACATTTTAAAAAACTGTTATGTGCTTTTATTACTTTAGTTAATTTATGATTTTAAGTGATTTGTAATTAATATTAATATATATTGTTAAATATGGGTTTTGGTAAGTGGGAGGAGCGTGACGTAAAGCATCAGCGCTGCCAGATTGTCAGATCGTTGAATTTTGTTGTATGATGATATAAATTTTTGCACTTTGGATAAGTACAGCATTAAATTAATCTGGTTTGCGTTTTTATTAAATCTGCTTGAATTAACATTCAATATATATTGTTGGATTTGCTTTTGTTATGCCTTACTAAATGATAGACGTGCTGCCAGATCGTTTATTGCACATTGCTGTGTGGCCATACAAAGTTAAACTGTTGCAATTTGAAAAAGGTACAGCATTTTAAAAAATGTTTTTCTGCTTTGGCCAAAAGTGTTACCATTAATATAGGCATATAATGTCTTACTTTGTTTTTCTGTTATGCTTAGCTTACGCCTCTTGAAAAGTTTGCTTATGCCCACGCAGTAGAGATTTCAAAACATGCACATTATTGAGACATTTGCACAGCTTGTGTTTTTGTTTGCGCTTAGCTGAATTGTGTATTTCATATATATTAGCTGTCGCTCTACTCAGCAGTTTAGTATATTGTTAATCTGCCATCATGAAGGCTGGCTTCAGTTACCATCAAATATGCATACTACCCTTTGTGCTAATCGCAATAATTCTCGACTATCCAGAATCTCAAGCAGTTCCCATTGTTGGCGGGCGTTTTGTTAACACCGAGGGCAGTATTTAAAATAAATTAAAATATAAAAAAAATGTATAAACAATGTTGTCATCATGGCAGATGGTCACACCAAATATCCATTTATGGTATCATTGCAGGATTTCGCGAGTGAATATGTAAATAACAACACAAAAAAATATTCTTTTCAACACTTTTGCGGCGGATGTTTGATTAGTAATCGCTGGATTCTGACTGCTGCTCATTGTGTTTGGCGAAAGTGGGTAGATATGGTCTTAAATTTTATTCTTATATATAGTTGTGAAAAAAATAATAGCACCACTTTTACAAGATATGTTTACAAAGGTTTTGAAAATGTATAAGTTTATGGAAGTTACGAATAGGTTTTTAGCAGACTTAAAAAAAAAATAAGAAACAAAAAACCACAATTTTATTCATCATTTCAAGTTATTTTTATTTAATTAAAATTAAAATTAAGAAATGAAATTTTATGGAAATGTCAGAAAATTAACGAAAAGAATAATAGCATCGTTTTTGAAAATTAGAAATTAATAAACGATTTCTTTAATAATATGTATATATATATATATATGGATATATATATATGTATGAATAACATTTGAGCAAATTGCCAATGTTTTGTTGTTTCATACGCTAGAAAAGTGTCGTAGTGTAGTCTTTAACTACAATATAATTTTGACCAACAGAAAGATTGAAAAAATTGTAGCCTTCATTGGATATGAGAACATTGAGAACGTGGAAAGCCTTGAGCGATATCATGTGGAAAGTGCCAAATTTATTTACTTTCAACCGTAAGTCAAATTCAGTGTATGTTAAAACAGATGCCAAGGTTTAGTAATTAGTGTTTATATTGTATAATACAGTTCCAACTATCGCAACGATATTGCACTGCTCTATTTAAGTCGTCCTTTCAAGAGCCAACTTGCCAAGGATCTGCAATTTGCTCAACTGCCGCCGCCAGGCATGAAACCCAAGATTAATGGTTTGTACAATCCTATAGATAAACCATATTTATTTTTATTTATTATTGTTTATTTGTTATTTAATATTTATTATTTCTTACTTATTTTTGAATATTATCTATAATTTATTATTTTTATGTATTATTTAATCTCTATTATTAAACATCTGTTATTTACTATATATTGCTTATTATTTATTTGTATGATGTATTTCTATTATTTATTATTATTCATTAATTATTAGCAACTTGTCGGATTATTGGATATGGAGCCAACAAACACGCCGGACCTTCCCAAAAGCGACTCTCGGAAGCAGAGTTAAGTATAATTGACAATAAACAGTGTCAGGATATAATTGGACATATTTGGGCGCCCAAGAACGGGGATAATACGGTCTGTGCCCTGGGCAACAACACCCAGGACTCGTGTCAGGGTGACTCTGGTGGTCCATTGATGTGCCACTATGGCCTGAAAGATCAGCTACATATCTGCGGATTAGTATCTCATGGGTTGACCTGTGGCATGAAAGGTATGCCCAGCATTTATACAGTAACTAAACCCTACGACGACTGGATCCAGCTACATCTGCAAAAGTCCTAACAGGTTTTCTCTCTCTCTCTATATATATATATATAGATATGTATATATAATTTATTTATTATACTATATATATAAATATATATATATATATATGTATTTGTGAAAAACAGAAAACATTTATACGAATATACAAATATGCAAGCTAAAAATAACAAATAGGCCTAACTTACTACAAGTAGTTTTACAATCGTAATTGTACAATAGACAATCTACCCTATACGGTATACAGCATAGATTATACTAAGTAGGTATACACTCGGAAAAAATATTGCACTGAATTTTAGAAGTTCGCCAAGTGTTGTTCACCTTATCATGAAGAAAGTAAATTTCTAGAAATGAATGACTTTATAAAAAAAAGGTTTTTCTTTTCTTAAGTTCATGCTGGATTTTTCTAAAATTTCTAATTTCTAATTCTCAGGGTTTTCTTTTTCAATGTTTGTATTTAGATAATTTCTACATTTTTGTCACTTATATAATTATTAAACATTAGGTAATTTTGTATTTCACATATACAAACAAATTTTACATAGTTTACTGATACATAAAACTGACGATTTACAGGGATTCCAATCTAAGAAATAGATAGCAGCTCAAATCTAATATAGCAGGCGAAATATGATTATTATTTTCTGAATTTCAGATAGGATTTGTTGCTAAGAATCATAATTCGCATTTCTACTTTTTAGAAAGGTATTTCTTAATAAAAGATAATATTTCTAATAACTAGAAAAAATCTATACTTTTGGGATTGTGGATTTAGACCAAGCCTTTCTAATTTTTAAGAAAAATAAGAAAAACTTTCTAAATTTCATTGGCGATTTTCTAAAGTAAACGGCAATCGTTTTTCCTAGTGTAGCATGCTTCAATTAATACTAAACTTAAAGCCTATATTCGGGGTGCAATTCAACTACTTCTCCGATTTGCAAGTCGACGTCTCCTCGTCATCGTCTTCATTAACGTTGGCCTGGGCATGGTCCAGCTTATCGGAGAGGTTACCCTTGCCAGTTTCGGGAAGGGTGAGGGTTAGGAAACCTGCTACTAGAACGCAGCAGCCACAAATTGTTGTTGGAATGTACCAGCCAAGGGCGCCCAGCACATCGACGACATATGGCGCCGATATCGAACCGACATGCGCCCACGTCGAACAAGTGCCCAGCGCCGAGTTGCGTATTTCTGTCGGATAAAGTTCCGCCGTATAGAGGGTGACCACGGAATAGGTGGCACTGATACCAAACCGACCCAGCATGGCGAATGAAACTATCCACGTGGTGCTGCCAGCGGGCACGCAGAGCACCAGCAACAGCGACACTCCCGTCCATATGAAGAGGAACATTGTCGTTATGCGACGACCCGTAAAACGCAGCATTATCACCGGAACCACATACGACGGAATATCCACAACGCCAGTCGCTATAATATACAGATAGCGGCTAACAGACAAATTGGCGGCATTGAGAGCTGAAATTAAATTAGTATTATAGTTAATATTGAAAGGAATGAATTTACGGTTGAGAATCTTCGGGAAGCGTGTTTTTTTAAATATCAGGTAAAAATTTCTCAAGAATCCTAGAAGCTGATTACCTAGATAATCATAATTCAATTTCCAGTTAATTAATTTAGAAATTAAAAAAGTTTTTAGATTTATTTTCAAATCTACAATCAAATTAGATATGAACAGAGATTTCATTGACACCCTTGCATAGCTTTTATTTCCCTAAAATTGCACAGACTACTTTTATTTCTAGTGTCTAAAATTTAGTCTAGTTCAGACTAATTTTAATATCTTACCGGTGACATAGTAACTAAGCGAGGTGACACAGAACATAAAGTACGAGGTGAAGATTAGTTTACGCACATTGCGATTCGCAAAGAGCTCAATGATTGATTTCAACGGACCGTTCTTCAACTTCTGACTGAGCGAAACATTTGCGATTGGCTCCAGCTGCAAAACACGATTTAAATGAGATTTGTCTTGGCGCTGGACAACTATATTCATATATGTAAGTACTCTATATATGTATATAGATAGAGTGTAGATCTTTGGACTGACCGTTTTCTTATCGCTGACAATTTCGGTGGATGGGGCGGCAATTGTCTGGACATCATAGTGGCTGGGCTGCTTGAAGAGTATGCGATAGACGCGATCGTAGCGCTCCTGAGTTATAAGCCATCTCGGCGATTCATGCATTAGACTAGATATAAATTCGATTATAATTCGAGGTGTAGATATATACAATTTAGTTGAACCTACTAGCAGTTCAGTATGAGCAGCAGTGAGGGTATTGTGAGTGCGAGTTGCAAATGACGCCAGGGCTGTATCAGATAGCCCGTAATTGCTAGCAGGATCATGCCCACAGGATATGAGGCGGAGAAGGCAATGGACATCCAGGAGCGATGCTTCAAGCAAATGTTCTCAACAACTAAAAAGCGATTGATAAAACAGTGTAACCAATTGTAATAATAATAATAATTAGAAATCAAATTGGCACATTTACATGCAATAAAATAGGTAAATAAAATAATAACATAAAAAAAAGCGAGAGATTTTTTACAGACGGTTTGAAAGCATAATAAAAATGTTGACCTACTCATTGTGAATGCCGGATAGAAGAGACCAGAGGAGGCAGCTCCTAAGGCGAAGCGACCAATTAGAAACAAGCTGTACCACGGCGAGAAACTGCAAAAGATGCTGCCTACAACGAAGAAAGCCGCTCCCAACGTAAACGAAGTTTTCCGACCAAATCTAGAAAAAAAAACATTTGAAATTAAATCAAACTAATTCTTTGACAAAATTCTTTATAAAATTCAGAAGCAAGTAATGAAATTTACTGGCTCGGTGTTTAATTTAAAATAGTTAATTTTCTCATATTCAAATTAAATTAAATAATTTAATAAGCTATCTTAAATGTTCGTATATGTAAAATATATATATTTTTTTAATGTTTTCTATTATTTAGATATGTATTTCTAAAACGTAGAAACCCTAATTTTTAGAAAAAATCCTTTCTAAAATATAGAAACAAGCAATGAAATTTACTTGCTTAGCTTTCATATTAGTTTCGTAAGTATTTTCAAATTAAATTAAATGGATTTTATAAACTATATAAAAATACATTGAATATGTGAAATGCTAAAACTCTAATGTTTATTAATAAACCACAAAAAGGAAAAACTTTGATTTTTAGAACTATACTTTCTCTTGGCGATTTTCTTAAAATTCAGACAAATTTTTTGGCCGAGATTTGCCTTTCCCATTAGAGTTAAAACTTACTTGTCAGCCAGGATGCCGAATGTGAAGGAACCGCAGAACTTGCCCAGAGAAATGGAGACCTGTGCTGAGGTGCGTTGAATGCTCCGCTCACAGGTCAGTTCCCATTCGGCGACAAAGGTGCTCTCCGGCTGGGCAAATTCGTAGTTGCCCTTCGCCTTGCAGGACACCACGGCCGGCTGATTGATCTGCGCCATGTGACTGGTGTAGTTGAGGGCTGCCTCATAGGACATGCCACTCAGCTTTTGGTAGTCCCAATCCCAGATGGTGCAACCACCCGAGTTCAGTTCCCGCTCACTGATGCTACGTTGCTGTGCCAGTGTCCAGTTGGTCAGCTGCAGTTCCTCGATGCCACACCACTGATCGTCGGGCAGATGCCCCAGCAACGTGTACGAGGACACGTGGAAGCCATTCAATATGTTAGGCGTGACGCACAGTAAGAACAAGACCCTAAAAATGCAAATGAAAATAAGAATTAAACAAATAATTACATTTTTTTAATAAATAAAAATAATAATAAATAATAAAAAAAATATGTTGAATACTTTAAATATTAATAGAATTTTATTTAATCATTAAATAATAAAAAGCACAAAAAACAAATCTGCTTCTTTTTATAATTACTTTAATGCAGCATTTCTTAACTAAGTAGGCTATAGTTATTTATACAGGAAGTACGTTTTAATTTAATTAAGTATTTGGGTTAAATTATAACATTTTCAAAATATATATAAATCGGCCCCAAAAATGCAAATTTCATTAATAAAATTTGCGGAATTTCTTTAGTACAATTTTAATTTAGTTGTATTTTATAAAATCAAAATTTCGAAAATGAACACTACAAAATAGGTGTGTTCCCTTATATGCCATATTTTCAAAACAATTTTCAATTGTGCTTAAAGTTTTTCTAATAATAATAAGCAACAAATATTGAACATAAATAAACGTTGAAAAATTAGATTATGTTCAAATTGTTTTGCCAAATACGCAAAAAGTTTCACTTGACGCAAATTGTAATGTATTTGACATATAGTTCAACTGAATTGTTAACTATCATTAAGTTCATCTGTCGCTTGTTTTCAACACGTAAATTTAATCTTTCTCACGTTTGCACGATTTGGTAATTGAAAATTACGCTAATCATTTGTTAACTTTTTACATTTTTTTTTAATCTGAACTCATTAAAAATTGAAAAGTCGTGTTCAGAAGTTGTGCTATAGCATAAAACAAGAAATATAATCTCTCTCTCTCTCTCTCTGTCTCTCTCTCTCTCTCTCTCCCCCCTCTCTCTCTCCCCCTCTCTCTCTCCCTCTCTCTCTCTCCCTCTCTCTCCCCCCCCCCCTCTCTCTCTCTCTATCTCTCTCTTTCTTTCTTTCATTTTATATAATTTCCTTTTCATTTTAATAAATTTTATATTTAATTTTAGATTGTTATTTATTAAAACACTTTTAAAAACTCAGAAAATATCGACATTTTACTCACACTTTTAAACATATTTAACCTTTTATTTTCATACTAAGCATACCAGCAGGGTATCTGCTAGTCGAGCATAACAATTCAAACGTTTTTTTTTGCAGTTTTTAAATGCCAATAATAAGATCACAGCGATTAAAATATGAACGCAACCCCGATAATTGCGAAAATACAAATGTTGTGAAGGTTAGTGACACATTCCAAAAACAGCGCCATCATGGAGGGGGGAGGAGTGAGGGGAAAGGGGGTTTACTTTTGGATATTGAAAATTTCAGCACGTGGTGTGAGATCATACTCCGACAATATGGTGCAAAATATATGTTTTGAAAATGCGCTCAATGTAAACGAGAGTCGACGATCGTTAATCGAACCGGGCAACCGGAACAGATTGCGCAATATTTACATATCTGAAGAAGAAAACAAAAATATATTTGAAGAGAAGGGATCGTCAAAATTCAAAGCACTCGTTTTTTTTTTTTTGTTTAACCTTTGCACGTGCTGCGCATAATGCCAGTCTTACGGCGGAACGCAACCTCCGTTCGACGGTTTTACCCCGACTTATTTACTAATTCTGTTCCCCAAATAATGCCTGCCACACTCAGAAAAAAGCACTCTAAAATTTAATACAATTCAGAAAGTACATTTCTAATTCTATTGTCTGATTTCATTTCAAGAAAATTTGCGTATTTTTTCTTGCTTATATTATTAATATAACATTTGTACTTTACGATATCACAAATAAATATTTTGTTTATAAGTGTTCTCCCTCCCCAAATGATGCCTGCTCAAGCTAAATTTATAATAATTGTTTAAAAATAAATTTAGAACACGATTATGTAGACTTGAGACACGATTCACTTAGAGTGATGTTATCAGGGTTCGAGTTTCCGGCATTATCGTCACTAAACCTAATTTCGCAAAAAATTAAATTAAATCGACTAATTTGACAGTACTATAAATAAGTAATACTATCTACACTCTGGCAAATATCGACCTACCTTTCAGTAAATTGAAATAGTAAAAATACAAATTTTTCTTCTTAGAATTAATTACAAAATATTAAAATGTAAAATGGCATGCGAAAATCCCGAAACAAGTTACGCAATTTAATGATTCGCCGATTCGAAATACTCGTCAAATCATACGATTTTTCTGAAATTGTGAAAGCAACAACCATAAATATTAGAAGTTTACTTTCTGTCGCCAAAAGTATGCCGATTCACTATAATTTTAGATGAGTGTATTCTCCATTCTACATACAAATATATGTATATATATATGTCAATAGCTTCACTCAAAACAGCGTCCGGAATCACGCCAATATTTATTAAATCAGTTATTCTCGGTAGACGTACCGTTTTACATAATCCATGTGCTTAACTTCGTTCCGATTTTAATTATTAACTGGACTGATGCACAGTCCAGTTTCGCGTAACTAAGCCAGATTAAAATGCACTAGTGTTCTAGTCATGTATAAATTGCAATTTAGATTGGCATCGAACTTGAACTATTCTGATTTATAGCATTAACTTGTTATGTGCATAGATCATGATTTTTACAACTGATCGACTGATTTTTTTTTACCCTTGTAGAGTATTTGAATTTTGTTTTGAAGTTTTCAATAAATGTGATATATTTAATTAATAGACGCACGTAAAATGTGATATTCACCACAAAAACACTTGATTTTTTTTTAATTAAATAAGAAATATTAAAAAAAAAAATTAAAGTTCAACTACAAATCAAAATTAATTTACAACATACAAAAATTCGATTTCATCACATTAACTCCTGCCTAAAAGGGTATTTAACGTTCGGCATGCCTAAGATAAACATACTTTCCTGTTATTCGATCATTCTTTTATTGTCTAATGCGATTAGTTTTTAACAAGCAAGTACGGTTATATTGGGTAAACCGAAAATTAATGGGAAATATAATTTTTGTATTTCTATTTTTTTGATACGAAAAGTAACTTTTTCAGGTTAACACTTTAGCGCCTTCAACAAAGGTACGCGAATTGCAGCACTGTTTTATGGAGAAATACATAGAAAACATCAGGATTTCAAACCAAATCAAATTATTATATACTGAACCGATTGATATTGATTGTTATGTATGAAAACTTGAAATGAATAAACGATTGATACAATAAATACATAAATAAATGGTGCTATTATTTTTTCGCTACTTTATGTATGCAGATAAGTTACGGGATCGATCATTATAATGTTCCGCTTTAATTCCGATACAGTATTTTCGGAACAAATCTAATGCCAATGTTAATGAATGACTAGGTTTATTTTGTTTTATACATATTATGTTTTATATTTTATAAATATTTATTTATTTATATCTTTCGATTTGTTTTGCCGATGTTGCCAATGAGTGACAAGATTATATTATTAAATATATATATATATTTTTGCATCTTTTGATTTCCGTTTTACAACAAATTTTTAATTTAGTTTCTAATACCGATTCCGATTTGGATTTGTCAACCCTGAGAAAAATATCCCCTGTAGAGGGACTTACCAAACAAAGGCGCCGCCACTGCCAACAATTTCCAGCTGCTTGGTGAGCAAATCCTTCATGCCCTGATCCGTGATTAGCTCCCGCGATTTCTCTACATTATCCTTTGACTTGGTCATATCACAGTTTATATTTATATATATTTCAACACAGGATTATAATGGAATATAAAATAGTTCAAACTATTTGTGATAACACTTTAAATTCACTTTAAGTATATATATTTAAATAAATATATTTTATATGTGTAGCCAAGTTCAGTGGGTCGTTCACTCGATTTGTGTCTAATTATGTATATATTGAAATATATACATATAAATTTATAGTCTACGGCAATCCAGAAACGCTGATAATACGGAATGTGAGGACCACAAAAAAAATACACAAAAATACAGATCAACAAATGCAGTACAGCAATTGAGATTGTGAACGCAACTGCAAATGTGCCTTTTTTCTATTTATTCATATATATATGTATATATATATATTATTTTTTGTCTTCACTTTCACAATTTTTTTTTTTATCTATTTGTCCTATTTTTTTTTAAATTTACTTTAGGCTTTATGTTTGTCGTTGATAATTTTTTTTTCTTCTGTGTTCCTCTTTGCTCGTCAAATTTTTTTCGTTTATGTTAGAATAAACATGAAAACAAAAATTGAATTGAATTTGTATTTTTGCTGTTGTTTCTAATTTTGAATGAAATGTCGAGCATTGCACGACGATGCAGGTGTCGGTATTACTCGTAATCGTCCGCTAACAACTACTTGCCGCTTCGAAGGCGTCCCACAAACTAAGCCCACGGGAGGTCGATCGCAATATTTTGTATGCAAGCACTCACACGCATATACTTACGTACTCTCATTAGAAAATACGAATTGACGTCGTGTCGCGTCGACTTTGTCGTGCTCGGTTTGGGCAGCGTTCGGCTTCGGCTCCTCCCGTTCTATTTACTTATGCTTGGTATTTGAGTTTGTTGATGTGAGTGTGGTGCAATGCAGTCTGTATGTGTACGTGTCTGCAGTCCATTTCCATTTAAGAGAGTTGACTTTGCAGCACTTTGTGTTGAGAGAATTTCTAAGCCAAGTAAAAAAAGGATTTTCTTTTTTAACTCAAGACGTTAGTAAATACATCTATCAGTAAAAATATCTGCAAACTGATGTATATCAAGATCATAGCTCAAAACTCTACTCACAACACACATATTCTCATCCCTTAAGAGTACATGGCTTAAATATCTATTTTTGCTTATTCTTGCCTAGAAGAACCCTTATCCGTAATAAATCTATTCACACATGCTTTCTCTCTCTCAATCTCTATTTCTAGCTACATACAATACTTATGTGTATATGTGTGTGTGTGTGTGTGTGTGCACTTGAGCATTCATTTAGATTGGTGCTGCATATAATTTACATTTATGTCTCTGTTACAATTACAGTTACCATTCGTATAGGCGATAATTGAGCGCTGGACTCTACACATTATATTTGAATTGCGTTATCCGTTATGCGAATAATGTACATGATTAAGAGTCGTGCTCTCACTTGTCGTCTCTCTAAAAATGTGAAAAATGTGAATGAATGCGGTGTTTGTATACAATGTTAATGTTAATGTTAATGGTATGTTCAACCATGAAAGCGGAAGAAATTAGAATTTTCATTGCCATTTAAGTATCTTTGTTCTGTAAGCAATGTTGCATTTGAATACTTACACTTATGTGTACACTCGGAGAAAAATCTATCTAAATTTTAGTAAATCGCACAATACAAATAGAAAGAAATAGGAAATAGAAAATATAGAAAAATAGTTTGTAGAAATAATTTTTAAATATTAGAAAAATGAATAAAAATTATAAAGACTTGCACTAAGTCGCTAATCCCAAAAATGTAGCGATTTTCATATATGTGAAATCTTAAAATACAAATGTTTATAAATTATAATGCAAGCCCTATTTTTTAGTAAGTTACAGTCATATATTTTAGAAATTTACTTTCTCAACAATATGGTGATTAATCCTTGGCGCAAAAAAATTACTAAAAAGTAAGTTGATTCTTTCTGAGTGCATGCATGTTTATCTGTGGGAAATTGTTTACGCTTGAGCGATTCTGGTCGTTATTCGTTATCTACATGAGAGGGGGCTCTTAAGCCTAAATCTTCAATTGGTTTGTTGAGATTGATAAACTTCGACTATATATATGATATCTCAAACTTGATCCCGATTTCTATAAATTGACCCCATTGAGGGATACCAATTGAGTATTGAGGTTAACGGTATTAACAGTTATATTTATATATAGATATTATTTAAAAAGCTCTCAATTGATCAATTTCAAATACGTCAATCGGTCAGAATACGTAAGCAAAAACCATGAGATTTTTTTATTCTGAGCTGGTGAAGGGTATCGACTGTTCGACATTGTATTTGAGCAACACTCATATACCCTGTGCCTATTTAAAGTGGGCAAAAAGGATGTAATGACGTTGAGCAGGAAAATTAAAGATGAAGAAAAAGCATTTCCAAGCCCATAAATTATATATATTATTGATCAGAGTCGATTAAGTAAATATATGGTATACATATAAATCTGCCCGTCTGTTTGTCCGTCTAGGATTTTATAAGAGTAGGAGACCTAGAATAGAACACAGATTTTATTTATAGAATATAATTTCTCTTGGTTGACCAAGTTTATTTCATTTTATTGAAAACAAAAACATTAATAGCTACAACTATTTTTTGATAAGCTGTCCACATTTCATCTAGATTGATTAAGAAACACACAAAATAAAATTTGTATATAAATATTATTTAATATAATATTACAATAAAAAATACATATACTTGTAATTACTATAATATTACTATAGTCGATTAAGTGCAAAATAGCAAAATCCTTTAATTACAGTTTTTTTATTTGTTAATTTAATCCAGTATATTTTAAGTTTGCTATTCAATATTTTTGTCAAGCGTAAATAAATTAAGCATATGCAACATTAATTACCTTTCTTTTTAATACAATATGTACAGTACAGTAATATTTCTGTATGTCTTTTAATATCTTAAAAATATTAATATGCTTCATAGATTTGAGTACAGGGTATTTTATAATCTGGCTCCTGCTCTCTCTATCTCTACCTCTATCTCTCCCTCTCTCTCTCTCTCTCCTGTTTGCTAATTTTGTCGTTTTAATGCATCGCTTTGTTATTATTGTATTGTTTTTTCGTATTCTATTCAACTGCGAATAGATCACAAAGCAGAAGCGCGTCTAACAGCGTTTCTACAAACGACGATCCTCAGCAGCTTTCATTGGTAGTTAGTTTTTTTGTTTCTTTTGTTTTCTTTTCTATTTATAATTTTGAACATGCACATGGGCGTGTTTGTTGTGTGCATTGGGCGGGTGGGTTGGTCTTTAGGTTTAGTTATTACTCTTGTTGTTGTCGACGTCGCACGTGCAGGTCACTCACACTTCCACACACACACACACACACACACACACAAACAGTTAAAACGTTCGATTATCCAATGCACGTACGAAGCCCTGCGCCCAATTGCCACGCCCACCACTTTCACTCTTAGTGCTGAAGATTATAGTGTGCCCATTCACCAAATCAGCAGTGTGCCCATTCATAATATTTACTTGGCGCTAATCTAATAAATTTGAGCAGATTCAATCAAAGATAAATTTTCTCTTATTTTTTATTATCCATATATGCAAGTGACGTTCAAATAGTACTAGGTTTTGTGCTAAATAAAACTAAATTATCATGATAAATGAACAATAGAAATCTATATGCTTTTATACTGTATATATCCATATATATACGACAATTGATGTGATTGTTGAAATCTGGTTTTGATGTCGAAGCTCAAAGTTATGATAAGTTATCATTAGAGATGAGTAAAAAAACATACAATAACGTAAAAAAAAACATACACAAAGACAACAATGAGTCAAGCTTTAGTTTTTTTTTTTTTTAATTATAGGTTAACCAAATTTATAATATTCGGTTTTTCCTATGCATATATGTATATTTATATTTACTTTATTTATTTTCAATATAATTATTAAAATAAGTGAAGTTGTATTTTTGTATATGTGCAAAATATCTTAAGAATTTTACTGTGTTGTTTCATTTGCAAAGCATTTCTTTTAGTTACAAATTGAGATCGGTGAAGAGTTATATACATATATTTAAGCTACGCTTTGCGCATCGCTATATAAAAAATGAGAGGTACTCGATAAATAATTCAGATATATAAGACAGACGTGGGTGGCTTTGTCACTAGTGACTCTGTTGAGGAATCGTGTCTCGACTTATCTGCCTGCTTAAGTGAATGATTGAGCTTAGAATATATATGCATATGTATACATTTATATAGAATGCAAATTAATTCGTCCACAACGACCCAGATGTGGACTAAACTGAGTCAATTAAATGAGAACGTAACAGTGACTAGCACAAAATACTTGAGAGACTGTGCCGAGTGACTACACCCAGAAAAAAATAGCACAACATTTTTGAAAATCTACCTTAAGTAACATCATATTTATAACTTTTTTATTTATTTTAGAACTATAATTTTCTATATAAAAAAAATTAAAAATGGATGAGATTTTAAAATACTGAATTTTGTAATAAAAATTTAAGTCAGAAAATATGAATGCTAGAAAACTGTGTAACACATAGATAAATTTTAAATAAAATTGTCTGTATGTATAATAAATTATCTAACAAGTTTGTTTGTTTGAAAACTCAAAATTCGACTGTTTATAATAATAATTTAAGTGGAATAAATATTAATAAAAAATATTCGGTGTACACAAGTAGAAAAAAGCCTGCAAATATTTTTTCTAAATGTTTTGAAATCATAGATCTGATTTTTAAAGAAACACAATCTTTCATTTGAGAAATATACTTACTGCATAATAAATTGAGCTACACTTGTTGCCAAAAGTTGGGCGATTAGGCAAATATCGGCTTGATTTTTATCCCAGTGTATGATTATAGAGAAAGAGTTACTTTTGAATACCCCCTGGTAAGTGCCATTTCAAAGAAACACTTAAACATCCGATTGATTTAATACCATTTTGCACACTTTGAACATTTTGCACCCTTTTCAGTCATAGCCAAAGTTAAGCAAACAGATGAGACCCAAGACAAAGATGCCGTAGAAGGTGATATTGTACAGATTGAGGCGACTGAGCAGACTGGCGAAATAGCCCGGACTGATGCCGGCATAACGATCCTTCTGCTGGACATCGAGCAGATCTCGCCAACCCACAACCTGAGGCCGGATGACAAACAGAGCATTTATTGCCGCCCTAATGCCACTCTCCACGGCGCCACCCATAAGATTGCGATTGTTGGTGGCAACTGCCGCCGAACTGGACCAAACGATGCGATGCCAGGGCCTGGTTTGGGGTTTATTCACTGCCGTATTTAGTTCACAGATCTCCTCTTTGTATTCCAACGGATCGAGCATCTCCTTACCAAATTGCTCAGCGAGCAGATCGAGGATTGTGTCTCGAACAGTCGCCGTCTCCACATCGGTATCGTGCAGCATATAACCGCCATATTCATTTTTATTTTGCTCGTAGCCCACGACCAACGGTTTCATATTCATAAAATTACCGGAATAACCCTTCGATAACCAATAGGATTTATCGTAATCGATTGTAAATTGAGTGATGACAAATTTGGATTGCCGGCTGATTCTCGAGAAATCCCGAAACTGCTGCGGCAGCTGTGGCTTGAATCTTAACTGATTCACCTTATTCCATGGTATGGCCAGAATGACGGCTTGTGCTATATGTCGATCCCCTTTTGAATCCGTCAACTGCACATAGTTCTTAAAGTGTTCCAGTTCGACAGCTTTAACTCCACTCCGGATATCTGTGTGCTTCAATTTCTTGAGCAGCCCTTCTAGCAGATCCTTGCAGGACACATCCATCAGAGTCGACGGCAGGCGCATAAATCTAAAATGAGGAACGATAGAGGAGAGGAGAGAGGAGAAGCAATATAATTTCGCTAGTTCACCTACAGATCGACCAGGATACTCAATCCACCCGAACTGCTGCAGAGGCACATGAACTCATCGTAGTTGATTTCGCTCGCCGGCAAACCAGAAGTCAGCAGCACCAAGTTGAACATAAATTGGCGCGATTTGTTGAAGAACAGATTGGTGGAAATATGTCGTTCCATTGTTGGCACTCGCTTGCGAAACCTATCGATAAATAGATGGACTCAACTCTGTACTCAGCAAAAATAAAACGCCCTAAAAAAAAATGGTTTTTCTTTTTTATATAGGAAAGCATTTCTCTACAAATGAGAAAACATTTCTCTACAAATGAGAAAGGTTTTCCCTAAGTCGACATTCCATTGTCAATGAATGGTCATTTTTAATAGTGTATAATCTTAGCTCGCATTTCTAACTTGTCGATTTTCTAAAAGTTTGACTGATTTTTTTGAGTGTATAATTTCAGTTTGCAATCTCAATTTGTCACTCACTGAAAATGGAGCCCATTAAATTTCTTCATGCGCAAATCGAGCATTTCGATATAGCGCCATAGCTCAAAGCTGGCCGGCGTTGAGGTTAAGCCCCGATCCAGTTCCCAGCAGCGATTCAGCTGATCAGTGTTCAGATTGCGCTGTCTCACGGCCACATTCAACTGGCTGAGGAAGGCGATGAGTTCGGTTTGCTCCTTGTTCACAATGCGGGAACCATTGCTGCCCAGTTGTCCGCCTGGTTTGCGATTCTCGTCTATAATACGCATATTGAGCGAACTGTCCTTGGATAGGATTTTTATGGCCGATGTTAGACCGGCTAGGCCCGCACCCACAATAAGTATATCGAGTTCAGGTAAATCGTTGCCAAAAGGTAAATCCATATAATCTGTTTTGACATAATCAATTTTAAAAAATAATAATCACACAAAACTGAAAGCAAATTCAAATTGAGTTTGTCACTAAAAATGCTAAGAAAAAAAAATTAATTAATTTAGCACAGCAGGCAATTTTCTTCCGTGCAATAATTTCAAATTAATAAATAATTTTGCTTCACTGGTGCGTGTATCTGCTATGCTTGCTATGCTATGCCGTACAACACCAGCAAAGCACGCAACCAATGTGATTTTCTAAACCCTAAAAGTATGCTGCAATCAGATTCAAATTTTGTTTCGCTGGTGTGTGCATATGCTCTCGTACCCCATACAACAACCTGCAAAGCAAATAAAGTGGTGTGACCATATTTGTGGGTGCTCCTACAACCATGCTGCATTAATGTTAAAGTTGAACAAACTGATTGCCAACCTTACTTATTTTTCCAAAATTCACGTAATAATCAAGAAAAGCACAACAGTTATTCAGTCAATGAAAAATTGTCATGTTCGTGCAGCTGACTAATTTAGTTTCACATACTAGCCTATTCTATTCAATAGCCTGCAAATAAAACAATGCACTCGGAGCAAATTGCGTGTGCCCCTAAAAGTATGTTGCAATCATGTTAAAATCCAAAATTGCTTCACTGGTGTGTGCACATGCTAGCCTATCCTATACGGCTACCTACACTCTTAAGTCACCATATTTGATTTCGACCCTAAAAGTATGCGGCAATGTGTCCAAGTTTACTCACGCTGATCGAGTGCCCAAATTCTTGATGCACCTCAAAGTATGCTGTAATTAAGTCAAAACGTATTCAAACTGTCAACTTGAGATTCAAGTTTAATGATCAAAAACAGTACAAAAATGAACGGAAATAAAAACTTTATCGAGATTTCAAAAAGAAACAAAAAAGGAAGCATATTTACAACTCACATAGAGCTTACGCACAGCATAATTACTTTCCATCTAAGCAACGTTATCACAAAATGAGTGTGAGGCACATTTCCGCTGCTAATTGAAGTAAACAGAAAACAACACGTATAAAAATCAAGCATGCAGCTTATGCCCCAAAAATTGTTGTTCTATTCGATATGGGATTCCATTGTAGTCTGAAGGCTAACACAAATTAACAACAATGTGGCAAACTTAATCACTAATGAGTTATCTTAAGCAGACAGACGGCTGATTATTAAAAAATTATGAAAATTGTATTTGAACCCAAGCAATCCATACTGATGATAATTATATAAATATTAAAAGATGGAATCCCTAAGAATTCGATCCATAATTCAAAGTACTTTGCTGCTGCTGCCAAGAATAAAAATATATATCGTCCCTATTTTCCTATAAAAAAAAAAAATAAATTATTATTGAAAAATTGCACTTATTTGAAAAACCTGTTCTCAAGATTACTTGTCAATTGTAAATTGAAATGGATAAATATATAATGTTATTATCATCTATTTATAGCGCTAAATTATTAATTTGCGTAGTCGACTCTGGGATTGATTTACATAAATAAATTATACATGACCGTACACAATTGTTTTATAAATTGACGTATTCGCAATTGAGAAACGTTGACATTAATACAATTAATATACGCATTTAACTGATAGCTTTATTTAGCACTCGAGCACTGAACTGCACTTAACACTTAACACATATGTATACGTATATATAATTGAATATAATACTGTATTCTCTTATCGTTATCAGCTGTCGCGCCTTACGGATGTCTCCGTCCCACTTCTGCACCTAGAGTCCCAATTTCCAAGCTGATCGTTAGGCCTGTTGAGCAACGCAAGTCAAACAAAGCAACAAAGTAAGGCTTGCTTAAGCTAAACGAAGATTAAATTAATACACTCAGAAAAACAAATCGCACTCAATTTTACAAAATTCTCTTACTCATTTTTCAGAAAGTACATTTCTAAAATTGAAGATTGTGTCTTTCTAATAAAAAAGATCTTTCATTTCTGAATTTCAGAGTTTATTTTATTTGAAATATATTAAATATATTTATAATTTCAAGTGTATAGTTTCAAATGTATTTTTTATGAATACAAATAGATTGTTTATAAAAATGCATACAAATTAATTAGATAAGCATTTCTTATTAATAGAAAATATTGAAATATAAATAGAAAAAATCGCCAATAATTTTGGGGATGTCCATTTAAGGCAAGTCTTTTTACGGTTTAGAAATTTATTTCCCAATATTTATAAATCAATTCTAAACACCACAAAAACATTCCAAATTTATTTGGTGTGATTTTTTTCCGAGTCTGCTAGAGTCAAGCTATATTTTTTAGGATTTCGTAATCCACTTCCCAGATTAGGCTAACCAAAGACGCTCGACTGATGCACTATATATATATATATATATAAATATTGTTTATGGGTTGGGAAATGTCACCCTCAATGGTTGACAAACACCATCATATAATTATCATGCCCTCTGCGAATGTATTCTTAAACACAGCAAGTGCTGTAAAGTTCATTGCTTGCCGGCAACAGTTGAGTTAATATAATTTTTATTGAACAATAATTGTAAATAAAAAACGAAAACAAAAACAAAAACAAAACAATGCTGTTCTTGTGTAATGGCATCAATTTAACACGACACACTTAAAATACCCTGCACAAATGTTCTTCGAAATAATGAGATTGTTCACAAGTTGAATTGTCAAATGGAAACCAAATTTGAGCTTCCAAATATATATATATATATATATATATATATATATATATGTATATTTATGTATGTAAATAATGATAGTGAATTTGGTATTTGGTAACTTGTTTTTTTATTAATCTTTCGTCGTTTACCCGGGCAAATAGTGACTGAAAAAAGTGATACTATGAAAAATAATCGCATTTTATATAATAATAACTGTCAGATTGATTAAATAACAAAAGAATAAGAGAGACAAAATGTATGACAATTATAAAATGATTGTTTTCGTAAATTAAATGGAAAATATGCAATTGTTTTCCTATGCGAAAATACTTTTTGTTCTTTTCTGACTTTCAAAAATAAGACAACAATAAAATACTCTTTTGACTCAGAGTGCGTCTTGTGCATTGTTTTGTTGATGTACCCTGAACCCACTGGAAATGGCCTTGTCCGTCGGTCTCTCCATGAACTAGTGACTCTCAGACTCTATAAGAGCTACTGACTTCAAATTGGGAGTATAAGTTCCTCAGTGTACCAGATTGAAGTCAGAATTATTCCATATATTAGTTACGCTATTTGGGTTCAATACATTTTGGAATTTAGCCTCTGATTCGGATTCCGATACTGAATTTTAATTCCGACACTTTGTCCACAGAAGCTAATTGAATGCCAAAAACAGAACGAATACTGAGTAAATATTGTGTTTTCTTTTATTATTTATTTAATAACAAATAAATGTAAATAAATTGAAATTGAGTTTCTTGCGACTTTTTCTATGCTTAAACATATGAGTTGGAATACTTTCTACTTCGATTGAATAAATGCAATTATTCATCGTGAACAATAAATGCTAATTGCTTAAATTCCGATAAATTCATGCGGCGGATACTCGTCACGCCTCCCTCTGCCTGCCCCTCTGCCTGCCCCTCTGCCTGCCCCTCTTCCTCTTCGTCAGAGGAGCCTATCTATTCCTCTGTCGCAACTTCTCCTTCTTCCTCTCCTTCTCCTTTTCCTTCTCCCTCTCCTTCTTTCTCACCTTGTCCGTCTCCGTCTCGCTTTGTATTTCGCTCTCTCTCACCGGCTCCCTCCTGGTTCCCCTCTCCATCTCTATCCCCCTCTTCATCTGCCTCTCCTTTTAGACCTCGTCCTCTTCTTCTTCTTCTCCTCACTTCCATCATCTCCACCTCCATCTTCTTAGCCTTTTCCATCTTCCCATCCATCCGTCTCCCCTCATCATATCCGTCTCCCTCTCCCATCCCCTCTCCCATTCTCTCTCTCTCTCTCTGTCTCCCTCTCCATCTCCGTTTCCACCTCCTTCCTCATCTCCCCCCCCCCCTCTCTCCGGCTCCCTCTCCTTCTCCTTCTCTATATTCATCTGCCTCTCGTTCTTCTTCTTCATCGTCGTCCTTTCCGTCTTTTCCCCTTCCCCCCTCTCTCAATCCATCTGTAAAGCTTACGCCTTCGCGCCATAGTTGCCATTGATCATCGTATTCAGCTCCTCATCCTCCAGAGATTGGCTCCTGCTCCGCTGCTGCTTTTTGCCAAAGTTCTCGGCATCCTCAATGGTCTCCGGCAAGGGTCTGTTCAGTGTCTCCGGCAGGAGCAGCGACATTAGGCCCGCCGTCAGCGACAGGGCACCACAAATGACCAACGGCAAGGGTCGCCAGATCTCGCCGAGAAGATTCAGATACGGCGCCAGAATGCCGCCAATGCGGGCGACCATCGACGAGGCGCCCAACCCCACATTGCGCACCACAGTCGGAAATTGCTCGGCCGTAAAAATGTAGACAGTGCCGTACGACGAGGTGATGGCCAATTTGCCAATCATGGCGCAAGTGATGAGCAGCCAATTCATGTCGCTGGGCACCAGAACCGTTGCCAGCAAACTAATCCCGGCCACCAACATGGCGCCGCACAGCGTCGAGCGACGACCCCAGCGATTCAGGGTGATCAGCAGCAGGGAATAGCCAGGAATCTCCACAGCCCCCGAGAAGACAAAGTTCTGCAGCTGATTGCCACCCAGATTATTGGTGTTCCAGGAGAGGCCGTAGTAGACGCCACTGTTGACGAACCAATCGAAAAAGATGATCAACGTTTTGCGCCGCAAGTTCGGATAACGCAGCAAGTCCCAAACGGATGCGGATGGTTGCTGCGAGGCAGTCTGCGCCTGCTCCTTCTGTGCCGACTCCTCGCGGACAAGCTGGTCGTAGATCTCGCTGGGTATCTGGACACGATTGACACGGGCCGCCCGCTCAATGATGACAAACGCCTCCTCGCTGCGACCCTTCGAGAGCAGCCAACGTGCCGATTCGGGTATTAGCCAATAGTAGCCCATAAAAACCAGACCCGGCAAAGTCAGGGCTATTTGCAGCCAGCGCCAATCCCTGATAAGATAAGCAAATCCCGCCGTAAGCATAAACCCAACGGAGAAGAACATCTGCACAGTGACGCCGGCAAAGAGGCGATAGCTGGCACCCACCATTTCCATGGCAATCACATAGGCCACCAGAAAGACGCCCGACGTGGTCGCGCCAACAATCAGCCGAGCGATCGTATAGGTAAAGTAATCCGGTGCCAAGCCCGCCGTAATGCCAAAAACCAACTGGATCACGAGCGAGGCAAAAAAGGTAGGCTTCCTGCCCCATTTGTCGCTCAGGTGGCCAAAGATGAAGCTGCCGAGGAGCACGCCCACCATAAACAATGAATCACTTGTGGCACTCAGCAGACTCCGCCCGCAAACCATATTCCATTCCGTGACAGCGCTATTCCGGTATTTCGACTGATCGTAGAGGTAACTGCTGCAGGTCAACGTGCCACTTGTTGTGTCACTCAGATTGCCACTCAAATAGGAGTCGTTGTAGGCCACATTGTAATATTCGCAGGTATTCAATTTACCCGTCATCTCATCCAGCGGATAGGCGAGCAACCAGTGAGCTGGCGGCAGCGATTGATAGGTGGCAACTGGCGCTTCCTCGTGTGGCAGGCGGCAACGGTGCTCGGGACGAGCGAGCAGGAAAACGCCCGCCAATTTGTGGAAGGCACAAACGATGGCCGGCAAACAGAGCAGCAAATAAATCCGCCTCTGATAACGTCCGAATCCGCCCAAATGGGTTATAACATCATCGTAGCCCATTTTTATTAATTAATTATTAATTACCTAATTAATTAATTGTCTGAGTATTGATTTTTCTATTGATTTCGAGCAATATTCAATTTTCATTAACATATATATAAATATTGCGTATACGCCGCGTGAGCTGTTTTTTTTTTCTTTTTTGGTTAAATGTCGAAAGGCGCGCGCGAGAAACAACTACACGCGATCTGTGCCAGCTGGCGACTAACAGATGACGACGTAGGCGATGAAAGCGACGGCGACGGCGACGGCGACGACGCCGACGTCGACTTGCTGCTGGGCAGCGAAAGTGTCAAGAACGCATTCGACATTGACTCTCAACGGCGACGCAGCAGCGACGCCGCTCAACAGTTGTAACCAACAAACAAGAATGGTGAGCTCGACTGGGCTATACCCTGCAGCCAGCTACTAAATATAGTCTTTATGGAAAATTTAACATTAACATCTACTGTTTAAATGAAATCAACTATAAAATGTGTATTCCCCCTAAAATTAAGTCATCTATTAAATATTCTCGATTTGCCTTTAAAATGTCCTTTGAGAATTTATTCATCGGTTAAATTCTAGTTTTATTGGGTAAATATATGTTTAATATTTCCCTTTAAAATGTATGCAGCTTTTAAAAATACTTAAGGTTTAATGAAGTATTTTCTGGGCTTTCACCAAATCATCCGTGAATTTTTATTAAATAGCCCTAAAGTGAAGTTTTTCCAGTTGTTCCACTTCTAAATATTCATTTCCAAAAGTAATTTCTAGTAACATTTCAATTATATTGTAGAATATCCTTAAATCGAGATGTATATGTGTGTGTTATCTGATGCTGCAGATGGCACCTTCTCTGAGATCCTCTGTGATCTCCAAAAATAGCCTCAAGTACCTACACTTGAGAATGCCGTATAAGTCCTCAAGGCTGCCTAGAGCCTCACATGTTCATTCTTGAAGATGGGAATAAAATTTCTACAAATTAGATAATCCCAAAAATATGTTGGTGTTTTTTTTTTTCATTTTTTTTTAATATTCTGTTCTATTAAGAAAAACATTTATAAGAAGTAGAAATGCATACAAAATCGCCACAAATATTAGAAAAATTTTCTATTAAATTATCTCAACTCCCAATCCTATTTAGTTGATTTACTAAAATTTAGGGAGATTTTTTAGCTTAGTTTATGAACGACGGCGACGTCTCTGCTGACGCTCTGCCGACGCTCTACTGACGTTCAATATAGTAACCAAAAAAAAAAAACACATATTCCCCATTCCCATTCCCAACTCACACTCACACACACATATATAAATAAATACAGTTATGTGCCAGCACTGCTCTCTCACACAAATTGAGCTAAGGATGCTCAGTCAGCTGCTTGGCACACTTTGAGCAATTCAAGGTTAAAGAGAGCCGCTGCTCAATGAATATGCATATATATGTGTGTGTGTGTGTGTGTGCGTACAATCGCTGCTCTCTTACACAATTGCGCTTATGGAGCTAAGGATGCTCAGTCAGTTGCTTCAGGGTCAAAGAGAGCCGCTGCATGTGAGTATGATTGTGTATGTGTGTGACGCAGAATTTGATCATTGACCGAAAATATGTACAACATAATTGCTGCTCAATTGGCAATATTCCATAAATGCACTCACGCTCTACGCTCTTGCACTCGCTCACTCGCTTTCTCCTTATTATCAGTTCTCTCTTTCCGTTCTCAACACAATCTTTGTTCGAGCTTCGTAACAAGTTAAATAACACGCGACTTTATTAGCTAATTTAAATTTGCATATAAACAAACTTGACTTTTGTTTAGCCATAATTCATTAGCATATTGTATGAAGAGACGTCATTTCATTTGTTGTGTCGGCTGCCCTTGCTCAATATAAATAAAAATAACGTGTACGAGTATAATGCTTTCAAATGCGCCGCGGTGCATGATAAAAATTCTTCTAAATTATATATATGTATATATGTATGTGTATGTGCACAAAAGTGTGATTTTATCTACAAGTTTTCCAGTTGAACTTCAAGTCATTAGTTTATTGCTTGAGATGTTTGAGATGTTTTATTTATTTTTACAAATGCTTTTTATTATTGTTTTTTTACTTTTGCTTTTTTTTCTTCTTTTTTTTCTTGAATGTTTTTGTTTTTCAATTAGTTTTTACATACATTTGTACACTTGTACTCTTTTAGTCTATTGCTTTTTTTCTTGAGTGTTGCTGCTTTTTTTCTATTACCATTTTTGCTTGAGTATAGCTGTTTTACACTGCTCCCAAAGGGAAGAAATGGGTATATTTTGTTATTGTTTAACTAAACAAGTAAAAATTTTCATTAAATAAACAAAATAAATATATATAATAATAAAACGAATGCATATAATAAATAAACACACATAATAGACAAATAAATAAATTAATAAACAATAAAAATTGATATAAAATAAATAAATAAATAGTCAGTTTGAACCTCAGCTTGCAAAACTCTTCTGAAATTAAGTCTTAGATTTTCGTCTAATAGTTTTTTTTTTTTGTTTTGCCTGAAAATGAGTCTCGTGTTTTTGTTTTTGGCGATAGCGAAAAAAACCAGCTACAAAACAAATAATAAAGCAAAATATGCGGAAGTATTTTTCAACACACTTTTGCTCTTTTCGTAGTTAGATTGAAATGAAGTAAATCGTTCACATTTTACATAATTGCTCAGAATTTATTTACTTTTGCTACTTATGCCAAATACAATATTTGTATGCCAAAAATAAGTACGTGCCGATAAAGAGAACATTGTCTAAAAATTCGATAAGTGTAATAAGTAAATACTAAGTACAATTGTCGTATACAAACATATATATATAAATACATACATAATACAGATTAGGGAAACAGTGGCTTAGATTATGGGAACAGTTTAGCTTAGCCTAAGAAAAGAGCACAGCACGATCTATCGCTCTCTTAGGCACGCATTTTATATATCAAAGCGGGAACAGTTAATGCTGGGCACAGTTTACGCTGCAATGCAAACCTACAAGGCAGGAACAGCTTAGACACTGCAGAGACCATTTCATACCTAAAGTGGGAACAACTTAGGGAAGAGAACACAACTGGATCTGCTTCTCTTGCGCATGCATTTCAAATCTTAAGTGGTAAAAGCTTAGCTCTCAAAAGAGAGCACAACTCCCCTTAAAGATAACATGTTTACCTAATTTTTTCGTCTTTTATTTTTTTGGCGTGCATATTGATGGGAACAGTTTTGGTTGGAAAGAGAACACATCTGGGATGCATATCAAATGGAATAGCAGAGTTATGCCAAAAAAAACATAAACCAATTCTCTCTCAGATCTAAATGCATAAAGAGAAATTATTTTCCGAAACTCAGAAAAAAAATTGCTCTTTGCTTTGTAAGTTAATTAAAATTGTTGCATATGTAAAATCTTAAAACACAAATACTTAATAATAATAAAAGTAAGAAAAAAGTTAATACAATAATTCTTCTAAAATAACCAAATTAGAAAACAACACCCTGTAAGTAACATTTTTTTTTCTTAAAATTTTAGAAAATACACTCAAAACAATTAAGAAATGCAAACCCTTTATTTTAAGACAGGCACAAGCCTAATTTTTAGAAAACTTATTTCGGAATAATAAGGTGAGGAACCCTTTGCGACTTACTAAAACTTCGCTTCGTCGATTTATTTCTGAGTGTATGCGCTGTCTAATTATTGTTTATTGTTTTAAAGGGGGAACAGTTAAGGAAGCATTTCAAATTTCAAGCACAGTTAGTTCAAATAAAACTGTTCCCACTTCAGATCTAAATGCTTAAAGCGCAAATGTTTTTCTAAGCGCTGTTTTTAATTTCTTTTTCTAAATTTTCTTTCGTCTTTTCGTTTTGTTATTTGTTTTTTTTTTTGGCATGCAACTGAGATTTTCAGTAATTTAATTTTTAATACTCTGTATTTATTTCTTTGTCTCTGTTTACCTGTCTCTCTTTCTCTCTTCTTTCTCTGCTTTCTTCATGGTAAAAAAACTTGTGCTCGACTGGAATTGAAAAGTGAATGACCTCGGGGAAGAAGAAGATGGACTTTAGCTATGTTAATTAATTACCGTTCTTATTAATTACTATTATTTATTATTGTTAACAAATTACGCTTTGTTGCCATTTGACAAATTGAGTGGTTGCGTTTCCAGCTCCCTGCCCTTTTCCAGATCCCTCCTGCTGCTCTTCTCCCTCCTTCCAAATCGCTCGCCATCCGCAATTGTTTCCAGTGTAGGCTTATTATGCGTCTCCGGCAAAAGCAGAGATAAAAATCCGGCGGATAAAGCGAGTACGCCATAGATAACCAATGGCAGAGGTCGCCAAATGCTGGCCAAGGCATTCAGATAAGGAGCCAGCATTCCAGTCAAACGGGAAACCATGGAAGCGGCGCCCATTCCAACCGTGCGCACCACAGTCGGAAATTGTTCGCTGGAAAAGAGATAAATGGTGCCATAGGAACCGGTGATGGCCAGTTTACCCAACATGGCAAAGGTGATCATGAGCCACTGCATCTTAACCGGTACCAAGATGGTCGCCAGCAGGCTAATCCCCGCCAGCAGCATGCAACCGCAGAGTATCGAGCGGCGACCCCAGCGATTCAAGGTGAGCAGTAGAAAACAATAGGCGGGTATTTCCACAGCGCCAGAGATGACGAAATTCAGCAGGACGTTGCCACCCAGATTGTTGGGGCTCCAGGAGAGGCCATAGTAGACGCCGGTGCAGACGAGCCAATCGAAGAAAATGACGAGCGTTTTGCGGCGCAAATTCGGATAGTGAAAGAGATCCCAAACGGAGGCGGGCTTGGCTGCGGATGCCACCTGATCCTCCTGATCCTGCTCGTGCTCCTTCTGCTTCAGCTTAAGGTTGAGATCTAGATTGAGCTGCTTCTCCTTCTCCAGCTGCAGCCGCCTCTCCTGCTCCTTCAACTGATCCTTGCCCTGCTCCTTCAGGTGCTTCTCCTCCTGCTCCCTCTCCAGCTTCCACTCCAGATTCCTCTCAAGCTCCATCTGCTTATTCAGGTTCAGCTTCTCCTGCTCCTTCTCGTTCTCCTTCTCCCTCTCCCCCCCCCCATCCAGAAGCCGCTCCAAAGTCTCTCTGCTAATCTCCACATGATTAAACCTCGCCGCTTTTTGCATCACATCCAAGGCCTCCTCCCGCTTACCCTTCGACAGCAGCCAACGCACCGATTCGGGTATAATCCAATAGTAACCCATAAAAATCAAACCAGGCAGAGTCAACGCAATCTGCAACCAGCGCCAGTCATGGATAAAATAAGCAAATCCCGCCGTAAGCATATATCCTACGGAGAAGAACATCATGACAAAGATGCCGGCATAGAGACGCTTCGTGGGACCAACCATTTCCATGGCAATCACATAGGCCACCAAGAAGACGCCCGACGTTGTGGCGCCCACAACTAATCTGGCCAAAGTATAACTAAAGTAATCCGGTGCCAAGCCCGCCGCAATGCCAAAAACCAGCTGAATCACAAGTGAGGCAAAAAAAATCGGTTTCCGGCCCAATTTATCGCTGAGTTGGCCAAAAATAATGCTGCCCAAAAGGACGCCCAGCATAAACATTGAATCGCTTGTGGCCGCAAGAAATTCTCGGCCACAAACCAAATCGAACTCGGTAACGGCACTATTCGCGTAACGGGAACGATCGTAGATGAATCGATTGCAACTCTGCGTTTCATTGCTAAGCCTGTGAAAGCTTTCGTTGCCTATGTCGTATTCCAGTTCGTAGCGCTCGCATTTTTCATACGGTGGATAAGCGAGCTGTGAAAGCTCCTCCGTTAGCTCAAAGCTTTGATTCGTCTCATTCGACAGCGCACAGCGAAATTTTGGCTTGGCGAGCAAAAAAACGCCGGCAAGTTTGTGAAATGCAACCGGCATCGATGTCAAACAGATCAGCACATAAATTATACGCTGATAGCGTCCAAAGTCGCCCAATTCCACAATAATCTCATCGTAGCCCATTTTTTATTTTATTTATTTTTTTTTAATTGTTAAAATTACTATTTTTGCCGTATTTTATTTCGAGTTTCAACAAAGAAACAGTTACAATTATTAACAGTTAATCGTCCACTATGAGCACCTGCCGCGAGCGCGTCGCGTGAATCACTGAAAGCTTGTCAACGATTGCAGCTTTCTTTAAGCAACGCGCATCTCGTGATTTGTTGCCAGACAATGACGTGTACTTTAGCAACACTCGGAGAGAGACAGTGAGAGAGAGCGCGCGAGAGCGTAATTATGTTTAGCAACAACAACAGCAACAAGTAAGACGCGCAACACGTGTTGCGATTGCGGATCTCTTTTCCAACTAATCGTCAAGCCGAAGAAGAAGAAGCAGAAGCGTTCTTTGAACCCCAAAATTATGGTGAGATTCGTAACTTGCGTCTGCTTTGGCAAGCGGAATAGAACTGAAAACCTAAAAAGCTCAACGATTGAACGATTGAAGGCCACGCAAAGACTGTTGGGGCAATAAGTGCTGACAATACACATAACGATAGCATGTCCCACATACACTAGCACTCACACACACATATAAATATACATACATAAGAGTACACTCGGAAAAAATCTAACTAAACGATATAAACTTTATAATAATGGAAAGTTTTTCTTGTTTTTTCGCAATAATTTTTAAATGCGAGATCAAAAATTTCTAAGAATTCGAAAAACGGTCTAAAATGGAAATCGCTGTAAAAATATAAAGTTTTTCTTGTTTTTAGAAAAAGTTTCGAAATAGTTTCTTTTTCTAAAAATTAGAAAAGCTTACCCAAAATCGATAATTCCAAAAAATATCGATTTTTTCATATTTCTAATGATATGCTTTTCTAAAATGTAATAAATTGAGTATAAAAAACTAATATATGAATTCAAACACACATAGCAAAATCCAAGCCGAAAACTAGTCGTATTTTTTTTCTAAATCTTAAAAAATCCACTCCGAAATTTACAAATCCTTTTTTTGGAGAGCTGCAAAAATAAATTTTTAGAAATTTACTTGGCGTCTAAAGTTGGACGATAATTTCTTACCTCATTTTTAATGTCGTTTATTTTGCTGAGTGTATATCTAAACATATGCTCCAAAAGCCAACAAGTAGCAATCATGCATATTGCCAGCCAAGTTGCTCACGTTTCACTTACTCTCTCTCGCTCTCTGTCTCTCTCGCTCTTTCTCTCTATGTCTCGGTATACCCAGCGGGATTTTGTTTTTTTCGAATCGTTACAGTATGTTGCCGGTAATAAACAAAAACAAAAAAACGGTCGAAAACCAACAGCTGAGCATATTTACCGACAAAGCAGAAGGTTCTTCATTAATTTCCAGACAGCATTGCTCAGTTCAGCAAATAGCTTCCCGCTGGGTCTTTTTTTTTTTTGTTGTGATAAATTAGAGAATGAGGAGACAGAGAGAGAGAGAGAGAGAGAGAGAGCGAGAAAGCAACCCCGTGGCAACAAAAAATTAGTGTTAACATTATTAAAGAGGGTTTCCAGCGGGTCTTCAGCTCACTTTTTGGACTGGCCAACTGACAAACGATGACGCATAACTGAAATAAACAAACACACACACACACACATGCACATATATCAACTGCGTGTGTGTGTGAAGAGTACTGGAAGGAGACCAATTTATTATGTATTTATTTAGTCTTGGTAAAAATAGCATTTCTTCTTTTCTTACTTACTTTCAAATAATAATATTATATAAGAATACATTTTATTTTAATTTCATTGCTTTTTGTTTTTTTAAAATTGTTTTCAAAGTTTCTCATACTGAGTTAAACCATAAAATCGAATGTTATTGACTTTAAGAAAGAAACCAGAATTTGTGTGGCGCCTTCATTTGAGTAAAGTAAACAAATTTTGAACACATTATCACATGAATTTTGATTCGAGAATTTTTCACTGAAAAAAAACACCAAAGAAGTTTTAAATATTAATATTAAATAAAAAGAAAGCTCAAAACCTAAATAAACGAAAAGATTGTGTTGTAATTTAGTAATAATCAAATTGATTCTAAAAGTAATAAAAACACGCCAAAAACTTAAATATATTCAAAGTAGTTTAATATTAAGAATATTGTATTAATTTTATACATATATATAATAATTATATATATATTTTTTTAGCATTCAGATAATTAACGCTAATCGTTTTCGACTTATTTGCATGACAGGCTTCCAATTCCAATTCGAACTCGAAATCGAATTCGATCTCGATTTATTGGCGCTGCTGTCTGATTGGAGTTCATTTAACTTCTCTTTTCAATTGGAATGTGTCAATGGCAATTATTGTTTTGGTTCGCTGTAGAAGGCAATTGAGTCGCGAAATATATAACAAAATCAGTCAGACGTCTATCGTACGATGTTTGCAACACTAGATGCACTCACACACACATATACACACACACATACAGTGGTGTTAGAAAAAATAGCGCCACTCTGAAATTATTTTAATTAGAAAAATCAAAGCATCTTAAAGTTTTGTAATTTTGCAAAATATTTATTTGCAATAGAAATTGTTTATTTACTTCTAATTTTCATTATTAAAAGTGCACATTTGGAAGCTGGGCTGCTGTTATTTTCTTTGCTAATTTTCTCCCTCTTTTATTAAATTATATTTCTTAATTTGAACTTTAATTGAATTTAAATAAGTTGAAAGCGTTGCATAAAATTATATATTCTTTCTTTCTCACATATTTTAAGATTCTTCTTCCACTTTTAAAAACTTATTCATAACTTGTTACACTTACAAATTTAAAAGAACACCTTTGAAAACATTTCTTTGTGAGAGTGGAGGAATTATTTTGACAGCAACTGTAGATCTATACACACATACACACATACAATAATAGTTCCAAGCAGCCTTCAATTGAACTCAATTAATTGGCGTATCTCAATTCCATTTCTTCTTTCTTCGCTGCTGGAACGATTGGAAGAGGCAGCCAAATACTGTTTGTGTAAGTGTGTGTGTGTGTTGAAACGGGTTATAAAACCTAGAAAATGCTGGAAGTGCAATTAACCGTTTCATTAAAGTGATCTTTTCTTTTTTTTTTGAAAAGTTAGAGAAACTCGTTTAGAACTTTATTCGATCTAAACATTTAGAATTGCATAAATATTACAAATATAAAACTAGAAATATAAAAAAAGTTAATGTTTCATTTAATTAATTCTATTAATTTTATTTCGATTTTATAAAAGATAATAAACGTGAAAAGCTTTATATAAACTTTACAAAAACATTTACAATTGCATCAAATTAAAAAAAAAAAATCAAAATAAGATATAAAACTAGTTTAACATCAAATTGAATAAAAACATAGTAATGAAAATATAAAAATAAATATTGAATAGTGCTTAAATTGAGCAAATGAAATTTGTGAGCAAATTTGCAAAATTCTCTATTTATAATCACAATTATTTTCTTTTGCATGTGTGACCCAAATTCGCTATGATAAATAAGCACCTGGCCAAAATTTTGTATAAATCGGTAAAAGCAAAAATTTCCAATTGCAGATACAAAAATAAATAATGTTTTCTGCTTGCTTTTTTATTGCCGTCTTTTAGGGATTGTGGAATTACTTAAAAATTAGCGCCTATTAGGGATGGTAAAATTAGCTAAAATTTAATTATAATTAAAATCATAATTTTTAAATGAAAAGCAAATTTCGCTAATATAAATTCAAATTCTATTAACCGTCCACGATTCGACTTTTATTAGGTTCTCCAACGCTATCACTGTAATTTATCGAAAAGTTGATATTTTACCCGAAACATGCAACATTCTCAGCAACACAGTTGTATTAACATTAAGTCGCAACTTTGCCTTTAAAAGCGCATATGATGTCGCAGCATGTAGCCAAACTAATTGTTGTGGTTCGCAACATCTGCGACATTTGTCAGCGCTAACCGATATGGATATATCGATATATTGTTGGCATGCCATTTTGAGTTTGCGATATGATGACGAATTGGACATCGCGCGCAGTCGTATTAAATACATAGAGCGCGTCGGTCTACCGCGCGCACGCAGCGCAGCTTAACAAAGAAAAAAAATCACAAATCAAATTTTCAGTTGACAAACAAAACACTCGATTCAAAACAAGTCAGGCGAAAAAAAAATCGTGTTTTAGGAGGGGGCGGCGCATTTTCGCCAGCTGCAGCACATTTAACTGTCAATTTGGCAAACAAAAAAGACGATATATAATAGTGACCGTGAAATTGAAGCATAAAAAAGCCGGCGGCAAATTGCTCCAGCGGAAACAGCAGCAACAACAACAGCAACAGGTAAGCGCAACGCTCTTCCAACAACAACTAAAGTAAAACCAACAACAATTCGGTATTTGCTTGTTTTTGAAGCTATGGTGAGTTTTTTCATTTGCTCCATTTTCGTGTTCGTATTTTTTGCTTCTGCTGCGTTGGCGTATGTCAACAGTGAAAGAATAAAAGAGAGGAGCGCAGCGTGGTGAATTGGGCGCAGTCGCAACATCCTCGCTGCTTCCTTTTATTCACCCCACCCCAACAGACAAAAGTCACCACCAGCAGCTGTCTTTCACCCACACACGCATACACACATGCGCTATATTTAGCTGTGTAATGCCAGGCAAGAAGAACGAAGTTGAAAGATAGATTTTTTTTTGTGTTTTCTGCATCGACGCAGGCGCTTTAAGCATTAAACACGTTCCAGGCTCCATTTTAATTTGTGTGCAGCGAATGCAGAAACATTGGAGGGCATCCCAAGGAGCAATCGCTGCTTACTTATTGATATGCCAGTCACATTTTCATTAATTGTATCCATCGTTCCATGGAAGTGGAAGAAGACTCACTCCTTCCACTAGGCTTATGCCTTTTATGGAACGAGTCTAGCTGCAACTGTGGAAGTCATTGGCCAGCAGTGTTGGCAGCTAACTAAAAAAACCTCGTTTTTTTCAGTAGTAAGAATATGGTTCTTAGAGTTTTTTATTCATCAAAATTAGTTACTTGTTCTTCATTGATATATAATATATAAATAAGTATTGCTAAAAAAGCTAATTTTAAGCAAAGAAATTTTGTTTTGACAGTAAATATAAATGAATTTTAGTGTTGAATTTAAACAGTAAATTTAGCGGAAAAATTGTATTTCATGATTCAAGTTCGTTGAAATATAGAGAGTAAAAAAATCCTCTAAAAGTTGATCATGAAAAAAGTCGAATTGTCAGCACTATTTGCCAGTGCTTACACAGTTGCTCAGCGTGAGGCAATAAAAGAATACACCAATACAAACTCGCTTACCAATACAACAACACACAGTTATTTTGGATAGATTCGCAAGGCAATTAACGGTTTTAGCTATGCAGCAAAGTAAAAAAAACACATCTTTTATTTTGCTTACAGCCGCCCTCTTTTTGAGTACTGTTTATGGTAAGGAAAGGGAAGTGGAAGGAGGATGGGGAGGGGAGGGAGTGCTGCTTCTGCACGCGCCACAGCTGACATCAAGGCGATCGTCAATTGTTCTGTCCTCTCTCCTCCTCTCCTCTATCAAACTATCTCTCTCTCTTTTGCTTTGTCCTTTGTCATGCGCCAGCCAGTCGACAGCTGCTCAACTTCCACTTCTTCCAGTGATTTCCAAGGGTTTTTATTGTTGTTGATATGCGTGAACTGCTCGTTAACCCAGCTTTATTCCAGCCAATCCCACTTTAAATTGGGCATGCACTGGAAATAATTTGCATATAATCAAAGTGAAAAAAGCTTTAAAGTGAAAGTTCATAGATTAATTACTGCCTTTGTCTTCCATTAGATTAGCATAATAAAGTTTTTGCTTGAAGTGATTCCAAAACAAACTTAGACACAAACTTCCGAAATGGATTTAACTAACTTTGTTTTAGTTTTTTTTACATCATCACTGGAAACGGTGCTTTGTTTTTAAGACGCGTGTGAGTATTGTATGATTGAAGCCAATCAATTTACTAAACTATCAATTTAGTTAATAAAAAAAGCTAACCTTTTTTGTCAGCTGTATTTTGTTGCTATATGTATATATAGAGATAGAGAGGGAGATAAGCAGATAAGATTAAATGTGGTTGCTGGAATTGATAACAAAACTGTACAATTTGGTTTGACAAGAGCAAATATAAATTAAGGCACATGAAACAAATTAAAATGCGAAACTAGGCATGACTAGGATTTACCCTGTAACCAGTTAGTAGTTTCTTCAATATGAAAATATAAATTTAAAAAATTAAATAAACTTGATATGATATAGGAGAACTTATAGATATATATTAAAATGTTTGCATTTGTGAAACTTTTCAACTGACCAACTCGAAAATGATTATGTACAATAACAATTTCTAATTTAAGTGAAATAGTAGTTATATTTATATCTTTCTCAGCAAACTTGTAATATTTTTTCTTTTTTAAATGTCAAATAATAAAAATACACATAAAGAGCAATTGTGAATATTTCTTCAGAAAAGTGTCCAAAAGTGCACTTGATAATTTCTGTACACCCGCCAAATGTACAAATGCGTCACATTTTTCACACTCCAGGGGATATGGGAGGAGGAGGAGGAGGAATGCCCTCTGAGATGCCATATGGAAAATCAGAGTCTGTGTAAACATGTGTAAAGAAATGCTTACATAAATAATGTTACCCCTAGTGAAATTCATCAACATTTTAAAGGGCGACTTCCTCTCCTGGTTGTTTTTTGTTTTATTTAATCCCTCTTAAAATTGTTTCACTTTTAGCCGACAATTTTTCCGCTTTTCCTGTTTTCCTCTTTCCTTCTTAATTTTTCATGCATTTAGTGTCGGCATTAATTGGTTCCACTTGCGCAACTTTTTCAACTATCAACCAAAAGAAAATAACTTAGCAATTTTTTTGCCAGTCATTGAACCCAATAAAAATCAAGCCGAAAGTGCAGCTAAAAAACCAAATATTTTATTGTTGTTGCTAATAATGCGACCTGCATTGTAGCCAAAAAAAAAGTAAAGTAAACATAAAAACTAAAAACGAGTTGGTTTTGCGCCTGCGCCACGTTTTGTTAGTCGCGTTTTACGGTACACTGAACCGTAACCCTAAACCGTAACCCCAACCCCCGAAACTACTCCCCCCCGGTTCCGAAATCATGTTCCTGTCTACAGCTGTGTGCAATCCAGAGTATCTGTGTATCTTTGTATCTATTGTTGCAAACGTAATTGCTATGCGAGCATTTCCTCTGCTGCTGCTACCCATTTAGAAGTTGCAAAAAAGGGGTAGATTGATCTGCTGAAATTATATGTAACAGTTAGATTTTTTATATATTTTATATAGTTATTATTATATACACAGCTGGACAGTTAAACAACTTGTGAATTTTTTAATACAACATTTAAATATCATGTTGGATGGTTTCAGAACATAATTGGAAATGGTCTTAAATCAGAAAATCAACTATCGATAATCGTATAGTGTTAGTGGCTAAAAGTAACTGCAAGTAAAATTAAAATAAAGTTCCTTTACTTAGAACAGGAAATTTGAAGATTGAAGAGTAAAACATCGCATTGATTCCTTAGGATCTTAAGTCAGAGAAAGCTGATTTGCATTTAGGAACCAACGTCCCATATTTACAAATTAATATATTGTATTTTGGACATGCTATTTATATTTTATTTTCAATATTTCACAAATTTACTGCGTTTTCAATATTTCACAATTTTACTGCGTAGATGTAGATATCAATTAAACGAATCGCCTCAAGATTGGATAAGAAATCCCAAATGATAGTCCAAAATCAATTATCATATTGAACTCATTACTAAAAGCAGTTGTAAGCATTTTCTGTATGTAATTCCATGCATGCTTTCATTTGCGATTGTAAATCGCTTTTTATGTACATTTTTAACTGAATCTAATTCATTTTCGTTTTAATTAAAAAATAATATTAAGTAATTTAAATAAATTGAATCAACTTGACTATATTTGACAGCTGATTGCAGGGTGTTACATAGTCGAGCTCACTTCGACTACAGCATTTGTATTTGTTTCAAATTTGCTTTTCAGTGACGTTTTTTCTCAAACCAAAATTTGAGGCTAGTTTTGCTGGCTGACTCATCCAAGCTGACAAAGCATATATTTTTCATCTTTGGAATATATATTTTGTATGTGTTTTTTCTCTTTTAATTTTTATCTACTTCCTTTGCGGTTCAGAGCAAAACTGGGCAGCTGCAAAAATGTGTGTTTGGGAAAACAAGTTGAACTGGTTGTTGGCGGCACATTCACTTGCCTGCCACCAGCCGAGTTGGAAATCCGTGCAACTGATATACATATATATACGTGCGCAGTTGCAGTTGCATGTGGCATTCGCGTACCTGCCACATGCCACATGCAGCCACTTGTTGTGCACCGTTAGCGTCCCTGAGCCTGTAGACTGGTTGAACTTGATATTGAGCTACTTGGCCACCAATTGAAAAGCCTTTTTGCCCCATTGCCAAACGGGTTTTATTTCTATTAATCCATTTTTTGTTTAAAGAAGCAGAAGAATTGCGTGCTTTAAAATTCCTAAGAATTTCTTTGTTCAAGTCTTTTAAGCAAATAGCAAATTTGTTTGCGTTAATATTTATTATTATTAATTAGTATTAATATTTATGTTAGCTGCTTTTCTCAACTTTTTTTATATAACCTTTTTAATCATTTTTTGCAAAGGCAAGTTAAAGTATAATAAATATAATATTAGATGGTTTTCTCAATGTATAAGCAATACCAAGTACAGATGGAACATATCTTAGATATAAACGGGGACTCTTTTTTATTTTTTTTGTAACTATTTTAATATGAATGAATGAAGGAGTAAATAATTTAGGTTTTTCTTTATTTATGGCCAAAAATTGAAATTTGATAGTCATATTAGGTTCACTGTCCACAAAGGCATTCAAGTTTTTTGGTTTTCTTAAGCGTTGGTCAAAGCAATTTCTATGCGACTTTTAAGACCAAGATACTCTTTAGCTTAGGTTTATAGCTAAGTTTACAATCTTAACCAATTAATTTTTTTCTCTGATGGGGATTTTTGTGTTGAGTTTTTTGCATTTAAAACATCCGTAGAATTCTTACAAATATATATATATATATATATTTTTTTAAATTTATATGTATTATATTTAATATACCTCTATATATGAATTATATATATATTATTATAAATAATTAACAAAAAAATGAATTATAATTTATTTTAAAGGGAAGTTATTAAAATATGAAATACCTTCAAATACATATATTATAGATATTTAGTTATCTCCTTTCCTCTATTTGTTTTTTCTTTATAACTATTTTAACATTTCTTTAAAACCCAGTTCTTGACGGGTTTTTCTTTCTTCTCGTTATGTTAAAATATAATAACCAAGTTAGCAGCTTTCCTCGCTGGTTTGTTTTTTTTTTTTTTTTTTTGGTATTGTTTTTGATGTAATCTGCTTCTTTTGTTTACCTTTTTACCGTCACACTTCTCAGCTGCTTCATTTTTTAATGGCTTTTAACTAGAGAAAATGTCGCAATTATTACTCAATTTTCGTTGTCTCGACTCGTTTTTCGTCTTTTTTTATTTGCCACAAGCAATTGAAATTGGTTGAAGAATGGCAGCCAAGACTTGCTCAGCTCTGGGTTATGAAATTATGGCAATTGTTTGGCTTTCTGCTTTGCTTTTGCATGCAATCTGATGTATACATATGTATATATATCCATATACAGTTGCGATAAACATAATAGTACCATTCGCACGAAATTTTTTCAAAGGTGAATCTATTTTAATTTTATTTTTTAGAAGTGGAAAATGACTTAAAAAAATTGAGAAAAAACATATTTTTACTCACGAGTTTCAACTTTTTCAATTGAATTAAAGTTAAAAAATTAAACTTTATGAAAAATCAAGATAATTAACATAAGATATAATAACAGCAGTTTTTAAATGTGAACTTGTAATTATGAAAATAAATAAATAATATATATAGAAAATATATAAATGGAAACAAATAAATGATTTATATAAAGACTACGTAGACTGAATAGAATTCCAAGAACATTACTAACTTTAATTAATATATATTTAAAAGTAAACATGTGAAAAAGCTCCAAAATGAATCATTTCTTCTATTCGTAGGAAAAAGTGTCAGAGTGGTGCTATTATTTTTCCCACAATTGTATACATATATATGTATATAGGGAAGTGAAACTGAAAGAAATGGGTTAAAGCAATGCCAAATAAAGAAGAGGAGGCAACAACAAAACTGCCAGTTTTGCAACAAATTGTGTCACGTGTTGTAGAAAATCGATTAACGCTTATTGCTTAATGCAGATTGTTGAGCATTTCAAATTGAAATTGATTTCCATATCAACAATCAAATGTTTAATCAAAAAATAATAATAATGAATCAGTCTTTATATTAAATTGTTGAATGTTGCATCAATCGTTCAATATTTATAGATAAATTGTCAATTCGACAACACGAAAATCTCTTCAACAAAATTTCAATACTGAAACACAAATATGTTGCCTATAGACAAAAATGCTTGACAAATTGGTTTCCCCCTTTTGCAAACAGTTTTCATTTATTTTCCTGTTGAACCGTTAACCAAGTTTTTGTTGTAGTTTTTTTATTTCGTTGTCGTTTTTTTTTTTCTTTTCAATGTTGCGCAATGCAACAGAATACATAACAGAGCACTGGCCACAAAACACAATAGACACATAACGAACAAACTTGGTTGTTATTAATTATTCAGAGTCAACGGCACTTCAGCTTGAAGTTGGCCTGGTCAACCGGAAGGTGTTTTTTACAAGAGCTACACTCGCAGAAAAATCACCCAGAAAACTATAAAGTTCTTTAGTTTTTAGATATTATTTGCGAATATAAGACATAATTTATTTAAAAATTAGAAATGTTTGCCCTTATTCCATAAACACAAACCCAAAAAAAAAAAACTAATATAAGAAGTCTTCTATAGAAAACAGCATCTTGGAAATTAAACATAATTTTTTCTAAATTTTAGAAAAACTTCCGAAATTTAGTAATGCAAATCCTGATTTTTAGAAAGCCACAATCATAAATTTTAGAAATATACTAGCTGAATATTTACTAAAAATGACGGCGATTTGTTTAAGTGTAGAAGAGCCATCATTAAATAGCCCCTTATTTATTGGTGTTATCAGTTTACAGTTCGAACTGCAATTGCAGGCATAAACAAACAATTATGAATCAACTACAAATACTTCAAACACTCATTTCATATATGTTTTAACCCAGACTGATATTTTTACTACCCTTCTTCAAAGTATTTACCCCTTAAACATTCTCAAAACACAGCAAGCAAAGTAATTAGAAATGCTTCTATGTAAACTGTGTTTTTATTATATTATTTACTTATAATTGCCTTATTAATATATACTATCGCTAATATACCTTAAAATAGTTGTGTATGTTGTTAAAAATAATTTATTAAAATTGTTAAGAATTAGAAAAGAAAAAAAAGAAATCTTCCATCGATTGTCAGGTGTGGGGTTCGAACCCACGCTCTCTCTCGAGAACCAGAGCTTAAATCTGGCGCCTTAGACCGCTCGGCCAACCTGACTTGTTGGACGAGTGTGTTCAAATGTGCTACATAAGCAACACTAGCTGGCAGGCATTGCTTCTGATACTCTTTTTCAGGTATACACACACACACATGCAGCTCGCAGAGGGTGCGTGTCTCATTGTATGTGTGTGTGAGAGAGAGAGCATGCTTCGCTTTGTTGTTTCTTATGCTGCTTGCAGGCGGGTGGTGTTTTGAATTTATGTTTCTGATAGAAGTATTTTTAATTACGCTTATTTTATTATTATTAAGTATTATTTATTTATTGAATATATATATTTATTTTTATTATTAATTCTTTGCCATCATCCATGTGCTATTTTTATATCTCGCTCACTCACCACTTGTGCAAGGTTTTTTTGTTAAAAAAAAAAAAAAAAAAAAGCACACAGCGCTTTTGGCTAGACAGCTGATGAGCGCATACAATTCTCGCCCTCTTCCTCCAACTCATACGTCAGAGCCTCCCCCTTCCGATATCTCCGACAATGTTGGTCACGGAACAGAGCGTAACAAAGTTGTTCCCCTCCCCCGCTCTTCCTCGCTTCCTCCTACTGTGCTCTGTTCTATCGTTGCTTTATTACATTAGAAAGCTTTGTAAAATGAGCTTTTTTGCATTGCTTTCGCTTAACTGCATAGAAGTGGGATCTTATGCAAATATAACATGAATATTTGCATTGGCAGTAAAAGCTCGCATAGAAAGCTTTCACAAAGCATCTCTTTCAAAGCAGCTTCTCAATTTGAACACTTGAAATGTAATAAAATAAATAACACGCAGCGGGTGCCGGCAATAAACAAACCGGAAGTTGTTATGTCGTCATGCCAAGCTCGATTGCACTGCATATGTATATATATATGCGTGTTCCATTATAGGTCTCTGCAACACTTCCTGGTGTTGACTCCTCAGCAGCAGCACTTCAGCGAAGTGTTACAATTTTTGCCATTATTTTGTGTTGTTGTCTTCAATTGGAGCATAAACACACTCGGAATAAATTTTGTAGTAAATGAAAATGGAAAACGAATATCGTAAAATTCAAATTCCCTTAAAAAATATAAAGTTTTCTTGCTTATCGAAATAATTTGTACATATTTGGAAAACCTTTTTCTACACACTATATTTTAGATTTATTTTTTCGAAAAGTCGATTTATTAAAATGTAGTTAGTTTTTTTCTGAGTGTAGCAATGGGTACGCAAATGGAAGTCTTAGTATGACACCCACACAAACACACACACACACAGCAGCAAGAGACGATTCGACGCAGTTAATGCTGCTGTATATCGTTTTACGATATTGTATAACGTTTTGCGATATACACTGCACAACAACAACAGCAAATGAACACATCCCTCTGCACAGTTACTTCTACTGCTCTACGATATACGATGTCGCTACAGCAAATATCGTAGACGAACACATCCTGTGCACAGAATCCACAAACACACACAGCAAAAACAAAACGCATCAGTGCAATTTGTGAGCTCGTCGATTGCAGTCGCACGTGTCTCGTTTCGTGTGTCGAGTTACGGTTTCCGCGGGGGGTTGATGTCGAAAAACAGAACTCGGTTACTGGGTGAAAGCGGCAAAAAGGCACAAAAAAAAACCAACGAATGTAGACTCAACACGTACGCAGATTAAACACACACACACAAAACACAGACACACACACATACAAATAAATATTTCGCATCTGGCAAAATCTGCATTTTCTCAAACTGCAATTGTTGATGTTGATGAGATAAATGAGATATGAGATAAATGTGAGATACATATGAGATATACATATGTTTACAGCTTAATGTAGGTCAGCAGTCAGCAGAGTTGCTTTTGTTGCTGCTGCAAATTGTGCAATATAAAAATATTAATTTTTGCGGCGAAAAAAAAGCGAAAATCGAAAAAGTGAATTTTTCACGGCTAGCAAATGATTCAGTGCAAAGTGAAAAGTGTGTTTAATCGATAGTGAAAATCAAACCAGGAAATTACAGCAGCTGTTGCCAAGCCCAATCAAAAGCACACACACTCACACACTTAACGGTTTCTCAGACTCGGGTCAAAGTGCACTCAACTGCAACCAACTCTTTTTGCAACTCTTTTCGCCTTCTGTCTTTGCCTCACTTTACCTCTTTCCAACTTTTAGTGCATTGCACTGCAATTAACTCATTAGGACACACACACACACACACAACGATATGGACTTCTACGATAATAACAATGGGGTTCATAATCCCAATCCGGGTGAGTTCAATATAAAAAATGGTGTGAAGAAAACAAATCGTAATCTTATCTGTTGGTCAATTTGGGCGTAATAAGTATTGTCTGACCCTACTACACTCAGAAAAAATAGAATAGGAAAAATCGACTTATATTTTTGGGGTTGTCTATTTAGGGCAAGTTTTTCAAATTTTTCGAAAAATGTTTTCTTATATTTAGCAAGTATTTCTCAATTATTTCATTTACAAAAATTTAGAGTAGGCAGCAGGAGTAAATAAATGGGGGGAAAAGAGTGTCTGTTGCCTCTAAATTTTAACTCGTTGATAAAAAGCAAACCGGGGAATACCATAAGCTATTAAAACTTATTATTCTGAGAAAACTTTTATTATTACTTTATTTATTAGATGAATTCACCAAATCGAAACTTCTTTCAATAAATTTGAATTCAATTTATTTTAATTTATTTAAGTCATAAATATTTAATACGTGATTTTTATTACTTGAATAAAACATGTTTCGACATTATTTTAACACATATTTTAAATAAATTAGTAGTAATTGGCAATATCCAGAGAGTTTCTTAAAAATTTCCAGGCTAATAAACGTGATATATAAAAGATAACATTTCTAAGAAAAGTATTTTTTATTTGATTTATAAGATTAGTTCACCAAATCGAAATATTTTTCAATATATAGCATTTTACACGATTCTTCCAATTTAATCTTCGACAGCCCACAAAAATATAGTTTTTTAATGACGAATACAATAATAATAATAACAATATGCGAAGTTAATTTCTTACCGAAAATACAATTTTCAATTGACATAAAAAGTTTTTAACATATACTTTAATAAAAATTTAACATTTAAAGACTGCTTATAAAATATCTAGGTTAGTAACCCGATACAGTGTCTGTTTCACACATACATATATATATATATACGGCTCAAGTCTAAGAACAATGCATTTTGATAAACGGTCAAAAATTTGAAGATATGAACAAAAGACCAGACAATAAAGTAAAAGTAAAATCGTTTAAATTTCTACGCAGCACTTTTGCTAATGCGTAAACAAATTGCCTACTCCTCAATTACAGTAATAAGTGACTAGCACGGCAAGGCAAACTAAACACGCACGCAACCTGGCCAAGCTGATTCATTACACTCACAAAAAAAAAACTTCAGACCGAACACTAGTAACATTTCTTTTTAGAAATATAATTCTTCTATCGCGAGTTACCAAATTTCACCGTGATTTTTTTGCGAGTGTGGCTGAAAAGTGGGCGGAAGGCGATAAGTATAGTGTGCTGATGTACGGCTGATGTACTCGGTGATATCACCACTCGATTATAGCCAAGCCACGTCCATGTAACTAACTAAATAGCTGGCTAAAATAAACAAAATCACAGAGACGCAGTCGCGTCTGCTTCTTCCGGGTGTGCCTTGGGCTAATTGGTGGATTTTCGCTTGCTCGGGTTACGGTTATTGTCGAGACCTGGTCAACGCATTCCAAACTAAGCCGCTTTCCAGTTCACAGTCAGCTACCAGCTACTAGCTGCTAGTTGCAGCAGGTGACTTCCATTCACAGAGAGCTTCTCACATTTCATAAGCCCTTCGACTTGACATGCACTGTCATGTTTGTCTTCCCCCGTTTGACTGACGACATGAGAGAATGCTCGCAACGATATACCCTGCAGCCAGTTGTTAAATATGTATTAGTTTTATTTAATAATTTGGCATGGAATTGCTCTCATTTCTTACGCAAATATATATGTATATTCCCTTCAATTTTTCACACATGCATTCGCAATATTTCTGCAACCGATCTTAATGAAATTTGGACAGTTGATATATAATATGTTATGTATGCGCTTAAATTGAATGTTGCCGGGTTATTTGTAATCAATTTAAAGTCTTTAGTTTCCTTTTTTTGTTATTAATTTTATTGCATTTTCACTTTGTAATGTATATTTATGTTCAGTATTTACTGCATGTGTTTAAATATAATTTTCATCATTTTTCAACTATATTTTTCTTTACATTTTGCAAAACATATCTATGCACTGCTGTTATTTTGACCGCAGTTGTATATATATCAATTAGAAGTTACTGCTTTTTTAATTGTGGCTTTTATTGCTATCAGCAATCGATAAATATCGATATTCGCGAAACGTTAGCAAACTTAACACTTACAGACTCTGTGATTAGCTTCTTAATATAGACGGACATAACTACATCGACTCGTCTCGCGATGCTGATCAAGACTATAAATGCCTTATGGACTTGGAGTTGCTTCGCTCTGCCTGTTACATACATTTACAAACATTTGCACAAAACCAATATACCCTCTTTTCAATGGGTTCAGGGTAGAAAAACGTTTCGTTGGCAGTGTCTTTGTTTGTGTTTGTTCTGTTGCTTTTGCACACCTTGGCTGCATTTGCCGCCTTTGCTGCCTTTGTCCATTGTCAATGTCGCTTTGAAGCACTTGCTACGTCATCAAGTCATTTATGTTTTTTTTTTTTTTTTCTTGCCACACTTGGCTGCCTGCCCTGAGACAGACAGGGTTGCTTTGAGACGTTTGCATTGCAATCTCAGCCAGAAATGCAGCTGGGCAACTTCTTCTTTTTCTATCCTTTAAACGGGCCATCAAATATGGCATTCATCTCTCACACACACACACACTCTTCCCTAGCTAAAATATTGTGCCTTCTTTTTATGGGCAAACTTCATTTATTTTTTATTTTTTTCTGTTGTCTTTTGTAATTTATGCGGACATCTCTCGTGCAAAGAACAAAAAAAAAAAAAAAAAGGAACGCTAAAGTTTCATGATTCCAAGTGTCAGACAAATTGTGGGCATGCTGAAGTTGCTGACGTGCATACAAAAGCAGCTCGAATATTAATATGAGTGACTATATTTGCATACCCTGTAAATATGCTGCACATATGCTCAGCATAAAAATATAATACTATGCAGGTTTTGTGAAATCTACGAAGAATCCTCAATGCTCATCATAGCAGAGTGTGCCGCCTTCACTACGAAATGATGGAGCAGCCTGGGGATGACTGTCATGAGCTTCGAAGACATAATAGCCCTCAACTCAACAAAGATTCTCGTCCGTGCTATAGGCTATAGCTATAGGATCAGAAGCGGGCACAATGATCTAGTAGGTCACAGTGCATGTATCCCAATTAGATTAAGAATTATAATTCTCTTAACAAGTAAACTCCACCAGCTCCTACTTTATGTACAGGGTATTTAAAATTGCATATGGATGCAATTGTGAGTCTGTTTTTTTTCTGTCTCTGCATAATCAAGATTATGTTAAATTGTTGGAAAAATTGTTGTTAATTTGCCTTGGCTTGGCTTGCACATTATAAAGCAATTTTTTGAGGCATATGCATAGTTAGAGTTCCACTTTCTACTCACAATCGGGGGTAATTGCGTTGGATGCATTACAGTTAATGACTCGACTCGATTAATTGACGATATCAGCATTTAAAGAAAAAAAGAAAGACAATTGGAAGATAAGAGAAATCACATTTGATCTGGTGATATCTTAATACCCATGCTGAGTGGAAAAAAATAAATAACAATAATTGCTATGCCAGTAATTAAAATTAAATTAATAAATTACAAGTAATACAAATAAAATAAAATGTAGGAATTGCCAAAAATACAATTCATAAATTAAAAATAATCAAAATAAAGTAAAATCTATTAGATCGCTTGGCTCAATATCAATCAATTCTAAAACTGTAGAAAACTTTCGCAGATGTTCAGATTAACGAAATGTCGGAACAGTTTGTCATTCACCTTATTTTCTCGGAATCTTAAATAAAATGTAGGAAATGCTAACAAACATTTTGGAATATTCAAATTACTATCATTCGTTCTATTTTTATTCTGTATTATTAGAATATAATGTCAGAATCTCTTGAAAGCTTTAATATTAAATGACTTAACGGTAAATGATTGATTAAATCAGCAAAAAAGAACCACTCACAAAATCTAGCCGTTAAATGAATTTTTTTTTTCTAACACAAATAAAAAAAAAGACTTGTGAATTACACCCACAACAATCCCACCTAAAACTCAGCATGATCATTGTCATCGCCCGTCTCTCTCTCTCTCTCTCTCTCTCTCTCTCTATCTCTCTCTCTCTCTCTCTCACACACACACACACACACACACACAAACTCGCTTAATAATCATTTAATAATTTAGCACTTTTTGCAAATGTCAACTAAATTTATGCGGGAAGAAGAAGCAGAGACAGATCTCTCATTGTTTTTTTTTTATTATTTTGCATTGTTCTGTTCCGAATGCCGAATGAGAGTGGGAAATGCGAAACACACCAAAAGCGGGCTTTAATTGAGCCGAGCTAAAGAGCCGAACGCAGCCGAAGTCAGTCGAACTGCACCATTAACCCAGCGAACTAAATAAATGAATTTCACCTTGATTTATTGTCTTTATTTCACCCCCACCGCCTCCCCTCTCACTGGAATAGTGAGTGAGAGAGCAACGCAGAACTTTTGCTGTAAATGAGAACTTTTGCGGTTTGTGCAAATGACATTCATTCTTATACACTTTTGTAAATACGTATCCAGTATTTATATGTATTACCTTAAGTTTATAAGCTGTCAATTAAAGAAAGAAAAAAGGGTCCAATTTTTTTTTTCGAATTGTCAACACCTTATCAACGGCAACAACGCCCGTGAGTCAGACAAACACAATATGACCAAGAAAGGCAACACACCAGCCAGCATATAGAAAAAAAGCAACAAAAATATAGACAACGTCAGCGCATAAGGCAAAGAACAATAGGCAACTGTAGGCAAAGAGTGAGCGAGTTGAGGGACAGTCTATCTCGCTCTCACTCTCTGCCTCATTCGCAGGTAAAGTTTAATTGCTGAGAAATGCTCAAGAAGAAGAAGTGCCATAAAACACCGGCTCTCGACCCGAACCGGCAGAGCGGCAAAACGGCCTTAATGACTGTGTTACGCACATTGCCAAAGGTGTCCAGAGTCAGAAGAGAGTGTGTGTGTGTGGGAAAGTGGAAGAGAGGAAGTAGCAGAGAGAGAGAGAGCGCAACGATCACTGCTGCTTAGTGATGTGAATGAATATAACAATAATCGAATAAGAGTTAATTATTAAGGTTTCTTGTTATGAATCATTTAAAGTTATACTTTTATATTCCATATAGAAATGCAAAAAAAGCAATTGTTACTTGCAAGTTGTTACTTATTAGGTTGGGAGTTGATGCCAAGACACGAATGATCTTAAAAACCAAAAAGGCGACTAAATATATAGATTTTAATAACTGAAAGTAATGAAATTAATTTACATTTTTATCAGTGTATTAAAAAATATAATCTTATTAGTAGAAAATCCGACTATTATTTGCAGGTGTGCATATAAATAACAATATTCTTATTAGCTTTATTAGCTTGCCAAAACACGAATGATTTTTTAGTAAATGGAAGTAATATTTTTTAATTTAAATATTTTAATTACTGAAAGTAATATTTTTGATGTGTCTGATTTGTTGACTATTTTCATTTACATTTTTATCATAAAAAAAAAAGAAGAAACCCCAACTATTATTAGCAATTGCTCGTGACACGACACGAATCACGCTCTCCGCTCTAGCGAACGCAGCTCTAGCTCACCTGGCTGCGTTCGTCGCCTGCTTTGCTTGCTTTGCTTAATTGCTCAGTTGCCATTGTGAACTCTGACGAGCTGGTTGAGAGTCGGATTGTGTGTGTGTGTGTTTTTTTTTAACCATGTTAGTGTCGAGCGCTGTCTGATAAGATTTTGCATGATGATTATTCGTTATAGAAAATACCCAACTAATTTCATTGCTAAAAGTCAATTACATTTCTCTATTTCAGTGCGCAAAATGTTGGAGGACACCCAGTTGGTTTGGGTGCGAGATCCCGTCGATGGTTATATTCAGGGTCGCATCACCGAAATCGGCGCGAAGGAATTCGAAGTAACGCCCATCGATCGGAAGTTCCCAAAGCGCACCTGTCACTGCGATGACATTCACTCCTCCTGTGATGGACCCCAGGATCACGATGATAACTGTAAGTACAACCAGATATCCATATAAATACACATATCTAGTTATAGTATCTTTTATATAAATAGGTGTGTGTGTGTGTGTTTGCGTGCCTTTTTGGCTTTATCTTTTGTTTAGCTTGTTTTTCTGTGTGTGTTTGTGTCTGCTTAGAACGTGGTTACATAAAGATGTGAAAAAAAACAAAAGGTATTTCCTATATGAGAAAAAGAAATAAACTTTTTGCCATTTTCTTTTATTCCTAAACCGCAAATATGTAACTAAAATCTTATCAGTTTAGATCGACTAAAATATTTGAATAGCTACTTGGATATAAATTGCGAGTTTGTTATCTAGAAAAATGGCGCTAAGGTGGTAGTCCACTGAAAAAAAAAATTGACCTGAAAACTAGAAGGTTCTTCTAGTTTTTAAAAATAATTTCCAAACAAAAAATCTTATCGGAACCGAACGACTAAAATGTTTGAATAGATAATATGAAAAACACAAAAATGTTTAAATAGATAATATGAAAAACACAAAATAGGAATTACTTGGTCAATTTTGTTATCTAGAAAAGTGCCGCTAAGATTGTTGAAGTAGAATTCACTTTTATAGCTAAACGAAGCGTAACGAGTTAAACCATATGGTTTTCCAGCGAAAACTTAAAAATTCATTGCCAGATCAGTTAAGCGATCTGTTCCAGGTAATTGTGCAACTTTCCGCTAGAGCTGGAAAGAATCTGACGTGCTGTTTGATGCCCCACTTCTACTCTACCTGAACACATCGTAAATGTTGATACACTCAAACAAAAACACATTAATAAATATTCATATTTGGAAATTTCAAATATAAAAATAAATAATTTTATTTGAAATTCATTCAATTTACGGGGATTCTAATATAAAAACCAATCAAATAAATTTCATGATTTGTTTCTCAATTTTAGAAAGAAACTTTTAAAAATGCAGGTTTGCATTTCTACTTTCTAAAAAATGGAAAAAATATCCATATTTTTGGAAAAATGTTTTCTTAAATTTAGAAGTTACTGCTAAAAACAAGAAAAACTTTCCAGTTTCCAGTTTTTAGTTTGATTTTTAGTTTTGTTTTAGTGTAGCAGGAGAATCTCACGTGCTGTTTGATGCTCCATTTCTCTAGTTGAACACATCGTAAACCTCAATAAAAAATCTGGTTTGGGATCGTTAGCTACGCTTCTGCGTGAAACAATTGAGCGGTAAAGCACTTAAACATGAACCCCGACCCCTGATCCCCAAAACTAACACCAGGGGGAAAGTTAACATAGAAGCAAGTATAAAATAAAAGACTTACTTATTTACTTAACTTCAATTTCCAGGTGAGCTTATGCTGCTCAACGAGGCCACATTTCTGGACAATCTGAAGATACGCTACTACAAAGACAAGATCTATGTGAGTTTTAAACAGAAAGAAAATCTATGTCACATAATTAATGTTGTTATTGACCATTTCTAGACCTATGTGGCTAATATACTCATTGCCGTTAATCCTTATCGTGAGATCAAGGAACTCTATGCGCCAGATACGATCAAGAAATATAATGGACGATCCTTGGGTGAATTGCCACCGCATGTTTTTGCCATTGGTAAGTAAAACTGGAAGATTCTACGTGCCAATTTTCTAATTCATAACTCTTTTTAGCGGACAAGGCTATTCGCGATATGCGCGTCTATAAATTATCGCAATCCATCATCGTATCGGGCGAATCGGGTGCCGGCAAAACGGAGTCAACCAAGTATTTGCTCAAATATTTATGCTATTCGCATGATAGCGCCGGTCCCATAGAGACCAAAATATTGGATGGTAGGATCTCATCTATATACTATTTTGAATTATTTGTGACTGATTTAGGGGAAAACTAGCGAAGTTGTCTCCCTTTGTTATGATATAAATAGTAATATGTAGTTTTCAACAATTCCCACCGAATCGAAACTATTTAGAATTTAATCTGGAAAAATAGGGTCTAGAATTATGAGTCAAATAGATTAACTATATTTATACCCAGAACCCCTTAAAAATGTTTAAAATGGGCATTCTATAGTTGTGCTAAAAGCATCTCAGAGCCCATAAAGTAGATATGTGCTTGATCAGCATCAATAGAGGACTCAATCTAGCCATATTCGTCTTTATGGACAAACGAGAATAGACTTCAAATGTGGATATTAGTTTCTCATATATTCTGCTCAATTCAACGTTATCTTATCGATAAGTGCATCCGTTTCGCAAATATCGGTACTTATCGTTTGTCGATAGCAATAAAAGTCACAATTTCAAAGGCAGTACTTTCTTATTGATATAACATATATTGATTTATTGTTTAACTCTAAAAATATTATCCAGATAGCTTTACTAGTGTATCTCTCCTAGTCGAGCTCTCCCGACTAAAGAATTCTTGTTTGCTAATTTAATTTGAAAGCAGCTCCAAAAGTTGCCTCAAAGCTTTTGTAGACAAGTTCTGTTACAGTTTCCAAACAAACTCATTTGCAAATTTATAAATAATAATACATATACAGTTGCGGTCAAAATAATAGCACAACTTTCACATGAAATGTTTGTGTTGTTCACAACTGTACATATATATGTCATATGTACATATTTAGTTTAATATTTGCATTCCTTCCTCAGCCAATCCCGTGCTGGAGGCCTTTGGCAATGCGAAGACGACACGCAACAATAACTCATCCCGTTTTGGCAAATTCATTGAGGTGCACTACGATGCCAAGTGTCAGGTTGTTGGTGGCTACATTTCCCATTATCTGCTGGAGAAGAGTCGCATCTGCACCCAGAGCGCTGAGGAACGTAATTATCATGTCTTCTACATGCTGCTCTGCGGCGCTCCTCAACAGCTGCGTGACAAACTCAGTCTGGGCAAACCGGATGATTATCGGGTAAGAATCAAATTACTATTATTTATTTATCTTTTATTTAATTATTTATTTCCCTTACTCTTTGCAGTACCTTTCCGGCTGCACGCAGTATTTTTCGAATGCCAAGACTGAAAAGTTAATACCGAACAGCCAGAAATCGGCGAGTCATCAGAAGAAGGGTCCCCTCAAAGATCCCATTATCGATGACTATCAGCATTTTCTCAATCTGGACGAGGCATTGACTCGCCTGGGCTTATCTGCCTCCGATAAGATGGGCATTTATACTTTGGTTGCGGCCGTGTTACATTTGGGCAACATTACCTTCGAGGAGATACCCGACGATGTCCGTGGTGGTTGTCAGGTCTCCGAGACATCGGAGCAGTCCTTGACCATTACGAGCGGACTGCTGGGTGTGGATCAAACTGAGCTGCGAACAGCTCTCGTTTCGCGTGTCATGCAGAGCAAGGGCGGTGGCTTCAAGGGCACTGTTATTATGTAAGTCTACGGGAAGAACGCTCTTCGATTTATTTTTATACTTTATTATTATTTACAACTGCCGAGTATTTCTCATCTTTATTTTTGCTTCTTTTATCTTTTAGGGTTCCGCTGAAGATCTATGAGGCGAGCCATGCTCGCGATGCTCTGGCCAAGGCCATCTACAGTCGGCTCTTCGATCGGATTGTGGCGTTGATTAATCAGAGCATACCCTTCCAGGCCTCCAACTTCTATATTGGTGTGCTCGACATAGCCGGCTTTGAATACTTTACGGTTAATTCGTTTGAGCAGTTTTGCATCAATTATTGCAATGAGAAGTTGCAAAAGTTCTTCAACGATAATATACTGAAGAATGAACAGGAACTGTATAAGCGAGAGGGTCTCAATGTGCCGGAGATAACATTCACGGATAATCAGGACATAATTGAGCTGATCGAGGCGAAATCGAATGGCATTTTTACGCTGCTCGATGAGGAATCCAAGTTGCCCAAATCGTCGCCGGCACATTTCACCGCTGAGGTGCATAAATCTTGGGCGAATCATTATCGTCTTGGCCTGCCGCGTTCCTCACGGCTCAAGGCGCATCGCACTCTGCGGGATGAGGAGGGTTTTCTGGTGCGTCATTTTGCGGGCGCCGTTTGCTACAACACGGAACAGTTTATTGAGAAGAACAACGATGCGTTGCATGCCTCGCTCGAGTGTCTGGTGCAGGAGTGCGAGAATCCACTGTTGAAACTCCTCTTTCCCTCGGGCAGCAACACTTCGGTGCGTGGCAAGCTCACTTTTATCTCCGTTGGCTCCAAGTTTAAGACGCAGCTCGGCGAGCTCATGGAAAAGCTCGAGCAGAATGTGAGTAATTCTAAATTACAAAATTATTATTGTACATTTTATATTTATTCTATTTGTATTATCTAATTATTATTATTTGTTTATCATTACTTGTAAGAATTTGTATATCTTGTAACTTGTTTGGGTTTTATTTCTTGATCATAAAGTATTATTTATTTCTGTCTTTTCTTCCATTCATTCAATCCATAAACACACTCAGAAATCTTATAAATATTTCTTTTTGTTTTTCCAATTTTATTTTTAATTTAAATTTAATTTTTGTTGCTTTTGATTTTATTTTTGATAGTCAATATATAAATGAACTATTATTATTTTACAGGGCACCAATTTCATACGTTGCATCAAGCCAAACAGCAAAATGATTGATCGCCAATTCGAGGGCAGTTTGGCGCTGGCGCAACTTAAGTGCTCCGGCACAATATCGGTGCTCGAGCTCATGGAGCACGGTTATCCATCCCGGGTCCTCTTCGCCGATCTCTACAGCATGTACAAGTCGGTGCTGCCGCCAGAGCTCGTCTCGCTGCCCGCTCGCACCTTTTGCGAGGCCATGTTTCAATCGCTCAATCTGAGCGCCAAGGATTTTAAATTTGGCATCACCAAGGTCTTCTTTCGACCCGGCAAATTTGTCGAATTTGATCGCATCATGCGTTCCGATCCGGAGAATATGCTCGCCATTGTGGCCAAGGTCAAAAAGTGGCTAATACGCTCACGCTGGGTCAAATCGGCACTGGGCGCCCTATGCGTCATCAAATGTAAGTATATCATATCTATATATCGAAAGATACACTCACAGTAAGCAACACAAATGTGCATACAATTTGTACAATCTTTGAAGAATATCTTAACTATATTTTTACCTAGTAGTTTTTTGAGTATATAGTTATATAATAATTAATCAATTCTTATTTCTTCAGTACGCAATCGCATTATTTATCGGAACAAGTGCGTGCTGACCGCTCAGCGGATCGCTCGCGGTTTTCTGGCCAGGAAGCATCATCGTCCACGTTACCAGGGCATTGCCAAGATCAACAAGATTCGCACCAACACTTTGAAGACCATCGAAATTGCCAACGGCCTCAAGCTGGGCCGTGATGAAATCGTTAACGGTGTGCAGGATATTTACAAGCAGATCGATGAGGCCATCAAAAAGATAAAGGTACTTTCGAAAAACACTGCTCTTATACTCTGTTATCGAATAGTACAAGAGTATACTCGGCTTATGCAATTTCCTTAAAGCTGGAGCCCTGAAACTGGACTCATATTTATTATTTGGCATATTGTGTGCACTAAGAGGCTAGAAAGCCTGTTTTCTGCTATTCTGTCAGTTGGAATTTATTATCCAGAGTATTTTAGAGTCGCTTTCGCCCAAAACCAACAATTTATTATTATTTTAAATTATTATTGCAACTTGTTGATTTAATGACACACGCCTCGCCCGCAGCTTAATCCACGGATTACGCAACGTGAAATCGACACGATGTACACGGTGATCATGGCGAACATGAATAAGCTGACCGTCGACTTGAATGGCAAACTGAAGGAGCAGCAGCAGGCCGAGGAACAGGAACGTCTGCACAAAATCCAGCAAGCACTCGAGGCGGAACGCCGGGCCAAGGAGGCCGAGGAGCAGCGTCTGCGCGAGGATGCCGAAAACAAGCGACTGTTAGTTGAGATCAGGCCAAGATTATTCCCCAAAATTAACCCAATCTCTCCCTGACACACATCAGCAAAGCCGAAATGGAGACGAGGCGCAAAGCGGCCGAATTGCAGCGTCTGCGACAGGAGGAGGAGGATCGACGAGCTGCTCTCGCCCTGCAGGCCCAACTCGAGAAGGAGGCCAAGGACGATGCCAAGTATCGCCAGCAGCTGGAACAGGAGCGTCGCGATCACGAACTGGCCATGCGACTGGCCAGCGAATCCAACGGACAGGTGGATGATAGTCCACCAGTTATACGCAAGTATGTTCGACTCCTCCTTCCACAGAGTACCACAAACTACACTCAGCAAAAAATAAGCGACCTCAATTTTAGTAAATTCCTCTGAAGACAAGCAAGATTTCCCTCTTTTATTTTGAAATATTTTCTAAAAATTCGAAATTCGAAACGTACAAATTTCGAATCTCCCCTTAGAATCGTAAACATTTCCTCTGAGAGTTGTGCTACTATTTTGTTCGAAGAAAGATTAATCTAATAGAAACTTGACATGTTTTATTGAGAAACTAAAAATTTTAGAAAATAAAAACCTTAGTTTATAGGAATTTACATTCCGATTAATACGTTGAGGAACCCTTGGCGAATTTCTAAAATTCGGGGCGACATCTTTTGCTGAGTGCAGAGAGCAGTATTGTGAAATAGGTGCTCAAAGTAGGATTTTTCCCAAAATTATTATTATTACTTCCAGTGTAAATATCAGTCGAGTTTAGCTAGTCAATAATTATTTAATATATTTGTACTATATATTAAACAAAAACAAAAACAAAAAACGAACCGAAACTCACCTCAACTTTTTCCCCTTCCCTACACGCCTTCTCTTAAACACAACCACCACAACCAAACACACACCACACACACATACACACCAACACAACCAACAAACACAGTGGTGGTCTCAGTGACGCGTCTCCCATGGGTTCCAACAAACTGATCAGGTATAGCACGCTTTATAATTTATTTTCTATTGTACTTGTATCAAATTCAAATTGCTTACTTGCTTACTTTTTCCTAATATGCTTTAACTAATTGGACTATATATATATATATATATATATAAATCTTTACAAAAAAAAAAAACAACAATTTCTTTACTTCTACTTTACTTTTCTTTGTACAAGTTTTTCACAAGTTGTGTCAAACATTGCTTCGCGATATTTAAATAAGTGAGTTGGTGCTGGTTTTGAAATTCTTTTTATACCTCTTAAATTACTAATCCAACTATATAAGTAACACATGCAGTTATCACTTGAAACTAATAAAAATAATGTCATTTGTAATCTGGTAGATTGGCCTCGTAGTTTGAACTCTATTCATCTTCTCCATTTCTAACTCATAACAAGTATTTAAATCCATCAATAACTCACTTTTGCGTACGCATTTTGAATGCGCCCATTTTGCTTTTGTACATTTCTATTTTTTATATATTATATTAATATATTTATGGTATATTCTGGCTTAGATCGGAGAATGTGCGCGCCCAGCAACAAGCGCTGGGCAAACAGAAGTACGACTTGTCCAAATGGAAGTACTCGGAACTGCGCGATGCTATCAACACGTCCTGTGATATTGAATTGCTTGAGGTGATTATTATAATTTATTTCAAGTTTGTTCACTCTTAAAGATAATCTTTAATCGTTTTATCAGGCCTGTCGCCAGGAGTTCCATCGCCGCTTGAAGGTCTATCACGCGTGGAAGGCAAAGAATCGCAAACGCACCACAATGGATGAGAATGAGCGTGCACCACGCAGCATCATGGAGGCCGGTAAGATTGCTACCACAAAAGAGCACCGCAGGTCGCCTTAAATAGAAGAAGATTCAGTATGCTACGGATGCATGTTATGAGTTTCAAAGACATAGAAGCTTTCAATCCAACAAAGATTCTCGCATTCGTGCATGGAGCTGGGGTTGAGGGAGGAGAAAAAGGATCAGTAAGGGGCACAATAGGTCTAGTAAATCGCAGTGCAGATATCCCAATTATAATAATAATAAGAGCACCACAGTAGATGACAGAACCTGCTCCAAAATAAATACAAATTATAATAGAGAGAGTTCTCTTGCCAAAAAAAAAAAACCATTAAGTACGGGGTATCTGCTGAACAGAATCAATGATCAATTAAGTTGCCACATTTGGCCTAATATTTTACTGCTGAGCTTTAATGAAATTTTCCTGAACACTTGAAAGTGTTTCTAGCTTTTCGAAAAGACCCAACTTGAAACTAAGAAACGCAAAAAGCAATAAACTTTGATTTAGAAATATACTTTCCGAATAAGCTGAGTTATCCTTGTCGAATTTCTACAAGTCAAGGGTATTTTTTTCTGTCTGCAAATATTTGTTTACATTTGTTTTCATATCTTATTTTATATTTACTATTTATCTTGTATATTGCAGCTTTCAAACAGCCGCCCATTGTGCAGCCCATACAGGAAATTGTGCTGGCTCAGCATCGCTATTTCCGCATACCCTTCATGCGTGCCAATGCACCAGATAATAGTAAATATATAAATATATTGAATTGAACTTCATTTAATGCGAAACTGATCTTTAGCTAAGCGCGGCTTGTGGTATGCGCACTTCGATGGACAATGGATTGCTCGGCAAATGGAGCTGCATGCGGATAAGCCGCCAATTTTACTGGTTGCCGGTACCGATGATATGCAGATGTGCGAGCTGAGCCTGGAGGAGACGGGTCTGACCCGCAAACGGGGTGCGGAGATTCTTGATCACGAATTCAATCGGGAATGGGAACGAAATGGTGGCAGACCCTACAAGACCCTCGGAGCCAGGCCAAATGGTGCGGGCATTTAGAAGAAAACACATTCAACAATCAACAATCAATTAGATGATAAGCGATGGAATAAACAACATATAATCAAAATTAGCAGTCCTAACGAAAATTCCATAATATTTTTGCAAATGATAACTTTTTTATAACAACAACAAACATCCACGTCCAAAATTCGATGGTTATAAAAGCTCTGATTTACATTTATAAATGTCAAGTTTTCTTTTATATATTTATATATACACATATATATATTTTAATTGAATCTGGATTTCGATTGAATCGCCCATTGAGCGTCAGCTGTTTAAGGGGCCACGCCTACATATATATTTACATATGCGATACACAAGTATTACATATATTTATATGTATGTATTTCTTTTCAATTAATTAAGTGTGCATTACGATATTTAAAGAGAAAAAAGGAAACGACAAGTTGTATTTAGTGTCTATGGAAACTATATTTAAACGTGTGTGTATTTACATAAATGGCATATATATATATATTTTACAGTATTTTAAATTAAACATAAAATGCTCGGAATGTGGATTGCTTTGCTTTTATTGAAGAACATACAAATATTTTGTCTAAAGTCCTCTTTACAGAGCGAAAAATAAGTCATTTATGATTTTAATATATTTCGCGTGTGGAAACTAGAAAACAAAAAGGTTTGCTGGAATCCAAAACAAGAATTATTTCGCGATCATTTTTTTTCGCTCTGTAAAGGGGGCTTTAAAACGTACTTTTTTAATTTGGCGCAACAGGTACATATATGTAAATATCGTATAGTATTTTAAATTAAATATAACATGCTTTCAATGTTCAATGTGTTCATTTATTGAAAAACAAAAATATACAAAAATTATTTCGCCCTACAATGTTTTTAAATTTGGTGCTAAAGCGGGTTTTCCGATAAGCAATAAGTATCGATACCAAATATTTCTTCCTGCACTCACTTTAAGTCAGGTGGCAACTACGAAAGTTTACCCAAAAATGGGTATTTAAAATTTGGCGCAATAGGTACAAATCAGTTTTTCGATAAGCAATTAGTATCGATAACAAATACATTGCCTTCGTACACATTCACTATCAGCCAGGTGGCAACGACGCCGCCGCGTGTGTTTGTTTACAAAAATATTAAAATAGAAAAACGATGTCCCGCAAAACATGGCGGTCGCTGGACAATCCGCCGCTCTCCACGCCAGTGCTGGAGGTGCTACAGGATATGGGTTTTCCACTAATGACGCCGGTGCAAACAGCAGCTATTCCACTGCTGCTGGCACGCAAAGATGTCTCTGCCGAGGCAGTCACAGGCAGTGGCAAAACGCTAGCATTTCTCGTTCCTCTGCTTGAGTTGCTCCAGCGGCGCCACAAGGAATCGCCCTGGACGTCCAAGGAAATCGGTGCCATCATCATATCACCCACACGGGAGTTGGCACGTCAAATTCACGAAGTGTTGGGCAAGTTTATGGCGCACCCGCAGCTGGAGCAGTTCAGGCAGCAGCTCCTTGTTGGTGGCAATCACATCGAGGAGGATATTGTGGCCCTGAGACGCGAGACACCCTGCATACTCGTCTGCACACCGGGTCGCCTGGAGGACTTACTCCAGCGCAAGGCGGATGATCTTCAGTTGACATCACGTGTGAAGAGCTTGGAATTCCTGGTGCTGGACGAGGCGGATCGCTTGCTCGACTTGGGATTTAAACAAAGCATCAGCCACATCCTGGCTTATCTACCACGTCAGCGTCGCACGGGTCTCTTCTCCGCTACACAGACCACGGAGGTCACCGATCTGATACGTGCTGGTTTGCGTAATCCTGTCCTGGTTTCGGTCAAGGAGAAGGCTTCCCTCAACACGCCAGCGTTGCTCCAAAATTTTTATAAAATTGTTCAGCCGGAGTGCAAGTTCCTGGAACTGTTGCAGTTTCTACGCTCACCCAGATCTCGCTCGGGTAAGGTTTTGATCTTCTTTCCCACCTGCGCTTGTGTGGAGTATTGGGTGGAACTCATTCCACGACTGCTGCCAGAGCGTCTTGTCCTCGGCATCCATGGCAAGATGAAGTCGAAACGTGCCCAGGTCGTGGAGAGATTCCGTCGCGAACCACTTGCCGTGCTGCTCTGCACGGATGTCCTCGCTCGAGGATTGGATGTGCCCGAAATTGAGTGGGTTGTCCAGTGGGATCCACCAGCAAATGCTTCGAGTTTTGTGCATCGAGTGGGACGCACGGCGCGGCAGGGTGTTGCCGGTAAGGCGTTGGTCTTGCTCCTACCCAGCGAGGATGCCTATGTGCAGTTCCTTAAGCTCAATCAGAAGGTGGAATTGAGTGAGTTAAGGATGGTGGAGGGGGAGGAGGAAGAACAGGAGGCAAGGGAGCAAGAACAAGAGGAGGAGGAAGAGGAGCATGATGGGGAGGAGGCAGAGCAGCTGCAGGAGGAGACGGACGAGGAGGATCAGGGAGAGGGGCATGAAGAGGAAGAAAAGGATCACGAGGAAGAGCTGGAGGAGGAGGAGCATATGGCTGGGGAGACTCCCCTACACTCCACCCTGGAGCGCATGCATCAACTGCAACTGGCGGACAGGGGCATCTATGACAAGGGAATGCGTGCCTTTGTCTCCCATGTGAGAGCCTACACTAAGCACGAGTGCAGCGCCATACTCCGGCTCAAAGATCTCGATCTGGGCAAGATGGCCACTGCCTACGGGTTACTACAACTGCCACGCATGCCGGAGCTAAAGAACTACACAGGAGCCGGATTTATTGCACCCAAGTGCGAGTTAAATCTCGCCAAGCTGAGCTATAAGAATGCGCAGAAGGAGCAACTGCGTCAACAGAAGCAGCTGATCCTGGAGCAGACGGGCAGCTGGCCAGGCAAACAGAAGCCGCACATGAAACGCACCGAGTCCTGGGATCACACCAAGCGCGCCAAGTTGGATGCCAAGTCCAAGAAGGAGTTGCGGAAAGCCAAAAAGGAGCGGAAGAGGAAGAGGGAGAAGGAGGAGGCGGAGGGGGGAGGGGAGAAGGGTGCCAAGCGCAAGCGGAGACAGCAATTTACACAGGATGAACTGGATGAGCTGGCCAGTGATATCCGACTCTTCAAGCGACTTAAAAAGAAGAAGATCACCGAGGAGGATTACGACAAGGCAATGGGAATCGATAGCGATGATGACTGAGAAATTATCTATCTTTTATAAATATTATGTACATATTAAAGAAAGAAATTTGCTATTTTAGATTCACAAAGATCCTTTCTCTCAAACTGAATTCAAAGATTGGGATGGTCATCTAATTGATGACCGTTTAGAGCCAACGGAAATCAGTAAATATTTTTTAAATTTGCGTTCTGTTTGAAACCAGGATCACAGGGTGATCACAGGCAACTGCCAGCATTAGCTAAATCCTCAAAAGATTTTTGCGGTCCACCAGAGTCACCCTGTTCGAAGCTGACTCGTCCGTTGGGATGTCCTCCACTTTGTTTTGAAATTGATAAAAGCATGCATATAGGCTTTCACATAATTATTTGTATTTTAAATTTAGACTCAATATTTTTGTCGAACTTGTACATATTTAAATTACTGATTTGCACAACATCAGTTAAATCCCTAAGTGACGACGTCAATCAGCTGTCCTGAGCCACTCTGTCAGAATCTGATTTCTCCGATTATCTAATTGCAATCGGTGCATAACAAATAATAAATATTTATATAATTTATATATATATCCATATAAACACTGATATTATTTTAAAATTATACCCAATTCGTTTGAAGACTTGAGAGTCGAACACAAATCGTGCTTTATTTATTAGCAATTACAATACAAATATAAATTGTCTATGTTTATTTGGCTGCATCCTGATTGGTTGCGCCCGAAATGAAGACTAGAAGCACCACGGGCACAATGTACATCCAGTATTTGGCGAAGAAGCCGCGAGTGTCGCGCACCTCGCCCCTCTCCCTTGCCTCTCTCTCTCGCTCGAATTTCTGTATAAAGCTGCCCGTGTCCGGAACTGGAGCCAGTTCCGCGTGACGAATGATGACGTCGGAGCTGAAATTGTTCTCCTTGACCTGCTGAATGTCGTCAGTGGAACACTCCGAACTCTTTGGAGCCAGATCCTGTGAGGCAGTGACTCCCGTTACATAGCCATATGGATCCAGGGATATCCAGAGCACGTCATTGAATTGAGCCATGAGCAGACTGCACGCCTTGCTGGAGGTCAAAAAGCGCTGAACGTTGCCATTGGGATACGAGACAGTTGCCCGTAAGCGATAGAAACCATTTTGTTTCGCCAGCAGCTTAATGTTATCCAGTTCAGCTGCTGTTAATGGATTCTGCACAACAGTGGACAAGCCTGCGTTTAAGCTTGGTATGGAGATATTTCCGCGATGCGAAAAATGATCGGGTTTTGAGCTGGACAGCGAATGATGCAAATCAATTGTTATCCAGCTATCGTGCTCCAAGAAACTCCAACTAGTTGCCAGCAAGCTGAATAGCACAATTGCCATGTAGCTCATTTTTAAAAACATTTTCGTCAATATTTAGTGTTTGTTTGCTGCAAAATCGAATCGTGTTTTATTTTAAATACTCTTTTCCCAGGCTTTAATTGCTTACGCTTATTTTCTCAAGTCATTTAATTTTCGCCCATATGATAATTTATTTGCTTGTACAAACTATCGATAATTGTGCTATGCGATATGCCGATCGATGGTGACTGCTAGCGATGAGCGATTTATTAATTTTGTTAAATTTGTAGCTGCAATTTTAATTGTTAAATATGACAATATTTGTTTCTCAGCCTACCACATTCAAGAAGTTTTTATTTATATTTATTTAAAATATATTTTATTCACCTATTTTAATATTGAGTTCTTCATTATCGATACCTTTTTCGATCCGTAAACAATGCTCTGCAAATACAGCTGTTATGCACGCGTGACACGCTCTAGCCGCATGTGCTAATCGGTATCTTGTACGTAACTAAGAATTGACCAGAAGTGGTGCAGAAAAATGGGAAAAACGTCTAAGGACAAACGAGATGTTTATTATCGCCAGGCCAAAGAGGAAGGCTGGCGTGCACGCAGTGCATTTAAGTTATTGCACATACACGAACAGTTCTCCATCTTCGATGGTAAGTGTTGTTAAATTGTGTGTTGCATATATGTTAAATAGGGTAACTTGTTTTGCAGGTGTCCAACGAGCCGTTGATCTTTGCGCCGCACCCGGCAGCTGGTCCCAGGTGCTGTCACGCAAACTCTTCGAACCCTGTCAAACAGATGATGAGAAATTGGCTGTGAAAATCATTGCAGTCGATTTACAGGCAATGGCACCCATACCAGGTGTTCTGCAGATACAGGGTGATATCACCCAGGAGAGCACAGCGGAGGCGATAATTGCTCATTTTGGCAGCGGCGACGACCAAAAAGCGCAATTGGTCGTCTGCGATGGGGCACCCGATGTGACAGGGTTCCATGAAATGGATGAGTATATGCAGAATCAGCTGATTGTCTCCGCACTGAGTTTGGCAACGTGTGTGCTCGAACCAGGTGGCAAGTTTGTGGCGAAAATATTCAATGTGACCGAAAATGATTTGCTCGAAACGCAAATGCGAACATTTTTCAAACATTTTCACATTTACAAACCGCCCAGTTCACGTCCCTCCAGCTATGAAGCGTTTGTTGTTTGCTCCGATTTTCGATTACCCGCCGGCTATATTCCACAAATTATAAATCCAGTTCGAGATAATATTAGAGAGATTGCAATGAAGACCGGATCGGAGGTTAATCAACGATTGGTGCCCTATATTGCCTGTGGGGACTTAAACGGTTGTCGGTCAGTAGTGAATAAATTGGAATTCACCGATAAGCAAATTGAACTGGCCTATGATGGGCTCATGAACGATCCAGATTTTCCTGATGCGGTTAAGGCCAGCCTAGAGATTGGATTTATAGCGGAATTCAATAAAAGAAATATTCCTTTTGTGTGCACACACTCATTATGGTAGTCAGGAGAAGTAATTAAGTTAACTATAAATTAAATATTAGTGATAGGTTTATTATTTTAAGCTATAAGTGGAGTGCTTCGTTATTGCAGGTTAGTCTTTGTTTGCGAAAAATGTATGTTAAAAATGTGTCAACTCATTATTAGCTTTATTTCCAAATATATAATATAAATAACACAAAGTTATTATAAAATGATTTACTTGTATTATAAAAACAAACAAAACGCGCCTTTGTCGAAAAGTGAGGGCGAGCGCTGTTAATACTGCCGACAGCAATTGGAGTGCACTTAACATAATGTACAAAGCAATTCAATCAACTAACATTATGCAGCGCAATTAAAACAAAAGGATTCCTATTCTAAAATCACAATTTTCAGTTGTTCATTTGATGTATTCAAGAATGGAAACGAAATATGTGCATGAGAGTGACACAAATGAATATTTTAGCTGCAGCAGATCAGTAAGCGCTCTCTCTAGAGAGACAGAAAGCGCTGTTAAAACTGTCAACTGCAATTGGAATGCACTTAACATAGTATGCATATGCAGCTAACATTATGCTATTTATTAGTCGCGCTGGGCGCCTAATTTAAATTTACAACGATTCTGCTTATGCCCAAAATGAAGATCACAACTTTTCTATCTTTATCGAGAAATCTGTTTTTTATTTGACATATATAAAGAATGGAAACAATGGCTGGCGAGACTAACACTAAATGAGCTGAAATAACATGAAAATATATATTTGAGTTAATTAAATAATTAATTTTAAGCAGCGCCATCGACGACAATCTGTAGAATGGTGCGTCGCTTGGGGTCGTAGGAGAAGCCATTGCTGCGAAACAGTTCCGATTCGTAGAACGACTTCAGATTGCCAATGTCCAGCTGCTTGGCACGCTCGATCAAATCCCTTTCCATGATCTCCACATGGGTGGCACTGGGTCCATCCTTGCAACGGATGTAGGCCAACTGATCCAGGGTAAGCTGGCGCAAGATGAAAAACAGCAGCTCGGAGTGATCTTTCTGGAAGGCCAAATATTTTTGGAATGTGTTGCGCATCTTCTTCATCACACTGAACTTTTGTGCCTCGATGAAACTCTCCAGCATCATACGTATCGCCATGCTCACATCCGCCTCCAGCACATTCTCGCGCAGATGCAGTCGAGCATGTGCCTCCGCCATCCGAATCACGCTCTCGATGTGACGCACTGTGATCGGCAATGAGCCCGTTGCAAACGATTCCTGACGCAACTGCGAATACATCTTGGCAATCTTGTCTTCGTCAATGTTCTGCAATGAAAATAGAAAAAAAAACTATTAATTACAAATTGGGATTAATCAAATCAACTTTTGATACTACTGATCACTTGAGGAAATATTTCCTTACTTTCAGCAATACAAGGGATTAAGAAAGGGGCATTGAATTATTGAGAATGTGGAGATTTTGAGAATCCTTTCAAATTTGTTGCCTCTAGCTTTCAAATTGTGTAAGCTATATGGATTTATCGAGTATAAAAATTAAGAATGATTTAAATTCTGTTCAATTTACCGTAAGTTTGGGTCGTATATTCTCCTTGGCATAGACGATATACTGTCGTAGCAGATCCTGTGGTATCTCATCGACCGTCTTGAGCTGGGGTTCCTCCAATTCTGGTTGCTGCTCCTCGCTGGGATGATGCTTCATGTGCGAGTGGACCACAAATTTGGCCAACTGTTGATCCTGCATCGGATCAAATTCATCCTTAACCACACACAGGATATCAAAACGCGATAAGATGGGCTCTGAGAGATTCACATTCTCCGAGAAGGTCATGGATGGATCATAACGACCCCCAATCGGATTCGAGGCAGCAATCACTGTGCACCTGGCCTGCAAGGAGGTAACAATGCCTGCCTTCGATATGGATATCGATTGCTGTTCCATGGCCTCGTGGATGGAAGTGCGATCTTGGTCATTCATCTTATCGAATTCATCAATCAAACAGACTCCCTGATCCGCCAAGACGAGTGCTCCAGCCTCGAGTGTCCACTCTTTGGAAACGGGATTCCTTCGGACATAGGCCGTCAAACCCACAGCACTTGCTCCCTGTCCGGTTGTGAACACTGCTCTGGGTGCAATTTTCTCTGTGTACTTGAGGAATTGTGATTTGGCTGTGCCGGGATCACCACAGATCAACATATTGATATCGCCACGCACCTTGTGCTTGTCGCCAGGATTTTTGGACTCGCCGCCAAAGAGAGCCAAGGCCAAGGCTCGCTTGATATAATCATGGCCATAAATCGATGGCGCCATGGACGCGACAACACGTTCGGCAATTCGTGGATCTTTGCTCAGTTTCTGAATAGTGGCTATATCCTCATCCGTCAGGGATTGCACCACCTGTTTGGAGTCCTTGACAACAATGTGATTCGCTATGATAACCGTGGCAAAGACGGGAAAACCTTGATCCGTATTCAAGGAGCCATCATAATTATTTGTGTAGATGCCAGTGACTTCCAGTTCATCGCCGGGTTTGCACTGATCGCAGAGATCGGCGAGCAAAATGACATCCTTGCTGCGTGGTATGCGACCAGCTGGTATGCGTCCTGGCGACTCCTGCAGCGTGATCTTCTGATAGTTGCGATACAACGTCTGCTCCATGTTAATGGAGAAGGGACCCGTGCTCTGGCATTCCGGGCAAGAACCGGGCTTCACTTCCGTATTCTGTGACTGGACAAAGGGTCCCAGGACATACCCACACTTGACGCAATCGTATTTAATGACAGATAGCTGGGGCAGCACACCAGTTGTGGCCGTAACCACGCCCAAGGTGCGCACAAGTTGATTGAGGTGCAGCTTGCGAAAGGTGCGCAGCTCCTCGATCAGAGGCAATTCCGAGATGCGCACATGAATCTCTGTCGTAACCCGCTCATATGTCGGGAATATGGACAACACCATCTCCTTGGCCACCTTGTCAAAGATCTCCAGCATCTGGAAAGGCGCCTCTGGCAGAAAGTAGGCCAAAACATGCTCCTTGTTGGCCAAATCCGTGTAGGCCACCACAAAAGAGCATTTATTCTGTTCACACATCCGGCGTATTCGATCCCTATACGTGTAGGAGCCCCGCTCATCCACAAAGGTGCGCAGAAACGACTGAAAACGATTGGCAATCTCTGTGCGTGGTCCGAGCATACTAACCCACTCCTTGGTCGAATGGCCTTTGGTATCCTCCAGATTCTCAATCGATTCAATCATTTCGGTGTCTTCCATTTCGCCAATGGCTGCTTTTTCGCCCGCACGTCGTTTGGCACGTGGACCCATTGCATCCTCATCCTCATCATCCTCATCGGATTGGCCAAAGACCAGATCGCGGTCATCGCGATGCAGCCCAGCGGCACGATCTCGTCGACGCATCTCTGTTTCAGCGGCGAAGCGCTCACCCTGTGACATCTCCGAGAAGTCCTCCTCGTCATCGAGCATGGCCGGATCATAGTGATCCAGCTCGGGCATCTCACGATAATCTAATAATATAATATACATATATCTTTATACTAGTCTGAAATTAGTATGTTAATTATGAACATTTTAATTGAAACCAAGCGATCAATACTGAAGATAAGTAAAATATGTTAAGAATATTAAATTTGAAAATATTATTAAGCTTATTCATTGCTCACTTTTTAAAGAGTATTATTGCACATCTAAAAACTTATTCATAAATATTCCTTAAACTTACAAATTTAAAAAGGACACCATTGAAAACATTTCTTGTGCGAGTGGTGCTATTATTTTGCCCCCAACTGTATCTACGTATACTAGGCCTCGTTTCAGTTTGGGTTTGGATGCTTACCGTTCTCCATATTGTCGCCGAAGAGTTCCTCGCCATCCTCCTCCTCCTCGTCGCGCACCGTTTGATCCCCGAGTATTTCATCCTCGTTCTCGAAGGGCTCAAAATCACCAACAGGCGAAGTCATCGCAGCCCGCAAATCTCGTCGCTCGCCGGCATCGCTGGGTGTATTTGGTGGCGGTGAACTCGGATTGTCCTATTGTTATATTCACTTAATAAAATAAATGTAAAATACATAGAACAACTTACCATTGTGTGTGTGTTTCTGTATTTAATCTAAACAAATCTCTGTAATACTTTTAATGCTCTTCGCGTTTGCTTTTCCTCAGAACTTCAATTCTTCATCAGTGTAAATTGTTGGCGTGCAATTTTGGCGGGAGAAATAACAACTGATGCATGTCGATAGCTTATAGCGATATTTTGTAGTCGATTATTGTTGTCATTGCTAATGCTCCAAAGCTGAATGCTATGTCAGCAGTAGGAAGTAATTATAAGAAAATAATTAGCAAGTAGTTTTACGTAAGGAATATTTTCTGAAACAAACATGCTAAGAGTTGTATTACAAAAATCACAATTAAACTAAATGTGCTACATAGGTTATATTTTGTGCAAAAATAAAAGACCACTTTGCAGTTCGATTATTGTTGCATTGTTAATGCTTCAAAGCTGAATTCTATGTCAGCAGTAGCAAGTGTTGTTTTGAATATTTAAGTTTTATGTTGTACATAAAAATCATTTAATCAAAATAACACGCTACATAAATAAAAAGTGAGTTTGAGCGAAAATAAAAGGCTATTTTGTAGTTCGATTACTTTTATTGTTAATACTTGAATGCTAACTGCTATGTAAGCCATGGCAAGTATCGCGTATGAGCACTAAATTCATCACCGATATTGCAGCCGCTTATGATAGATGGCTCAATGGTCTAGGGGTATGATTCTCGCTTTGGGTGCGAGAGGTCCCGGGTTCAAATCCCGGTTGAGCCCGCATAAACTTTTTTGTTTATTTATTTAATGTGTGCTCTTTGCCAACAATTAAGTTTATTTATAAATAAGACGACAACAAATGCTTAGTTTTTGCACAACTGAGACCCACTTGCACGGTACTTTACAGCCCCGTACACGTTTGAGCAATTTTCTTGCGCCTGGCACTTAATTATAAAATAAAGGGCCCGGACGAAGCCGGCGATTTATTGCACCGGAAGGAGTCGCCATCATGCCAGCATTGCCAGCTGCATTTGCATAGGAATCGCATGCAGGGCCGGTCACATTCAGAATAATTGCGGTCACACAATGACATTAAAGCCAAGTCGGAATCGGAGTCAGAGTCATCGCCGCGTAGTGTTGGAAAAGAGTCAGAAGTGGGGAAACCATGCTGAGTAATTGCGGCTTTAAATGGCATTTAGCACGCCTCGTGCAGTTTATATATTTCTTGTTCTTTTTTATTTATTTACGTATTTGCCGTTTCCTTTATTTTCTTTTGATATGCTTCTCATTACTACATATTTTTTGTTGTGCACTCGAAAAAAAGTCGACCTAAAGTGTAAGTCGCTCTAAAAAATAGTTTTTTAAAAATTAATAATACCTACCAAAATAATAATTCCCAAAGATTAGTCAAAAATAAACATAAAAAATAATAACATAACAATGTCTAAATATTACGAAAAATAAATAATAATGAAATAATAATAATAATAGCATAATAATTTTCCAAAAATATTGGAATTTGATACATTTTTTTGTTTTAGAAATATTTTCTATTATGCATTTTATAATAATAATGTATTAATAAAATGGAGATATGCAAACCCTTATGTTTAGAAAAAATTCTATCTCTAAGATCGTAAACTCTTCAAATGAATTTAAATGAATTTTATAAATGATGTAAACTGTGAGATTATATGTTAAATCTTAAAATATAAATGTTTATTAATAATATAAGTAAAAAAAATCTTGTAGAAAGCAACACTCTGAAAGTTAGATATATTTTTCCAGGGCAATTTTTTTCTCAGAGTGTAGAGGAGCCTTTGGAAAGCGCATTTCTCAATGGTGACTTATTGTTGTTGTTGCCACCAGCAGCGTACGTGCCACAAAGTCGAGTCTCATTTGTCGATGCGGAATTGCAAGACATTTTCTATAAGCAAAAGTGACATCCAGTAACTATTCGAGAGCCAGCAAATAATTTCTTATTAAAAGCTGAGCAAAGGCAGCAGGTAAAAACAACCAGCAAAGCGATTGCAAATTGACTCATTTTTCATTTTAAGCTCATATAACCGAGAGAGATAGATAGATAACCAGGAGCTGTTGCTTTGCCCTCAATATGTCACCGTTTTCTTCAAAATAAATTGAAGAATTTTGTCTACAAATACACTCAGAAAGAAGAACGTTCTAAATTTTAGTAAGTCGCCAAACTTGTGGTAACCATATTATTCAGAAAGTAAATTTCGAAAATTTATCCTTGTGGCTTTCTAAAAACCAGCGTTTGCATTTCTAAATTTCAAGGTCAGTTTTAAATTGAGAAAAAACGTTTTTAATTTGTTGGCTGTTTTTTTTTCTATGTTCATATTATTATGAAACAATAATATTTTAAAACTTCATATTTTCAAAAGCACTGTACATTGTTCATATCAATTAATTTTGAAAAACTTACGATTTTACAGAAAGAATTTTTAGAAATCTTTTTCTAATATTTACAAATTATTTCTAAAAACAACAAAAACTTTTTATCTTTTAAGGCGATATTCATTTTAAGCCCATTTACAACAATTTAAACTGATTTTTTCTGAGTGTACACGCATCTGGGAGCTTTTTAGCACAACAATCATTTTTAGAACAAACTTATCTAGCTTCTATGCCTTCTTAATTATGCAAGTTGTGTGCATACAAACAAACAGTGGTGGCAAAAAATAACACTATTAGAAAAGTTAAGAAGTTAAAAAGATAATACAAATAAAATAATAATAATAATAACACTATTTGTAATTTATTTTTTATTAAATTTTTGTCTCAAATAATTCTTGACAGCATAGATAAGTTTGCAAAATCATTAGTCCTCAAAAAAAGGAGAAGTAAAAAAAATACGATTTTTCTGACTGAGGATACTTTAGGATACTCTAATAAAAATATAAATGATACATAAGCCATTCGGGCCCGAAACCATAAGATCTGTTGAACAACCCAAGTAAAATTCAACATTTCAAGTTGACAAAAAGAGAAATGAGAAATATTTTATGGTCAGACAAAAATAAGGCATTCTTAAATACTCATAGCTGAATAAATTGATTTATAAGAATGAAAAAAAAAACCCAATCAAAGACAGATTTTTATGATTCTGCAATTTTTACAATCACAGCTGTAAATATAGCAAATATTTTATTTATTTAGGTCACTCAAGTTTCTGTAGAAATATTCTCTAATAGAGTGTATTGCATCGCAGATAAGCAAAGCGAATGAATATTTCAAATTTAAAAACTTTGTGCAAAAAATAAAAGTTTCGGGCGAGACTTGTTGCCAGGCTAATGAGTTGCGCCCAAGGCAAACCAACTCAATAAAATTATTCGATGTAATAAGTTTCAGTTTCTGTAAGTAGATGCACATAATTTCAAATTGCAAATTCACCATTTGCATTATTAACGCGAAAAATGCGATCAGAATGAAGGCCGTTTGCCATTTTTATACCCTGAATCCATTTGAAAATGCTTAAAAAGGGTATATTGGTTTTGTGCAAGACTATATAACATGGAGAGTGAAGCATCTCTCATCCCATAAGGCATATATATTCTTGATCATCATCGAGAGACAAGTATATATGCCCATGTGAAAGAGAGACTTCCAACTTTGAATATGAGTTATCAGTCCTCTTGCAGATAAAGTTTATTTTATTTAATCGATACCTGACTCCGTTTCGAAAATATCGATATTTATTGTTTTCTGATAGTAATAAAAACCACAATTTTAAAAGCAGTGGATTATTCATTGTAAAAATGCCAAAAAAAATGGGAGCACTTCTGCGTCCGCTTACATTTAAGTGTACAAAACTTTTTTCAGTACAATTTGGCCATAAAACTACAATATATTTAACAGCTGCACTCGGAAAAAATCGACATAAATTTTAGTAATACGGCATACTTTTGGCGCCAAGGGTAACTCCGCGTATTATTCAGCAAGTATATTTCTAAAATTGATGGTTGTAACTTTCTCAAAACCAGGTTTTTGCAGTATTTCATTTCAGGGGTTTTTTTTTTTGTAGAACAAATGTATATAATGTAAATAATATTAAGAAATTATGACTCATAACAAGAATAACTTTATAATTTTCAGATTGATTTTCTGTGTGTGGGTGCAGGTTATCATTTAGTCGAGATCACTCGCCGACAGCATGCCTACTTCTTAAATATACTCTTTGCCTCTGACGTAAAGGTTATCCCTTTTTTTTGCCCAAAAATAAGTACATATCATATAAAGGTTGCACTAATATCATAAAACGAGCTGCCATGACCATAAAAACCATCGTATTTTCATAATGGCAAGCGAGAGGTAAACAGTACAGTGCGTACACTCAGAGAAAATTAGAAAATTGTTTATTTTTTCATTTGTAGGGTGCTTTTTTCTATGTGTTTATCATTGGAAGAATTCTTATATTAGCTTTTTGTTGCTTATATTATTTAATAAACATTTGTATTTTGAGATTTCACATATAAAATTATTTTACAAAGCTTGTAAAATTCCTTAAAACTAATTGAAGAAACTTACGATTTTACAAAATAGAAAATGTTTCTAAAAACATTTTAGGATTGTCGATTTTGTGCAAGGCTTTCTAAATGTTTTCCAATTTTGTTGACATATATTTACAAATTATTTTTAAAAACAGGTAAAACTTTCTATATCTTTGTGCCATTTACTTAGGTTTAGAGCGATTTTTTCCCGAGTGTATATAAGGTGAATCCATCACATTATTGTGCACTTTTGCGTGGGTTGTTCTCTGGATTCGTCAGAGAAGAGCAAGAGAGGGGAGAGAGGCGTTAATAAGCACAAAATCACACATACGCATAAAGTTTGGCAAATTACGAGGTATAAAAATGGCATCTCATTATGGTAAATTTAATATTTCATGGGCAATTTGCCCGGATTGAAACCGACACACTTCAAAAATTGCGTATACCAAACGCACACACACACACACACACGCACAGAGGCACACACACTAGAATTTATTCATTCTTCATAACTTGAGGGTTTTTTCCATCCCCATTTTCTTCATATGCTTGTCTCATACAAATTTAAACTCAATTAAAAGTTTGCGTATTAGACAAACTTGTGGCACGTTGTGACACGTTGTTGAAGCGACCACGCCCTCTTCCAAGGGGCAAGGGGGTGTGGTTGGGGTTGGGGCACTTGTCCTTTGCGAAACCCAAATGACATTCGTATTTAGTTGTCATTAAAAATGTGCGCGATTTATTCACATAAATGACTTTGAGTTGACACACGCCACTCCAACATAGACCCTGCGAGACTCTGCCTCTCTACATTCTACACTCACAAAAAATCACACTCAATTTCAAAACTTCGCCAGTGGAAACTCAGCATATTAGGGGTTTTCTTTTCCTCATTTCGTTGAATATTTTTCTTAATTTTAGAAAAAATATGTATAATTTTCGTGGTATTTAGAAAATATTTCTAAAAATAAGAAATCAAGTTTTCAGTTCAATTTTTTTTCGGAGTGTACTCCATCTCTCTCTCTCTCTCTCTCTCCATCTATCCTACTCATCCTGTGCCCAATTCTCTGTGTGTGGCACGTGTTGAGGTCCTCGGGCCAACGTGCAGAGCAAAGCAGTTTCTTCAATTGAAGGCAACAACCCATTGACACAAATTGATACGCTTTTTAGTTACCCCTTGGCAAGAAATTACTCAAGTCCGTTTAAGAAACTTGAAGATAAATATATATGGATACATGCTGGCATGCAACTGCTTTCAAGTGCTAAAGGATTAAAAGCAGGGTGTCAAACCGAAACAGAAACGGAAACCGAAATTGCATGTTTACTGATTGAAATTCAGAATCGGAATTGGAATATAAATGCGTTTCGGTTAAAACTATGTTTATTTTAAATGCAGTGGTATTAAGTATGAAACTTAGTTTGTCCGATTGGGTAATTGCATATTTTCGCTGTCTAATTATTATTGTAATAAGTTTCTGTTTTTAACAAGTGCGTTTTTTATTCATTGTTCGTCGCTTAAAATGTGCAGCCAACAGTTATCGATATATCTTATCGCTCGATCAGCAGAGTAGCTCGATTAACATAATTTGATATTTATGGTAGCATATGCAAATATAAAAATGAGTAATTAACAGCAGATTAGCAGAGTTGCTTCTGTACTTCCATACATGTTGCTTAATTTCGTTTAACAGAATTCTTGATCATGCAAATATACCATTGAGTAATTAAGATTATAGCGGTCATATTTAAATCAGGGTATTATTATATATTATTATTAATTTGTATCATAAGTTGCATTGCTATAGTATGCATTTTTATAAAAAGACTCACAATTTGGGCTCGCTTAAAAAAGCAACAGCGCATAACAATTGCCATAAGCCTTGTGGCTTTTACAGTCTGCCAGCTTGTAAAAATTGCATAGTCAAACGATATTTTTTCTGTTTTTCTGTTTTTTTTTTGTGGCCAATTTTGCTGGCATGTCCTAAAATTGCGAATGACCAGGCACATGAATAATGTAAGCAAATCGGCAAACAGCAAAAAGTTAAATGCTTCTAATGACACAAAATGAAGCAAATGACGAAAAATGGCGCAAAAACAAAAGAGACAAAAATAATAATAATAATATAGCAAAATGGTCGACAATGGGGATTTTGGGAATGGTGAGTGCAAGCGAGAGAGCAGCAGTGACTGGAATATATGTATGTAGAAAGAAGAAACGAAAAAGATGAACAAGAAGAGGAAGAAGAATTAACTACAACACAAAGCGAAAGCAAATCGAGAAAAACATGTGCGGCGGGCATAATTACGAAGCAATTAGACGAAATTATTACTTGAGGTCACACTGTGAGGATGAGTGAAGTAGTGTGTGCTGTGGGGGAGGAGGAGTAATATAACATATGGCCAGTGTGTCAGTGGATGGTGTTGCTGGTGTTGGCTATTTACTGTTGCTTTCCAGGCAGAGAGACAGACAGGCAGGCAGGCTTGGCAGGCGTGCCAAAGGGATGCCTGCGTCATTATCATTCATAAAGAAGAAGAAATAGCCTACAGAATAAGAGCTTAAAGCAGAGATGCAAATAGGAACAGAATAGCAACTGCAACTAAAGAAGAAGAACCAAAGCTTGATACTCTGTCTATAAGCTGAAACAATTGGAAATAAAAAAAATATTCAATTTGGGTATGTTTAATTAAAATTTGGATTCTGGAGTTTGATATAAAATTATATTATACAAATAAATATTATTAAGCTTTTGGTTTCTTTTTAAGGATGAATTCTGTAGTTGTAAATAAAATGAATACTCAATTTGCATGGAAATAAATCAAAATTAATGGTAAACTTTTAAAATCAAACCAAATAAAAGCTATAAAGGAGTATCAAATTTACGGTTTGTGTTTATTTAAAGTTTAGATTTTTTTATATAATTATTTGTAAATTTTTTGCATACTTTATCTGAAGGGAAAGAAATAAAATTGAATAGGCAATGATATTTATTTACTGCCCAGTTTTCGAATTCTTTAAGGAAAGTTTTCAAGTACAAGTTTGTTTGTATTTATATTCCTTCATATTCATAAAATTTAATTTGATTTAAATTAAATTTAAATAAATCAATGTTTTTATTCTTTCTCATTTTTTTAAGTGTCCCGTCACTTAAAAAACCAATTCACAAGTTGCTCAAACTTAAACTAAAAAAATTACACATTTGCAAACATTTCTTGTCAAAGTTGTGCTAATATTTTGTTCGCGACTGTATGTATATATGTATATATATATATATATATATATATATATTTATATGTGGGCGCTAATGAGCATCATAATGCGCAATGTTTGATGTTTGAACAGCTGCCATTGGGAGTCAGACGGGGATTGGGGATTCGGATTGGATCTGAATAGTTGGAACTGGCTGAGTACATAAAAAGTGGGGCAAGATTGACCAGTGGGTCAGTCAATCAGTCAGTTAGTCAGTCAGACAATATCGCGTGAAGCAATTCAATTATGGCCAATGGCTTCAAAAAGCTTATAAAGTTGACACGTGACACGAACATTTGCATTTAGTCGAGTTTAGTCTGTTGTAAAAATTGCTGTGTGTTCGGGTCTGGGTCACTTTGATTTAGGCCTTAAATATGCTATTCATTGCTATCCATTGCAATCGCGTGCCTCAAATTTAATAAAGTAGTCAAAACATGGACAAACAATGACAATGACATCGACCAACAGCTGAGCCAAAAACCAGCCAAAATCAGCCGAAACTTACACATACATTGTTGGCTTGGCATGACCTTAATTGTCGCTACACTCAGAAAAAAATCTACCTAGAAATAATTTGTCTGGCTTGGCATGACCTTAATTGTCGCTACACTTAGAAAAAAATCTACCTAGAAATAATTAATCAATATTGGCAAAAATAAAAATGTATAAATTAGAAAGGCTTGAAAATTTGACGACTTTCTCTTTTTTCTTTAGATAATTGGGAAATGCGTTTCTAAAAGATAGACGCAAATCTTTATTTTTATTTTCTAAAATTCAGGGTGTTTTTTTCTCTGAGTGTAGGCAGTCCTGGCTTGCATGTTGGTTGACTGGCCTGACTGACTTATTTTTCGGTTGCCAGTTGCACTTTAGCATTGTTCGTTCATCTTTGTAGGTCGTCGAAAGTCGAAAGTCGAAAATCGAATGTCATATCACAAAAAGCCCAAAAAAGAAAAAAACTAAAAAGAAAAAATGCTCGATGAAGGTTACAAGGTCTTAACATTGATTTTGATTTCAACAATATGCGTTTGCATGTAAATGCCACATGTGGCACTGGCATTTCAACTTTGAAGGACTTGACAAACATTTCTCGTTGCTGTTGTTAAGTAGTTTTTTTGTTTGCTTTTTTAAATAGATGAAAGTGGAAGATTAGAGTTTTCTGAAGTTTTAGCGGAGAAACCCTGCTTACAAATTAGATTTTCATTTCTACTTTAAAAAATATCTATTTTTTTTATTTTTTTTCTAATATTTTGTAATATCTGAAAACTAGAGAAATATTTTATTTGTTTTAATTTTAAATACATTTTCAATTTAGATTGATTTAGTAAAACTTCGGGCGATTTACAAAATCCATAAATCAAATAACTGTACTCGAAAAATAATTCAAATACGTATTGAAACTTTATATTTTCGTAGGCGTTGCAAGTCGTTTGGATTTTGATGTTTTTTTTTGCTGGTAAATCTGATTATGAAAATTCCATTAAAAGTTTTATGGGCTTGGCAAAATGTTTGAAAATCACGCACTCTGAAAAAGTGGGCGGCAAATCGACTTAGTTGCAGGGGGCGGCGCACCAAGAACGGAAGCGTAAATAAATGCAGCAGGTGCAACAGCAACAACAAGTTGCAGTTGCAACTGCAACCCGTTTTGCTGCATGCAAATTAAAAATACAGCAAATTACAATACAGCAAAACGCATTGCGTTTTTTATTTAATTTGTGCAAATTGCTTAGTAGAAATAGTTTAATTAAGGGTTTGCACTATTTGGCACATTGTTTAAATTTGATTTACAATTTGTTTACAAGCACAAATGCATAAATTTAAATATGCGAAAAAGTTATGTTATTTATCAAGTTGTTTGAAATAATGCACAATTACATTGCTTACCGCCAACAGTTAAGATATTGCTTTCAACAATGTTATTTATTTTGCATTATATTATATAGTTTACTTTGTGTAACAAGTTGTACAAAAATTGAAACATTGTGAAAAATGTAATAAATGATGTATAACATGTTTCGAGGAATGAACATATTTCTGTATTTACATTTGTTTAGAGCACATGACAAAATAATAATAATTAAAAACTTTCATTCAACAAGTTTTATTTTTTATTCCAGATGTATTTTTTCACATTGATTAAAATGATCCTCAATTTGCTTAGAAGCATAAGCATACGCACATATTTAAATATGCTTACAGCCCGTTAAAAATAAATCATAATATATAAAATATGTAGCCGTTTCTTTTAATAAATTTATTTGCTTCATATTTAGTTTATTCGGGATCAGTTTAGCATAGACACAACCCAAAACAGTTAATGGTTTCAAGGGTTTTATTGTGAAGATCAGTTGAAGACGCGCATCATAGACACAAACCAAAAGTCGCTGCTAGGAAGATTTCTGTTTCTTTTGTGTTTTGCAGATAGAGAACATTATTGCTATGTACTACTGTCTGTACTATTTGCATTCTATTTGTCCGATGCTGTTGCACTGATCGCTATATATTTGCGTCCATTGATTATCACAGTCTGCATAAGTGGCGGGGTCGGCTTTCTAGTGGGGATGGTGATATTGGTGATGTTGGCAACTAATTCTGGAGCAGTCAGCCTTCTAGTGGCAACGTTGGTAATGCTGGCAGCTCCGGGTGGGGTAAGTTTTGTAGTGGGAATGGTTGTGATACTGGTAACTGTTTCCAGAGAGGTCAGTTTTCTAGTGCAGACACTGCCAATGGCGGCAAATGTTTCCGGCGGAGTCAATTTTGGAGTGGCTGTTTCCGTTCTTTTCACAGGCTCTTTTTTTGACGACTTTGGTTGATTTTTCAGCTCAGCTTTCGCTTCCCGCTCATTTTCCACTTTTTGCTGCGCTTTGTTCTTAATCTTAAAACAAGTCTATAAATGAAAAAAAACCATTTACTTTATATTTTAATAATCATTGCAGTATTTATTATTAGCTTACTGGACATAGGTAAATTCTCTTCAAAGTTTTTGGATCTTTCACAACTTTTCTGGTTTTTGCATTGCAATTCGAGCAGATGGAAAATGGAGCCATTTTAACTCTGACTCGACAAAAAAAAAAAATTCTCTGTATACTTGTGAAAGTATTTGTGTAACCAGGTTTGCAATTCATGTAGGACTATTGCTTGCCCTGTTTTTCAGTGCTGGTAAACGCAGCTATGAGTGGTTTTCAATAGAAATGTAACTTGTTGTTTATTTCTAATACACACATTTATTTACATATTTAAAGTCAATGAAAATACAAAAAGTAAAAATGGTTTAAATTACATTAAAAATAAAATTTAATAGTAAATTTAAACTAAAAATAAGAAATATTTCAAAGATTTATAATAATTACTTTACTCAATCCAAATGCTTTTTATTTGTTTATCTTTTGGATGAAATTTTTTAAAGTGCATTTTGCATGCTGCTCAACTTTTGACAAATGACTTGGCAAGTTGACCTTTGACTGACAAAGCTGGCTGCTGACTGTGGCTGTTTTAGTCTTGACTCGTATTCGCATTAACGCCATTAGGCCAATTTGGCAGTTTGCCCTGACAAACAAAAAAAAAATAAACAAAAAATAAAAAATCGCGCAAACTTGCACAAAGGTAACCGAAAAGCGTCTCCCCAAAATGGATGCCAGACAGAGATGGAGACAGCTGCAGAGCATTTATACTCCTCTCCCTTACCACATTTCCCCCTTTGTACACATATCTATGCAAGTTCAAATAGAAGTCAAGTGAGAGCAAAATAAAAACGAAAACGAAACTAACTAAGAATGCAGCAGTCGAGTGAGATCGACTATGCGATACCCTGCAGCCAGTTGTTAAATATTTCATTTCTCATGGCAGGCAAGTACAGCCATAGAAGAGTAATAAATTGAGAGGAGAAAGAGTATAAAAAATGAAAGCAGATCATTTATTTATTCACAAGCCCGAACTGAAATCAACGACTTGTGATTAACCTACACACATGTATACATACATATGCATACTTGCGTACAGACGATGATATTCATAGTTTCATAATAATCGTTCGAGTTTAGATTTCCAAGAAATATAAAAAACACCATATTTTTGGGATTGCCGATTAAAGCCAGCCTTGCTGACTTTTAGAAATTGTTTTCCAAATATTTAAAAATTATTTCTGAAAGCAAGAAAATTTTTGCATTTTTTAGAGCGTTTTTTTCTTTTAGTGTAGAGACGAACGTTGCTCGATGCTGATCAGGAATAAATATGGCTCATGCACAAAACCAATATACCCTCTTAGTCTTTTTAATGTGGTAGTAAAAAAGTTTGCAACTGTGACAGTTGAAAGTGGCAGAAGCAGCAGCCGCAGTTGTACTTTTTTCTTGTTGCCACATTTCTCTTCGTTAACACAAGTTGGCTTTAATTACGACTCTGTCCTTGCAATTTAACAGACATTTTTGCATTGTTGCCACTTGCTGCATGCCTCAATTTATGTTCATTTGAGAGACCCGTTAGATGCAGATAGATAGAACTTGTTGACCAGCACTGGCAAATGGCAATTCGAAAGCAACCCTGTTTTCCACATACTCGTTGCTTATTTATTGCCTGCCAAACGCCATAAATTGGCATTCGAGTGCCTTTTAAATTGGATCAGCATTTAAAATCTAAATTAAATATTTTATATAATTTATTTAATTAAGTTATCGACAGTCTAAGTTAAAGGCAAGCAAGATTATGTATAATATATGTATATATATATAAATATATATTGAAGTCGATGTTTATTTATTATTGTTATTATTATGTTTTCGTTATAATCGATAATCGATCTATAATACCAACCCAAGCTTTTGAATCAATATCACGAAATTAATGAATAAACTTCTTTTACACAATACCATATTATATCCAGTACTGTTCAGGAAATTCGCGGTTGACTTTGGCGTGCCTTATATGGCTGAGGATATCGTTCCACCACCAGAAGACTAAAGAAACTCCTGGAGGCTGGACCTGCCCATATAACTACTTACTTCAAACTGGTCAATGTCGCAAAGCCATATCAAAGTACACAAAAACATAGTAATCACCTATAATAACTTTCAAAACATGCAAGAACTTTATATGTTTGTTGAAAGTATATTTTTAAAGTGAATACTTTCTAATAGTCAAGGGTTTTCTTTTCTTAATTCCAGGGTACATTTTTTAGTTACACATTTTTTTATGGGAAAATCGAGAGAAGTTTAAAAAATATATATATTAATTTTAAATATTTATTTTTTAATATTTCTCTCCTTTTTTACAATTGGCACTCAGTTAAGACTGCATATAATTTGATGGATATTTTGTCGCTATCGATCTATGGCACTGTGACATTTGTTATTACAATTGACAATTGGGAAAATGACGTCATGCTTGCCATATATATAAGTGTATATGTATATAAAGCTGACCAAATTGAATGTAATGGACAGTAGACAGACAAAGCATTTGATTTATTAGTTTTGTCATTAAACAAATTGTCGAACAATGACAGGCTCAATGGAAATGCAAATGCAAATGTCGATATAAATATATATATATATATATATATGTGTGTGTGTGTGTACAGTGTGTACTGGCTACAAATGTACTTAGTGGAACTTATTTATGTAGATTGATATTTATTTGTGATAAACACAGGCATTGACGCAAATTAGAATAAACATTTTCATTACCCAAACTGTACACGAGCCCCAAAGGACCTCAAAAAGAACTCGTTCACTGTGAGAAAGCAATCACTTTGCTTCAATTGGTTTTCTGACTGGTCATCATCCGAGGATGATGATTCCACCACTACACTGTAATTTATGTGTGCGTGTGTTTCGAGTAGGGTTCATTATTAGTGGCTAATGATTGTGGCAGTGGAAATGTTAATCACTCAATGATTGATTTATGGCTGATATATATATATATATATATGTCCACACACTTAGATCAATAAATACATACAAATATTTCAACAATGACCAAAAGGCCATTTTGAAAATGGTCTCAGCTTTAACATAGTTTTGACGGTGGTTTTTAGAAATATTTCTTTCTGAATAATAATGGCGTTGAAAGTAAGACGAATTTATAAAATTCAGGTTGACTTTTATTTCTGTGTGATCTTTTATAAATTTATTTCAGCACAACTGTTCCCAAAATGCCATTTTGAAAGGGAATTCAGCTTTGACAAAGTTTTGATATTGGAAAATGTACAATTGTTTTATTTATATTAAAGGCTTTATTTTATTTGTTACCTTTTACATTTTAAACAGGGTATCTAACTGAAACCGGAATATGAATATTATGCGTACCGTAAGCATTTAAATTTTCATTTTATAAAAAGTAAATGACAAGAGGTGTCATCAAAAAGGCATTGCTTTTTAAAAAATCAGATAACTTATGTCAAAGTTTTAACAGTCGAAAATTTGGGAATTGTCGCACTCTGAATACATTTTGTTGGGTATCAAGTCTGACAATGAAATGGAAATGGAAAAACTGCTGCCAGTTGCTGCTGCTGCTGGGCCTGTTCTGTGCCGGTCAAGGCCGCAACTTGGGGCGTCTCCGCACCGATGACGATGACGACGAAGGCGAGCAATGCGATCGTTACACAGCTCAACTAATAACGCCCGATAAACCAACGGATGAGGATGTGGATGGCGGGGCAAGCGGAGCAAGTCTAACAACGACGGGTCGTAACTGTTCCCAGTTGGCAGCGAATATAGCTGCAAAGGCGGCACAAGTTGCCACAGCGGCAAATGAGGCACAAGCGAGTGCCGCCGAATATGCCGCCAAAGAGGTGCGCCTTCAACTTGCCGGCAAAGCGTTGCAAGCTTCTCGTGCCGCACAAGCAGTGCTCGAGGGCAAAAGAGCTCTGCTCGATAAAACTCAGCGGGAATTAAGTGATTTGGATGAATGGATCAATAAATTAGGTGCCTCGTTGGAATTGAGTGAAGCGAATGCAAAAAATGCTGAATTTGCAGCCAAGTCAGCGGAATCGCATTTTGGCCGACTCAACGATGTGGTTCAATTGGTGGCCAGCAGTTTGGCGGATGTGGATGCTCTGGCTGATATCGGCCAGAGTGATCTTAAGGAGAAACAACAAATGCTGGTCGCCGCCAAGGAGCGCAGTGATCGCATCCAAAAGGACATCTCCTGCGCCCGCGACGAATATCAACAGGTGAAGGTGGCTGCTTATCAGGCGGCATGCGCCGCTGTCGATGCCAAGAAGAAGGCAGCTGCCACTGCCACTGCCACGGGGGGTGGAGATAAGGGCAAGTGCAACACGTCAATGCGACGCAGACACATGCGCTTCTATCCACTGAAGCAGATTCAGCACTAATCTGGGCAAGATAAGCGATATATATGTCTATATATATATGAGTATATATATATATAAATATGCTTTATTTATGTTTGGTATTTTGTTTGCCAATGTATATTTTGTTAACAAATTGTTTATTACATAAGTTACTAAGAGCAGAGAAATATATAAATTATAATTATATGTATGATGTATATGTATATTTATATATATATTTCTTTGATCATTTTTCATTTTGGAGTTTTTCACTTCTCCTTTTTTTTTTAAATCTCCAAAAATTATATTTTTAATACCTTCGGAATTTTTAAAAATGTATTGTATATTTTTTTTGTTCATTACAAAAGTTATTGCAAGCATATAAAATTAGTCTATATCGTATAACAAAATGCTAAACGAGCTAATGCAATAGGATATTCTTTTGGAATATCTCTCGCAATTTAAAAAAAAATTGAAGTTTGCGAGTGCGTCCTAGGTTGATTTGTTGAATGCCACGTTGGAATGTGGCATCCATGTTGTTGTTGTAAGCATCGCTTGGACTTGACATTCTGACCACGCCAGCCTCCACATGGTCGTTGGTTATGTCCATCAGCATCATACTGTTGTCCCTTGTCCAAATACCCGAGCATCGCTGGCAAAGACCGATCACAAAATTGGTCACCTTATTGGCACACATCTCACACTCGGGCGCAGACCACATTGGATCGCTCTGATTAAGACTCATTATATTTATTTCTCTTTAATTTGTGCCAGAAATCTGCTTGCAACTTTTGGTGTGCTTTGAGCTTCCGCGTGTTTGTGGCTAGGTTCAGCATACAATTTAAAATCATTTTACTTTTAATCACATTTTGTGATTAAGAAGCGTTAAGTTTTGAAATAACTAGTCCGTTGGGCTTAAAATAAAAAACAGATAAAGTATTATTAATATAAGTATATATTCTTAAATTAATTAGTAATCAGTTCGGCTTAACAAAAGAAATTTAATAATAGTTAATAATTTATATATAATAATTTAAATATTTTCACACAATACTATAAATTCGTGTATAATCTAAATAACAAACGTGTGCTTTGCTCTCTTTAATACACCTTATTTATTTGCATTTTTCTCCTTATGCATACAGTTGTTTTTATTTTATAACACCGTATTTCAGTAAAAATATTTGAATTCAATTAGTTATAAATTTTATTTTTGCAGTGTCTTAAGTCAATAAGTTTGCGCACATCAATAAATTTATGCTGAACTCGTCCTGAAATTCTTACAAAGCAGTGTTGTATAATTTCCTAATTGCTAGAGTTGATTTGTTAATTTGCGTGTTATTATACCCCTATTAAGGATCCAAATTTGAAATGTTTTTCATTTGTTACTGCGTTTTTATGAAAAGACGGAGCATGTAAAGAATGTGAAGTTGAAGTAGAATCCATCAATTATATAACGATCATTAATTGAAAGGCATTGCCAAAAATGTTGCTCCAAAGATTAAGATGAGGAAATTGATAAGGACTGCAATGAATTTTTCGTTGGAATATCCACTATTAAAATCAAGCAACATGAAGGTGGAAGGATATTTTAAGTAGACTGAAGTTAATCTGCTCAAAGCAAAGTTTGTTTGACTTTACATTTGAATATTTTTTTAATATATTTCTTATGATGCTCGTTTCAATTCTAGCCGTTAGCTGAATACTCCAAAGCCGTGCGGTTATATTGTATTAGAAAGGGTGATTTAAGTGCCTTAAATTATGGGATCGAGATAGGTGCAGACAAATAAGACACTTAAATTCATCTATTGACAGCTTGGACGTATGGAAAATTACGGGAATATTTACCTAAATTTATAACTCTCGTTCTTTTGGGCCGACTTACATTGTTTACCTGTAGACTCTGTGTTAATGGACATGGAATTTGTGATTAGAATTTACTGTTTGCTAAATTTGTTGTGAGTCATTAGTCTACCATCTCATTATACATTCCATATTAAACGGTATAAATAGCTAATAATTTAGAGCAACTTATGAACGAGTTAAAAATTCATTTGAAGGACGAAAATGTTGCTTGAAATTTTGGCATTTTCGGTTTGCGAGTTAATTTTATTATTAAAGCCTTGGACACTGGTTGTTGGCTATTGGTTTTTGTCTGTTTTTATCTAACTCTGTTGGCCTGGGCCATAGGCTGAGGCCAACTCGACGTGGCTCTTTTCGTTTCTTGTTTCAGCAAAATTCATTTAATTTCTTAAATTGAAATTATGGTAATTTCCTGTAGTCATGCAAGCCTTTAGCGCCGCATTTCGTGTCTGATCAGATGGCCAGGGGGGCAATGAGAGGGTTGACGTTGGCAAAAGGGGGTGGGGTTTGTTGGCTAACCAAAAGTCAAGTTCACAAGTTTAAAGCGAAACAAAAACTGCAATCGCGCTTTTGACTACTAGTTCTCCTCCTCCACTTGAGTTTTGACAGTCGATAAATGAATGGTTTTGGGGCTTTTGTTGCTAGGCTTTCGTCATTGAGTCATTCCATCATTCCGTCATTCAGTTGCTAGTTTTCAAGGCTGCCTAGTCAATCGATAATGACTCGCATAACTCGCACCTGATTCACATTCAGTCACTCCGCACAACTCGTACTTATAAATTAATCAACTGTTGGTCAAATATTATTTGGCTCAATCGATGTCTGTGCTGCATCTAAAAATCTTAGGTACCCTCAGCAAATAAATTGCACTGAACTTATTACTTATTATTCAGACAGTATATTTCTAAAATCAAGCGCTTCTAATTTCATCAAAGAATGTTCCTTATTTTCAGATTGTTCTTCTTTTAACATTAACTTTTTCGCTGTTTACATTTATTTAATATCGTCTAATATCAAATATATGCATAGAAGATAAAATATTGGTAGATTGATAGGGGAAAGGCTCGATAAACTAGCCCAGTGATTCGATAACAGATTTAATTGATTCTCTTACCTGATTATATTAATCAATTAGTTACATAAATTTTAAGAAAGGTGTTTTCTTATAGTTGGAACTTATTTCTATAAATAACAAAAGTTTTGTAGTTTTCATGGCGATTTTTGAACATACACTTCGATTTTATTCCGAGTGTAGTGAAGGCCTAAATAATCGTGAGAAATTCGGCACAGACATTTGAAAAACAAAGAGCGCTCCCGGCCAAAAGGCAACTTGTTAAGCTTGTTGTTCACCGAATTGCGTCCTTTAGTGGCATTTACTCGAATCGGAATCAGCACACCTCTAACCACCTTCACACTTTACCACATTCCCTATGCTAAACCACAACTTCATCCACCCACTCATCGAAGCCATAACAAGCAATTTGCCATTTTCATGGAGTTGAACGTGTGACAAGTGGGCGACTTTTGGATACCTGTTGAGATGTGTGTTGCGCCACGCCCTGGGGCACATTTCGATTTGTACGAGCAGCAGGCAGCAGGCAGCATGTTTCACTGCACTCATGTTGAGGATGATTTGCACGATTAAGGGGCGTGGTCGCCATCAACACTCAGAAAAATAGGGCAGCATTTCAGAAATTCACCAAGATTAACTCTCCTTATTACTCGGAAAATATTATTTTAAAAACCAGGTGTTTTCTTTTCATACTTTGAGGGAAACATTTTTCTAAAATATAACAAATATTTACTAATTTTCAGGCTGTTTTTTAAAGTGTACAGTTAGCTTTTTGTTGCTTATAATATTAATAAACATTAGGTTCGATATGTATATTTCTCAGCTCTAAAATTCAGAGCGATTTACTAAAACGTAGGGCGATTTGTTTTCTGAGTGCAGTACAGAAAAGGGGCTTGATTTCGCTTCCATGCTGTTACCCTGAATTTCCAAGAATGAACCGTCGATGTTGAGTCCTTTAACTCAGTCGCATTCGAATTTGGTATAGCAAATTGCAACGTTAGCTTTTAAATACCCACAAAGCACAAGCACTCAAATAACCAGAATATTTTGTTGGCAACAATGAAAACAGTTCTGGGTAAGCGATTATTCATTGGTTGAATCAATTGCTGAAATATATGCTGTTATTTTATGAGTTGAGCAATCAAAAGCCAATTCTTGAAATATTTTGTATATTTAATAATAAAAAGCAACGAAGTGGATTTATTGCATAGTTAATATTTTAATTTTTAGTTGAACAATATCCAAAAGTAACTGAAAAGACTGATTTGAGTGATAGTAATAAAACAATGTCAGTTTATGAATAACACATTTTTACTTACAATAAATAGTTTGAAAAGTAAGAGTACTTGCGTCGAGAGAGCTCGGAAGCTACCCTGTAAATAAGTCTTTACCTATCATAAATTAGTTTAAATATAAAGTTTAAAGTTGAGATTACTTAGTCAGCTAATTAGGCATTCGTATCGATCGGCATATATCTTAACTTATAACTAATAAGATCGAATTGAGTGCGCTTAGACTTAAATCATTCTCTTTTTGTGGTTTTTACTGGGATTCTATTCTCCGATTACTATCGTAATCCAGCAGGCTTCGTTTTATTAATATTTCGTCATTGGTTATGAGGAAACACCTCTCCCAATGCCTTTTCAAGCTACATACCAAAAATATAATAACATCTAAAAGGATGTAAAAACAAAACATGTTATTTTTGTTAAGAAACGGAAAATAAAAACGAATTTGAATTAAAGAAAGAGACTTAATGTTCGAGTATATACGGAAGACAAACAAACAGTCAATTCAAAAAGTTAAGATAAACCAAGCCAGAATTTCCAGATTGTTATATTGCACTATACAAATACATGACACCTCAACATAGATAATATGTTCACATTTGCAACACAATCTTTGGCAAGCTATTACTTCTCGTTAATTTTTGTTCATGTTGAGCACACAGCTAATCGAAGCTGTTAGAATGTTGTGTAACAGTTATGGCATATTTGGGGCATATTCGCAACTTTGTTTGCTTCCGGTGGAACCACTAGCCAAGCAATGGACCAACAATAAGCCACAATCTTGTTATGGGCACCACAAAGTCAGGCGAACTCACTTCCAGATTGAAATGCGTATCCCACAAGCAAAACAACTTTGAGCTGAAACCTCTATGAAAATGAAATTGTGAAGGAGTTGTGCAGGAGCTGTGGAGGAGCTGTGGAGGAGGTGAGCACACACATCGACGCATAACACATAACCCACTTAGTGGGGTTGATTGTGGAGGGGGTGCAGTGGGGGCGTGGCATGAGTGTTTTTGCTATGCTTCGCAGTGCAGCTCAAGTGTAAACATCATCATCGACGCTGCCTGGGCTGCATTGTGGCACCTCACTGGAACTTTAAGTGGAACTGGAAGTGGAAGCGGAATGGCTGCCTACACTCAAAAAAAATATTAACCTGATATTTTAAAAATTTGCTTGAAATTTTAGTCTTAATTTGATCATTCAATTTATTTTCTAGTTTTGCAATTTATCTTTGTCGACTGATATTAACAAGATAATAAATAAATAAATAAATATATGCACAAAGAAAACTCTGAAAATGAGACCATGTTTTTTGTAATATATATAAATAAATATATACCGAAATTAAGAAAAGAAAAATCCTTACTTACTGAATACCCTTGATAAGGTTCTACATTTAAGGACGATTTTTCTGAGTGTATTCGACGTTCCCAGTGTGTTAGCCGGCAACTGTCGCTTTTTGTTGCCTTCCGATGGATGTCTTTGATTTCATTTCAGTTCATTTCATTCTGTTGTCGGGGGAGCAAACTCGCGACAGCCACTG